GATAATCAGGCAGGGGACAGCTCTCGTTATCGATGCCTCGATGTGCATTGGCAACAATAAAGAGGATGTGCGGCGGTTGCCGATGTGGCGCGAAGCCGATCGGATTACCATTTTCGTCAATTTCCACCGTATCCGGAATCCGTCACATTGATAATGCCGACCTCCCAGCATTTTACATGTCTTTAATGTCTGTTTTGTCGGGCCAACATGAGAACCGCATCCATGAATCTCTCCATGTATGAGCAGGCGGTGGTGTCACTGTCACTGCGCCTCATTACTATTCGGCACACGATGGCTGGCTGGCGTTCCCGTAAGCTACTGATGTGGTTCGATATTTTTGCGCAGAAGGTGGGCAAGTGGCTGATGGAAGATACGTCCTGATTCACAGGCGGCGCTCTGCAGGGGTCAGGTTATCGGTGATGCCATATCGACATCGTGGAATCAATTGATTGTACTACTTCGAAAGAGCGGCGGGCCGGGGTACGATGCGACGAGGGCAGCGCCCAGCAGGCGACGAATGTTCCAGAGGCGGCGCTGTGGACGAGAGGAGCGAGATGTAGCCGGGAGAATTGACATTTATACATGCAAGAAGGACGGACACAAGGCGGCTTCTGGTACTTTAGATCTTGTCAAGATATGCCCATTTACATGTTCGTTCCCAACCGGTTGTGGTAATGGGAATGACATAAGCGAGCCAAGGGTTGGGCGTGGGCTGCCTGCAGGCAGAAAACGTGGTGTTTATGAATCAAAAGCGGCGTTGAACCTGGATATCGGGCAGGATAAGCGGCTGAGCTGGCTGCATCCTTGTCCTTGAAAAGTTGCCCGTTGTTCACTCGACGCAACTTTCTGCCCCTCCTTCTGTCGGCGTCCTTGTCAGCTGGCCCAACAACCGTTGGTCCAGCATCCTCGACTCGATCTACTCACATTCGACTCCGAGGCTGCCAACGCGCCTTTGTTCTCACCCCCGACGTGGCGACCATAGACACCGCCCGTGCAACTCACCCTCAGTCACTCTTTTGTTCTCGTCGTCTCCAACATTAATCAACCTCCTCGTAATTCTGCAAGAGCTCGAAAGACATCTCTTGTTCATCGGTGCGTGCAATCAGCATCCCCGTCTTCATTTAGCTCACGCGAGCACGGACAGCCAGCACCCTCTTGACCCCTTGACTGTGCGTATGCCCCTTGTGTGTGCTGGCCGTGACTGATGCTGACGCCCGTGCGCAGTGAATCTCGTGCAGGTATGTTTTCGAGTTGCTACGTCATGGACTGTGCTCGTCGAGGAACGTGGGGCGGCCCGTGGCCGGGGAGCGATGTTCCCGATATGGCAATTGAATTGGGGCCGCAGCGGCGCCGGTTGCCATCCTCGGACGCAGTGTCATGCACTGTGACGTCTGTGACACGACCCCTGCCACTGTGTTCCATCGATATTTGGACTATTTCAGACCTCATCCTTGTTCTTCCTTCTTCTCCCTCGCCGTCGTCGAGCTCATCGGCGTCCCTCCTCCCTCCCCCCACCAGCCACGGTGCTGTGTGCCCCTTACGACTCTGACGCTGACCACGACCGCCTCCTCATAGATCCTTGTCGCACTAGACCCATCCACCACCACCCGGCACCGTTTACTCGTCGTGTCGTCGCCCCAGTGCATAGTCAGTACCCTCCTGTAATTCGTGAGTCGTTTTCCTGTCTTCTCCAGCTACAAATGTAGTGTAGTTGTCTCGATCGCTTTCCACCCCCCCCAAATGGTTGTGGTGATCGGTCCACCTAGGTGGCTCACGTCCACGCGCCAGCACTCTCTTTCTTCATCCAAGTAGATTACTCGCCATTCTCTGCGCACCCATCTAGGAGCCCGCCATTACGCGTGTTTCTTCTTCTGTTACACGCATTGTGGCACGATGGCTCACATCCCTTGCGCCTCTCCCTTGCATCCCCACAGTTCTATATCCACCGCCCACTCGTCCGATACCATTCGTCTCACCATGAAAGACACCACATCGAACAAGCAGTCTCGCAATTCTCTCATCTACCCGAAGAAGCGCCCTTCCCCCCACGGCATTTCGAAAGCTCACAAGTCACCTCTTCTTCCCTCTAACGGAATCGCCAGACGGACACCTCGCTCTGCCAAGCTCGCCCTCGTTCAACAACGCCAACGCGAGTCCCAGATTTCGGCTCTGCGTCGGGACGGCTTCTTTCTCGAGGAGGAGTACCAAGATGAAGTCCACCGTTACATGCTCGACATGGAGGTCCGTAACAGTCGCGTGGTTGATGCCATCTTCATTGACGTATCTGCCTCCAGCGGTTTACCATGTCGTCAACCCAATCAATGGACCAACAACCGGAGATCAAGTGGCACATGCGGCCGTGTCTTGTTGACTTTTTGGTGGAGATCCATTTCACCTTCCGCCTCCGCCCAGAAACGCTCTACCTCACTCTGAACATCGTGGACCGATACGTCTCTCGCCGCGTTGTCTACATCAAACATTATCAATTGGTTGGATGCGCTGCCCTTTGGATCGCTGCCAAGTTTGAGGACGCCAAAGACCGGGTACCCACAGTCCAGGATCTCGTCGCCATCTGCCGCGAAACCTACGAGGAGTCCGCATTTATTCAAATGGAAGGCCATGTTCTCTCGACCATCCAGTGGACTCTTGGGCATCCGACAGCGGAGGCCTGGTTGAGGTTAATGTGCTGTACCCCTTGTGTTGAAGACCCCAAGGTTCAACACGTTGCGCGGTTTTTGATGGAGATCACCCTCTTCTATCGCGAATTCCTCAAGTACATGCCGTCCACCATTTCCCTCGCCGCTCTCACACTGGCAAGATACTTGTGTGACAAGCCTCGTCGTGTATGGGAGGAGACCGAAGAATGTTTGGAAGTCATCGAGTACCTGGATACCCGTCTCGCCCTCCATGTCAACGATTTGTCGGAAACGCTGGTTAAGAAGTACTCATACGCGTTCTACTCCAAGGCTGCGACGTTCGTTGTTCAGTGGTACCTTCAAGGCAATCGTTTTTCTCCTGCTCGATCCACTGTTGTACCATTACCCGTCACGCCCAAACGCTCATCGGTTTCTGCCATGAGTACGCCCGCAAGCACGACAACGACAGCCTCTGATATCTCGGATGACATGCCCATGACACCGACTACCCCTTCGTTCAGCAGCGATCCTTTCACGAGCTCGCATTCGTCGGACGACAAGGAAAACCTGTCATCGACATTTGAGCCTGTTCTTAACAAGCTTCGTCTCGACAACCCTCCAGAGCAATACCTTCCACACGACTTTGTCATGTTCGGACGCCAAGCTCTCCACAATCTCAACATCTCGTCCCCCCGCACGGCGCTCGTGTCATAACGGTCAGAAGCAGGCCGTTCTTGTTTCAGTATCACCAGTTGTCTTTTGTCTTTGTCAAAACGCAAGCAATCCCGCAAAATGTAATAACAATACACGTCGCACCGACACCTCGCAATATTTGTTCCCTGCAATTCACTCCACATGCATACATCCATCACTTTCCCTTGCAATTGTCTCATTCTCATCGACCGCACCTATATCCTACCTGGCAACACAACCTATTCGAAGGCCGCAAAGTGTATACTTGGGCGGAGGGACGGTTACCTTTCGTCGTTGTTGCGTCTCGAATTATCGAGATTGTCTTCAATGAGGAATGAAGAGACAGTTTTAGTTTATCTGCCTTGCTACCATGGACCCTCCGCACTTTTATTTTTCTCTTGTCAGGCCCTTCTCCGATGCCGTCCCGCCCAGCACTTTCTCTTTCTCGTCGTCCACAATCCCCAGTCCCACGACTTCCACTCATTCTTTCTGTCACTCTATGCATCCACCTCATTCCCCCTCCATCCATCAACTACTCACCCTCGCGCACTCTCGACAGACACTCACCCATCATTGGGGCCCCAGTAGCAATTGCGTTCGTTTTATAAAGTATTTTATTGTTCACTTTATCGTATTCCTTCTCTTTTCTTTATCTTTTCAGTGCCGACGGTTCTGGTCCCTCCCAACCAGCCTCCGTATATTTTTTGGTTTCTTCTCACAATCCGCGCATACACCATCCTCTTTTCCGAGTATCCCGTCGGCACTTTCTTTTTCCCTGCAATTACTACTTCAACCTCTGTCGCATTGTTACGGGTACTCTCGTGTCCCATAGTACCTCCAAACCAATCCACCTGTCTTCCGAAAACCCGAAGGGAAATTAGGACCGCGAGATGGCATCAAGGTACGGTGCACAGGAATACCTGAGTGCCTTGTGCATGAGACGGGGTCCCTTCATTCTTACTGAGGTTGGAATGCCATTTGATCTCGATCCAAGTTACCTATCTCCTGATACCATCTGATTTGCGTGAAGACATCTCTCATTGGAGCCATAACCCCCTTGGCTAGCGATCATTGTATGTGTATCGCGGACACAGTAATCATGTAATGGAACCCACTTCAAAGAAGTTAATGATTATGAAAAAGGGTGAATAGAGGAAGAGAAATTATGTGAACGGCGCAAGATCTTGTCAAATTGTCTTTCGTTTCCTTTGCCACTGGTACAAAAACTACTATGCTATATTATTCAAAAAAAAAAAACAAGGGGGATCGAGGGCGCACGCTAGCTGCTCTCCACGACGTCGGGGGACTCCGTTTACTCCAGAATCCATTGCTCCCCATCCTTCTTGATGCCAACCGGCCTTTTCTCGTCTAAACTTATACGGCCGGCGTTGAGAATCGCTGTGGTCAGGACCGTATTCCTGATGGTTGGGAGCCCATGTTTGTCATAATCCGAAGGCTGCGTGAGGCCGGTGTTCACTTCGCGTACGGCGTCGACGAATTTCTCGATAGAAATGTATCCATAGCCACGCTGGCCATCGAAGTGACCGCTTTCAGAGGGCGAATATTTCATGCTATACAGTGTGTACACATGGGTGTTAATGGTCAGCGCATCAGAATTTGATACACGGGGCACCAGCGGAGACATCGGGGGAAAGAAATCGTAGACTCACTAGAAGGGGTTCACCCAAGACTTGCCAGTTTCATCGACGGTGACATCGTATCCTCTGTGCGCCTGGTCAACATTGATGTCACCCTAGAGAGGAGTGGAGTAAAAATGGTGCAAATAGCGCGTGAATAAAGGACGTGACATCCTGAACGGAATTTATTTGCCTTTTCTCCCATATAATACCAATGCTGGGCGCTGTGGACCCCGGACTTAAGAGGCGCTGTCCAACTGGCGGTATAGACAGCTGTGCCTTTATGAGTTGGACTTTTCAATGATTGCCAATCAACCAAAAGTGTGATCGTGTCCTCCGTCTCCGGAACGCAATTGTACGGCGCGCTAGTCGCGATTCCGGTTGCTGCGCTGGCGACGACGCGCGTTGGAACCGCGATGTCCTGCAAGATCCAGCAGCAGATATCGATGTGATGAGACGAGAGGTAGTAACTGCGGCGAATTTTTAGACTCGAAGAAGGTCCGCTTCCACGGTTTCATGGACCCACCTGATGTCCGAGTCCTTCCCGGCCCATGCCCTGAATGTCTCCAATTGACTCTTCGGTTGGCTCATCCAGGCGTTGAAGAAATTAAACTCTCCGAGAGTCGCGGCCCTCGCTCGTGCATCGCTGTAGACTGGGTCGAAGCTACGGCAGCAACGGGTCAGTCACCGAATAATGGATAGATACTTGAAGGCGCTTACCGCTTATGATGCTCAACGAAGCAGACAACATTGTGCTTTTGAGCGGCCGCGATTAGCTCATTGTGATGGGCTAGAAGCTTTGTGGCGGGCTTGGTGACAAGAACATGTAATCCGCGCTCGATGGCATAAATAGCGATGGGGAAATGGGTAGCTTCATGAACGTGAGCTATAGTGAGCGGCGAGTGGGCATCGGGATATAAATCACGTACTATCGGGAGTAAAAATGATGACGGCCTCTCCGGGGCTCATTTTGTCAATGGCCGTTTTATCTGCGTATAATGTCTCGATAACTTGACATCGGAGCCAATAGGGTTGAATAGGCTTACAGGCATCCGCATCGACGAGGTTATCCTTTGGGAATTCCTCGAAGCTAGGCTTGGAATTAGCAGGCGCCGCGAACTGCGCCACAAATTCCTTACGAGACATCCATGTCTTTGTAAGCTCCGGCGATATTCTTCTCAAGATGTTGCCTGATGGCGGGGAATTTCTTCCCGTTGACCCCTACCATCCCAAGGTGATTGACCTGGGCTCTTGTCAGGGAAATATCGCATGAGACGTGCGGGAAGCGATAGGTACCTTGTCACGCCTCCTCAAGTCGAAAAGGGTAAGAGCGACAACCTTCATCATGTCAAACCCTGATCTCGAACAACACAGGGATCACTTACACCGATCTAGAATCGAGTGAACGTTGTAGAGTATCACAAAGAGGATGTGCAGGGCTTACCTTTTTGTCCGATGTAGAGGCCCCCGAACCTGTCCAGCCAGTGGTGTATTCACCCGTGCCGCCTGAGCACGGAGGGCAAGCGTTTCAACACGGGTGCAAATAGCGTCATTCAGCGTCACATACACATGAGGACATTGAGCTTCTTGAGGTCAGCCATGGCTTGCCTGTATGTGGGGGAGGGAGAAGAGAAGGTAAGGGGCTGTAGAAGGCAGCCATCGGCCTCATATATAGTCTCTGGCAAACCACGGAGCAAACCACGGAGAATCTGTGGAGGAAGGACCGTCGGCGGACCGTAAGCAGGGAGCGGCGGGCCGAGATGGAACGGAACGAGCTGGGTCACGTGCATGCAAGGCGGCACGCACGTGTTGTGACGTCAGGAGGATAAAGAAAAGGCAGAATTGTTTGAATGTTGCCGCCCTCCACAATGTCCTCTCCACCCCCAGAGCCGCTCTTCACACCCCGCAAGGAGTTCATACGCGACCAGCAGCCTCAGACGCGGAACACCTTCGCACTTCTCGCGCTCTCTAGTGCAAATTGTGTTCGCCTGTACTCGTTTTCAGCGGCTGCTGCCGCGGCTGTGCGCCGCTTATTGGAGCAGACGCTTCCTATCCTTATGGTTCGCGAGGACACCGTTCAGAATCTCTGTGAGTACACAGTCGATGGAAAACCATGGGCCAACGCCAAATCCGTCGCTACCGAGAAGCTCCTCGTCGACATCATCGCCCTCATTTACCAGTGCGGCTATACATATCTGTCAACCATTGATTATGGAAGAGAAGCGGATGATCGTCTCGCTATGGCCTTCTCGAAAGCAGACATCAATCCTCCTTCCAGCCGGACCGCCACCCCTCTCCCACCTTCATCCTTAACTGCGCGAAATGACAGTTCACGCAGCTCCCTTGGCGAAAAACCCAAGGCCCGCCGCATTCCATTTGCATTGTCTTTCTCATCCGTGACGCTCATGAGAGTAATTTCACCGCCTCTCCATCTCACTCCGGCAATTTTGCAAGCCGTTCGAGGATCCTGGCCTCGTGGAGTGGTGTCTGAGAAGAAGGTCGGAGAGAACTCCTATGAATTTAAGCTCAAGGGTTATGGGTGTAAGCGTCATGAAAGAGTTTTTATACCCAAGTACTGAGTCGTGGATCACAGGGTTTCAGCAGGACACATTCGCGACTGACTCCCTCCAGCACATCCTTGCCTTATTAACCTCCCTCGATTCACATTCCTTTTCCCTATTGACGTCTATCTCACTCACCAATCGTTCTCGAGTCAAGGATTTGTGGATTTTCACCGGTCCTGGCCCAGAAGACGGCACCGAAGTGCTGGAAAATGTTCTTAATGCCAGCCAGCCATCTCTCAAGCGCACCTTACTGACAGCTGGGACAAGCAGCGAATCGCAACCCAATGCTCAACAGCAACAGCACCGACGACTAGCTACTGAACCTCTGCCTCCTATCCCACATTCGCCTAATCCACAGCATACGCGTGCTGCGACTGACAGCTCGCTACGACCTAACTTCCCTGCTCAACCTCATGTTTTACGCAAACCTGCACCTAGGGCCCAGATTCCCGTCTCAGTGGTGCAGGACTCTGACCTGCCTGAACAACAGCAACAGCCACTTATTCGGGCCCCCATGCCTAGTACCATCTCCACAGGAGTCGAGAATATGACGGGTGTTGGGTCTGGGGGTGGTCGCACTCCCGACGTGTTCTATGACACCCCTCCTTTCAGTGCAAACAGCCAAACGCACTTCTCACTGCCTGTTCCAGTATCTCCTTCACCGAGGCCCATGAGAAATGTTCCAACGGATGTTGAGCGACCACTGCGACCTGTTTCTGACAGGGCAAAGACACCTCCACTCTTGATCTCCAGATCACCTCCCCCCTCGCCTCCCAGAGGTTCATCATCGCCGCATAACTCCAAGCCTTCTACGCCCATCGTAGAGTCGGGACCCTCTCCGCCTCTGCTCGGAGGTGGCGCCTTTAGAGACTCCGCGTTTTCGTCGAGTAGCGGGGCGACCGTCGAGATTCCCATCCAGTGGACAGGCCCTTTGAAGGAAGAATTCAAATTCGACCAGGAGAAACCGCCCAGACTGAAGTCAAGCCGCCTTTCGAGTACTCCCATGTTTCCTGGTGGTTGGCAGCCAACTCCCATCGCAGAAAAGGCAGAGGACGAGACTGGCATACCGGCACCACCTGTGCAGCAGACACAGCAGACAACGCCTATTCACGAACTCGACTCTCGTATAGAGTCACCGGAGATCATGCAACCCGACGTGGCGCTGAGAAAGAGTGAAGCAGCTTTGGTCGGCATCATACAGTCGACGTCGTCCCCTCCTCCTGTACCCTCTATGCATCAGCCGGAAAGGAAGGATACAACTGCATCGAGTCCTGGAGGGAAAGGATGGGTTCTTGTCAACGTGGACAACAACGCTGTGAACGGGACAGCTCAGCAAGCAGCCACCAACAGCGAACCTCAGGCAACTTCCTCTCCAGAAGGCCCCATTCCTGGATCGCCCAAGCCTAATGGAGTCGCCAAACCCAATACGCCCGTGCCTGAGCAGGCATCTCCTGCAGCTAAAGCGATCGTGATCATTGACGCAATGGAATCAAAGCATAAGAAATCGCAGTCGGCTTCCAAGAATAAGGAAGAGGGCTCTTCAGGCCTCAAGCGGTTCTTCTCTCTGAGTAGGAAGAACTCGGTGCGTGAGTCACCTTAGCCTCGTTTTCTTGACTATTGAGTGTCTCATTTCCTAGAGAAGGGGGGCCGAAGAAGTGAACAAGCCCCAGGAACGACCTGAGGCAGAGAAGCTAGCGCCTAATTCTATTCCAAGGTCTAATCTTCGAGATAGGCTTCGACACCTCGGAACGCCCGAAGCCTCTCGGAGAGAGGACAAGCGCCGCAGCATCGATTAAGCTGCCTGCTTTTCATGTCTTCCTTCGAGCTGGTCATATGTATTTCTCGCCTTTGCTTCCTTCTACACTCTTTAGTTTCTTATGTACAACTTACGTTCGATCTTTGCGGTTATTTCTGGACAACATATGGGACGACACATCTACATTCAGACGTGGTATAGATTAGTGTGTATCGAATGCATCGATTAGTGTATGCTGGCTAGTAGTTTGTGATGACAATTGTTACTCTTGAGCGCGTTATGTCACGTGGGTGAGGAGGGGAAAAGGCTTGTCCGTGTTACCTCAGTGAGTTGAAAACGACGAATTTCTCAGAGTCCGAACCCGGATAATGGCTGGCTTTCTTCCTGCCAACGGAGCAGGTCCGCGATGCGACGAATCCGGGGTCTGGTGGTGGGGCACGACGCGGGAGACAGGGCAGGGGCAGTAGCGGTGAAATCAGCAAGGCCACGGACCAGAGCCCGGCAGGCTCGACCCGACGCCGCTGCGGTGCTGGTCGGGGAGTGTGGCGCGCTGAACGACGAGGAGCGCGTAGGCGGTGCACGTTGGGTGGGTGTTGGGCGTTGTGGGTGTGTGGGTGTAGGTAGAGGTAGCAGTAGCTGGAGCATTTGCAGTAATAGGATGATCAGTCCCCGTTCTCCGACCAGCCACCTGTCCCTTTCTTTGCCGTCTGCCATCAGCTGCCCTCCCTTTTTCCTCCCACCACGACCATCCGCCCTGCCCCCCACTTCCTTCCGCCCCCCTCCATGCCTACCTGCCGCCGCAAGCGCGTCGTCCTCACAGAGCCCTCCGCCGCCCTCTTGCACACCGCCCAGACAGACCCACATAAGCATGTCTATTTCCTAGACCAGACAGGCGAAATATTCGAGACTTACGAGTGCGTCCCCACCCGCTGGCCCGCCACTCGCCCTCCACGCTCACCCTCCATTTCCTCCAGGGCCTATTCGGCGCGTATGTCCTTCTATCGCCTCAAACAGTTCCAGTGCGAAGTCACTGGCAAGAGTGGGCTCGACTACTTCCAGGCCGTCGAGAGCGAGCGCCAGGAGGCAAGGACTTTGCACTCCCGATTTTCCGAAACCCTCAAGCCCGCCGTCCTCAAAGCTGTTCAATGGCGTGCGTCCGCTCCTCCCCCTTTCTCCATTCATCGCCCTTGGACTGATTCCTTCTACGACGTACTATCTAGAGGTGATGGGTCGCCTTGACCACCTAGTAGACGCCGTCTACGAGCGCTTCAAAGACCGCTATTTCTTGGGCGAGAGTGCGTGTCTCTCTTTCCCTTCTCGCCGTCGCTCTTTATTGATTTTTATTGCAGGAGTGCTAGTTGACTTGTCTCCTGGTCACAGGTATGCCACCTATCCATCCTTATGTATGTTATGGCCGATCACCCTCCAAGGTACTACGCGCGTGTGGAGAAGGTATATCCACCAAAGTACAACGCGGATTCCAAAGCACGCGATGCATACATCGATGCTGCTTCAACATCGGCACTTGATGATGACCCACCCCATGTTATTGGAGGCGACCTCCACTATACTCTTCAAGAGTCAATTGCGAAGGACGACCCTGCATTGTACTATTACTGGGTTCATCTCACAGAGCTGGAGAAGGACAAAAGTCACGAAAAGGGAAAGTCCACTCCAAAAGTCACAGAGCACGACAAGAAGCTCATAGGAAGCTTGATTGAGGTTCAGTGCAATATACTAAGGTCAGTGCAGACGTACCTTGGCCGATGCTGCCTCTAATTCGCGATGCTAGTCGTGATCGTCTTTCCTTCTCGAAGTCCATCCTACGCCGATTTATTCGTGATTGTGTCGATCGTGACGCCGCTGTCGCTTCCCCGTGGACTGTGAAACTCCCCATTGCAGTGCGATATGGCGTTGATTCGGTCATGCCGGAAGAGACGCGGCAGGGTGTTGAAAACATTAAGAAGGGAGAAATAGACAAACGTAAGAAGATCTGGGAAGACAAGGAAGGGCCTCCCAATAAGAAGCAGAAGAAGATGACGGCGGCTCAAGAAGAGAAAGGTGCGTGCCTTCGCCGCAATATGCTATTTTGGATATTCATCCCATGTATGGTACTCGTGGTCTCTTCCAGCCGAGAAACGTGAACGGGATGCGCGAGAGAAACTGGAGAAGCAACGACTGGCGAAGGAGGAGGCGGAACGTATCGCAGCAGAGAAAAAGAAGAAAAAGCCTGTACGGTATCCCACTGAAGATCTCGATATTCGTATAGGAGAAAAAGACAAGAAAGCCGGGATGCGGTTGACACGACCTCCAGCCAATAGTGCCTGCCTGCCCTTCAATAACACTCCTGGCACATTCGAAGCCTTCCTCATGGCCTGGAACTTCCTAGTTGTTTATGGGTAAGCTTCATGTTTTCCCCATGATCCTTGGTTTAACATTGCGCTTTTTTCAGTCAACCTCTTCATGTTTCAGTATTCTCGTTGGACGAGTTCGAGCACGCACTTCGCCATTCTGTTCCCGATCAGCCCTGTTCCCTCCTTGCTGAAATCCATTCAACATTAATTTACAATCTACGGACTGTTAATTTCATTCGACATAGCGCCATCCTATCTCTCTTGCAGCTCAAGGAGTATCTGGAAACACACCAGCAATCGACTGCTGTTCTCGGAATTACGATTGACGAACTGACGGGGGCTATGGCCGATGTCGGCAATAACTGGGAGCGAGTCCCACTCCGTCATACCGAGGGCCGTGAAGGTTGGGAGGACGCTCTCGTAGGATGCCTGAAAGACGTTTGTACCAATTTTCTTACTCTTGAGATAGCGGAAACTGACCTGCCTCTACAGCATGCAAATACAACAAATTTCCCCAGACTTCAGGAGGTGCTCACCAGACTACTGTTTGCCCCTTCTGAAACGGAATCTGGTTCGAAGGGACCCACGCCTGCGGACGGCGAGGCCGTCCTAAGCACACCCTCTCCTCCAAGCGAGAGATATTGCTATCTACCTCCCGAAGACCGTATCGCTATTCTATCCTTTATGTGCAATCTTGCCATATCTTCGAAGGCTATTCATGCTCATATGGAATCCTGCGAGGAGCAATTGACGGCGCTCCGGAAAGAAAAGATTGAGGTCAATCGAATGAAGAAGCAATTGTAAGAATTTTTCATCGTTGTTGTCGGATCGGTTCACTGACCCAAACACACAGCTTAGAAGAAATGGGTCTTCTCAGCAGCGACTCGAAAGACTCGAACGGCGGGACACCCAACGGAAGTGGCGAAGATGTCGTCATGCAGGATCCGAGCGAACTGTCGGATGCATCCGAAGGTGTAGAAGAATCAACCCCCTCAGGTAGCAAGAGGAATGCGCGGCAAAAGGCTCATGCCAAAGAAAGAGAGGCGGCAAGGGCGAAGCGGGCTTCTCAAAAGCAAGCAATGGCAGAGCGTCGTCGGTTGGATGAAGAAGTCAACAAACTAGAACGAAGACTAGAGGGCATCGAACGGGAGTTCAGGAAACTCCTGGGATCTGTCAGAGTCAAGCCCCTCGGCCGTGACCGATTCTATAATCGTATTTGGTGGTTTGATGGTATGGGTTCTGCGTCGTTGGTTGGCAGTGGTGGGATTGCCTTGTACGGAACAGGAAGGCTGTTCATCCAAGGCCCGAGCGAATTCGACCTTCAGCAACTAGAGAAGAAGGCCATCGAGGACAATGAGGACATCCTTGCGCGGAGAAGGGAGGAAGAAGGCGAGGAAGGCATGCTGGGGCCCCAAGATTGGGCAGTATATTCTGAACTGGAAGAGGTTAGGCCCATGCTCGTGTACGTCTCTATATGCTCATTTTTCTCGCAGCTGGAGGCCTTCGTGTCATGGCTGAATCCGAAAGGCTACCGTGAGCTTGCTTTGAAGACTGCGTTCACCAAGTGGTGGGTGCACATCACAGCAGGGATGAGGAAGCGGATTGCGGTATGTGGCTTGAATTATCACCTTGTCCTGATCATCCCTGATCGATAATTCTCCAGGATCTGAATGCCAATGCGAAAATCCCTGACGCTCGACGAAGTTCCCGCAAAACAGCTCTTGCTGACCTTTCGAGAGACCCATATATGCTTTGGACGAACCGCCGAGCAGTCAATTCGTCCTAGCAACACCACTCCGTAGGTAGACACGTTGCATACTTAGATCAATCCTGTTTAATAGTACAGTCGCTTGAGGATCCGTTTACGAAGAGCGATGATAATGCAGGCATGCATGTGAGAATGAAGAAGATCGGCGAAGCTTCCACCAAGATAAACAACCTGGTTCGGTAAAACATATAGAGTAGTAAGCGGTTCCTGCCTCTGGTGGGTGCAGATAAGATCCGTTGGTGCTCCACGAAGTTTTTCTTCCCGTCTCTCATCGCCATTGTGCATGGCCTCATTCCCTGCGTCCTTCATCGGGTCAGCGTCAAGCGCAAGGTCTAGTGTAAGAGATGCAATTCAGTCTTGTGAGTCCCTCTTCCTATTCCGAGCCGGCCTCCTATCACTCACGCGGTTCAACTCCCAGATCGACGCGCTCAATACCTTGTAGCAGGCTCTACAGTCGCCTCGGCTTCCGAGACGTCCGACGTCGAGGAAGACGACGAGGAATGCCAATTTGATTCACGCCGACGATTCGCCACCGGCGAAGACGAGGATTACGACTCTGCAGACGAGAATGATCTAACGGACTTAACGTCACCTGCCCGGGACCGTGACGACTCCTTCATCGGACAGCTGGACTGGGACGAGGATTATGATTCTCCTCGACAGTCAGTTCGGAGGGAGCAGGCTGCTCGCGCTGCGAGAGGAGGGCGTTCGCACGAAGCCCGGAGTCCATTAGGCATCCATGTCTCTTCGCCAACCCATCGTGAGGACACTCCACTATTGACCAAGAAACCCTCCAAGATATCTTTCGCGCCATCCTCTCACCCTCAGCATATACATGGAGGACCACCCGCTACCAAGGACACGTTAATTGTCCCAAGCATGCCATCCTACAATGCAACCCTCGCACCTCCTCCACCTTTGTCTCGCCGCCTTTCCTCCAGCTCCGCATTAAGTGCAAAAAGCGGGCGGTACCACTTCGGTGGAAGGAGTACCTTTGGACAGACGGTACATCCTATCAGCTTATCTGTAACATTTCCGGGTGCTAAGTCCCGAGTCCAACAGCTGTTCAATTCTATTGCCATCTTGCTTGGCATTGGCATGCTCTCAGAACCACTCGCGTTTGCATACGCTGGATGGGCTATGGGCACACTCTTGATCATTTCCTATGGGTTTATTGCTTGTTATACGTATGTCTCTCTTCTTCCACCTTTTACCTGTTAGCCAGGGTGTTGACTCGTGTTAAGCGCGAAGATTCTTGCGCATGTAATCTGGTCAGATCCTCGCATACGCTCCTATTCAGATATCGGACGCAAGGCATTTGGACCGAAGGCGACACCAGTAATCTCAGTGATGTTTTGTTTGGAACTGTTCGCTGTCAGGTAAGTGCCCACCTTCACAAGTATGGTTGCCTCGATTTTCATCCTTTCACAGCGTGATTTTGGTCACCTTGTACGGAGACTCCTTGCACACTTTACTTCCTGAGCATTCATCAAATGCTTATAAGGTCTGGGGAGCGTTGATGTAGGTTAAAACATTCGCCATTAATTCACTTATGCTAACATAAGACGCAGACTCATCCCGACGGTCTTCCTTCCTCTTTCGCTTTTGTCATACACCTCGGTTCTGGGAATCATCTCGACTATCCTCATGGTTGTTGTCATCTTTATCGATGGCCTATCCAAGACAGATGCTCCTGGAAGCTTGTGGGTTGGTGCTGAGACAGATGTTGGGGTCAAGAGTTTTACACATCTTGGAATCGCCTTTGGTCTATTCATGGCTGGGGTAATATAGATGCTTAATCGTGTAGAACCAAATGCTCAGCGTATCTTTTTCACAGTTTTCTGGACATGCGGTCATTCCATCTCTTGCCAGAGACATGATGGATCCTACTCAGTTCGACAGGATGATTAACCGAGCATTTGTGAGTTTTCCCGACCTACTTCCTCTCTGTAGCACTTATCAATCAATTACTCCTTCCAGGTTGTTGCAACTTGCATATACACTGTTATTGGATATGCTGGCTATCGCATGTTCGGTAACAGCGTCAGCGACGAAGTAGATTTTAGCTTACTACCCTTTTGGTATCAATCTAACTCCTAGTTTCAGATCAGCGTAGACCTTCTGCAAACTCCTGGCTACAACCCAGCTCTCAATCACCTCTGCCTCTGGTTGCTTGTCCTCAGCCCTTTGTACGTCAATCAGCTTATATTGGGAGGTACATATTTGAATCCTGATCTGCTTCGCCACTAGGTCCAAATTCGCTCTCAATACTCAACCTGTGGGTCAAAATACCTTTCCTTTCTTGAGCGTGAATTCACGGACTCCCCTCACCAGCTCAATGCAACAATCGAGATCTTGCTCGGCATTGATACTCCCATATCCTCACCGGAGGACCTTGCTGATAAGCCCGACGGTTTATCAGTCGCACCGAAGGGGTCAAATTTCGGGAACTGGAAACGGTTCTTAGGCGTCTTGCAGCGTGTTTGCCTGACAAGTCTCGCTGTCGCCGTTTCCATCTGGGTCCCGGAATTCAGCTCCATGATGGCCTTCCTAGGGTCATTTTCTGCATTCATACTCTCCATTGTTGGACCAGTCATGGCAAAGATCATGATCGAAGGACGCTGCGGGGCGTTCGATGCTACAATTGTTGTAGTTGGAACGGTGATGGCGGTCTGGGGGACAGTGGCCGCTTTTATGGCCTCATGAATTCACGCGAACACACGATTTTAACTTTTAAGGCGCTCCAACTTCATGACACATTTTGACATCCTCAGCAAATGGATGATTTTGTGGATTACAAGTCAAACTCTACACAATCGTGAACTACATATCTCAACTTTTTGCAACCGAATGAGCAATTATTTTTGTCAACTCTGCGAAAAGGGGCAGTCAGCGAAGCATAACACAATGCGATGACCCCTCTCAACGTACGAGGGAGTTTAATCGTTTCTTGAACTACGGTTGCCTCAATCTGATTGTCAGGGTTCGGTGGCACAATAATGACTGAGGTCGAAGGGTCGACCGCCCAACCCAATTTTTGAATGTATGCACCCAACTCGGCTCCTAGAAGGGGTTCAAAAATATAATCTAAGAAAAAGAAGAACAAGGGTCCTCACCTGTCAAACCCAGGTAGGAACCCAATCTTTCAGAGGTAATTCTTGTGAATGTCGCTTTGACGGCACGAACAGCGACTGTCCGCACGGCGTCCTCAAATCCTACCACCTCAACAGTGTAGTTTTCCCGGAGAGATTCCATCTGATCGGATCTGTAGATTTGCCAGAAGGCAGGGAAGCGGCAGCGGAAGAGGAGGTTGTGCAAGCCCTTGAGCACAGGCAAGACGAGCGGGAGCGGGTCGGGCTCATCTAATTGAGCATTGGGAGGACGCTCATCGAGAAGGGATATGCAAAGGTTGAAATCGGGCAGAGGGGAGGAAGTAAGGGCTTTGAGGAGGATGTTGATAACCACGTCCGGGTTGTAGAGCTCTGGGTTGAACTGATAACTGTGAATTGGCGTCAGGCCAGACATCAATTCTTTAGCCAGGCAAACTGACGCACAGCTTCAAGATGGCCAAATTAGCCAGACAGTCATACTCTTCGCTTCTGATTTGGTGATAAAGGTAGTCCTCGAGGATGCCAACGTTTGAAGGATTGTAACGGTCTGAGCAGAAAACATAAATTGGAAGTCAACTTGCATATCGAAGGCACGTACCAACACCTGAGACAAGGTTTTCGATGAGCTCTGAACGCGTCGGGGGTGATAACCACTCGGAAGTCATAGCGAGTACGGTCGAAGTGGAAGTAAAGGACAAGCAAGCGCCAAACTTTTTCCAGGCACGTGCGACGACGGCATCAGGACGACCTTTCATTCGAACCACAACCATGGACTTCGTCATTTACCATGCAATCACAACAGACTCAATCCTCTCAGAATAATGACTCAGAAGCAGCTCGACAAGAATCTGCCTCCTCCTCATCATCCTCGAAACCCGATTTTAAGCTGCGTTTCGTGTTAAGTGGGCACAAATCTTCGGTGTCTTCCCTCAAGTTTAGTCCAGATGGTTCACTTCTTGCTTCGGCTGGTATGTTCCTTTTATCTCCGAATATCTTCCCGAGTTAAAGGATTGGGAGAAAAGGCGCGGACAAGCTGATCAAACTCTGGAACGGAACAACTGGAGAATTCATTCAGACACTTCAAGGCCATACGGAGGGCATCTCAGATATCGCGTGGGCGACCGATGGCGAATATCTAGCATCTGCCTCAGATGACAAGACGATCAAGATATGGAGTATGGAGGAGGTGATTTCCACCATTTACGCTAGTCAGCTGGAATTTATTCTTCCTAGCGCAGTGAAATCAAGACGCTTGTTGGGCACACCAACTTCGTTTTCTGTGTCAATTACAACCTCCATTCAAATCTTCTTGTATCTGGCGGATTCGACGAGACTGTCCGTATTTGGGACATTGCAAGAGGTCACTCATACGTTTAGTTCTGAAATGACTTTGCTAATAAGGCATGTAGGGAAACCTTTGAAAGTTCTACCTGCTCACTCAGATCCTGTAACTGCTGTCAGCTTCAATCACGATGGCACCCTTGTTGTTTCATGTGCTATGGATGGGTTAATGTAGGACGTTCTATCACATATGATGTTTCTGGCTCACCTACTTCAACAGTCGTATCTGGGACGCCGAGTCTGGACAGTGTCTAAAGACCCTTGTGGACGATGACAATCCCATATGGTCTGCAACTCTATGTTTCTACCCTTGTGGTCATCAACCTGATTTTTGTAGCTCGCATGTCAAGTTTACTCCAAACTCTAGATTCGTTTTGGCATCTACCCAGGACTCCACCATTCGCCTATGGAACTACCAGACTTCACGATGCGTAAAGACATACACAGGCCATATGAATAGGACGTACTGCATCCCGGCATGTTTCGTAACAACGCCGAAGGGGAAGTTCATTGTGAGCGGAAGTGAAGACCATAAGCTGTATATCTGGGATTTGCAAACTCGTCAAGTCCTCCAAGTCCTTGAAGGCCATCGCGGTAAGACTTCACTCGGTTTGGTAGAATTTGTACTGATATTCGTTCCGAAGATACTGTCCTGGCTGTTGCAGTGAGTCTTCGTCTAGATTACGTCTTTCTCAGCTCATGTGCCACCTTCTCAGGTCCATCCATTCCGAAATTTGATAGCATCCGCTGGGATGGAGAAAGATTTGACAGTCAGACTTTGGTTTGATGAGTAGGCCTATAGCGTTGGTTGAACTCCTTCGTCTTTGCCATGGACTAGATTTCGATAGGCCACTTGCGGAGTTGCGCCATAGAGCTTGGAAGTAAACGCTTGGCTGCGCACTGCTGTAAAGTAGATGTAGCGTGCTGTGTAACCTAGTAAGCGCACTGAGAGAAACGCATCCTTTATGCGCTTTCAGAAGATTAGAATAATCGAGAGTGTACAGGAACTACGATGGCAGTTCCGGCGCGGTCAGGGGCTTGATAAGACACCACGTCTGAGTCAGAGAGGCAGTACATTTCAATCTCCGCTCGGGTATATATACCCCAACCCTCCAGCGGTTGGTTCACCAACCCTTTCTTCCTCACTTTCACCCGAACAACATGCAGATCTTCGTGAAGACCCTCACTGGCAAGACCATCACCCTCGAGGTGGAGTCCTCCGACACAATTGACAATGTGAAGGCCAAAATCCAAGACAAGGAGGGGTGAGTGCCTTCGCCGTTGAACCCTATACCCTAGGCTGACGTCGTGTAGCATCCCTCCCGACCAACAACGTCTCATCTTCGCCGGAAAGCAGCTTGAGGATGGCCGCACCCTGTCTGACTACAATATTCAGAAGGAGTCTACTCTCCACCTCGTTCTGCGCCTCCGTGGTGGCATGCAGATCTTCGTGAAGACTTTGACAGGCAAGACCATCACTCTTGAGGTCGAGTCCTCCGACACTATCGACAACGTGAAGGCTAAGATTCAGGACAAGGAAGGGTAAGCATCCGATCTTATTATCGAGGTAGCATCGCTCTTATCAGTTGCCCATCAGCATCCCGCCCGACCAGCAACGTCTAATCTTCGCCGGGAAACAGCTCGAGGATGGACGCACCCTCTCCGATTATAACATCCAGAAGGAGTCTACCCTTCACCTCGTCCTCCGCCTTCGTGGTGGAATGCAGATCTTTGTCAAGACCCTGACGGGCAAGACAATCACCCTCGAAGTTGAATCGTCCGACACAATCGATAACGTCAAGGCCAAGATTCAGGACAAGGAGGGTATTCCTCCCGACCAGCAACGCCTCATCTTTGCCGGCAAGCAGCTCGAAGACGGACGCACCCTTTCTGACTACAACATTCAGAAGGAGTCAACTCTTCACCTCGTCTTGCGTCTTCGTGGAGGGATGCAAATCTTCGTTAAGACGCTCACAGGAAAGACCATCACCTTGGAGGTCGAGTCCTCTGATACGATTGACAACGTAAAGGCTAAGATTCAGGACAAGGAGGGCATCCCGCCTGACCAGCAACGTCTCATCTTCGCTGGCAAACAACTCGAGGATGGTCGCACCCTTTCCGACTATAACATTCAGAAGGAATCGACGTTGCATCTCGTCCTCCGCCTTCGTGGTGGAATGCAAATCTTCGTCAAGACCTTGACCGGCAAGACCATCACCTTGGAGGTCGAGTCGTCCGACACCATTGACAACGTCAAGGCAAAGATACAGGATAAGGAGGGCATTCCTCCCGACCAGCAACGCTTGATTTTCGCCGGCAAGCAGCTTGAAGACGGACGCACACTCTCTGACTACAACATTCAGAAGGAGTCCACGCTTCACCTTGTCTTGCGTCTTCGTGGAGGCGAGTGAAGGGGATGCTAAGGGATGGGATGTTGATGCTCCTTGCTGTCGTCATCGTCGTTGTACTTGTCGTTGATACATCTTGCCACCATATTGTAAATCCTCTTATCTGCAGTTGTTACCTGAATGTCATTATGGTTTTGTTACTATGTCCGTGGCTGATTCTAAGTTACTGCCTTCATTCAGCTGGGTCTGGATTTTCCGCCGTCTCTTTCTCTTCTTTTTGGGACCAGCGTCTGTTGCTGTTCCCTGCTCTTTATCAGAGTCTAACCGTACTTTCTCATGTTCGCTTTCATCATCCTCTAGTTTTCGTTTCTTGGATGTCGAACTGTTATCTCGAGCAGGATTACTAGTACTTCGCCGGGGTTGTGGCCCTGGTTCAGTTTTCTTTTTCTTGACACTCAGTGGATTCGGGCCTTTCAGTCCTTTTCGCTTCTTCGGCGGTGGTGCTGGTTGACTTGATGTCCCAACTAATGCAAGATCTGGGGCAGAAGCATGGAGCTTTTGCTCTTCGGTCTACAATGGCTTGAGTGAATGATGCAAAAGAACTATTTGAATTCACAGCTCTCACAGATTCCTTTGCTTTCAAAGTTGCATCACTTGGGGGTTCAAGGACCATAACAGAACGATTGATATGAACAAGTGGGGTCGCAGGTATCGCACGCAATTTGACGCGGAGGGGCTGAAGTTGGGAGGCAATAACATATCGATGCTTGTTTTTATCACCTGCAACATTTTTTACGTCCACGTCTGCAAGAGAGGGACAAGAAAAGAAGACTGACCAACGACGCTCGATAGGCACTCATCTCCCGGGATAGCTTCGCGATGGTTGCATTTCCGGCGCTCGAACGTCTTCGCAAGGTCAACCGCAGGCTGCATGTCTCTTCCTTGAAGATAGAGTTCGTGTATGCAGCATTGTGTCATCACTACAGAACGACTTTGCCGTCAGGTCATTCAATAGTATATCGAGGCAAATGGGAGAGAAAAACCGACTTGGCTTCACGTCTCCTTGTAGGACGGTATGTAGCTGCTTCTGCAGATCAAGCTTCTGGACCACCGCTGATTTACAAAATTCTGAATCGACTAGAACAACGGGGGGTGTAAGCTCATCAGGAAACGAGGGAGGAGAAAAGGAATTTACCCAGCACTTGGTATGGCTGTCGAAATCCGAAGGACATGCAGTAGAGATGCATGAGTTTGCGATACGCTTTCGCCCTTTTTTGACGCATTTTTGCGGAATATTGAGGAGAGGAGATGTAAGAAGTGGTCGAGTTCAAGATTTGATCGTGGGAACCTTTTTTGGCGTCATAACGCGCCGACTCCGGGTTTGTTGGTCACTTCGACATGGCAAGGTTTGCTCTTCTTCTACAGGTCCTATCGTGGTGGGTGTTCTCTGTTTGAACGTGGCGAACATGGCTGAAATGTTAGTTGCAGGGCTGTCCTGAGCTATGCGCTTGATATCACTGGGCGGATTGCTTGGAATAGCGTTTGCTCAAGTCCGTTCCGCTTTGTCTCCTTCGATGACATGAATCTCACACCGGAGCAGACGCAACATCCCTTGGACAGGCAAAAGTTTGTCTGAATGAGGGTACTTTTCGTGGGAGCATAACGCGCGGTGGAAAGTTTGTAATGCAAGTCTCCTCTAATCTCTCAGTTGTGCCCGCACTCATTTACGTCTCTCAGACCAGATGTTCCCCAGGGCACATATATTTTATCGATCTCTTCCCATGATCACTCCTTTGAGCAGGTGTGCCACAATGTTACGCTCATGAATTCATGCTAACGGCGCACTCTTAGCTTCGCGTAGATGTTACGGACTCTTCTCTTCCACCAGAAGTTCGACCGTACATTGCTGGCACTCCCCTGAATCCACCATCTTCCGTTCTCCTCCCGTATCCCATCGTTTTGTCACCGAAAGATAAGAACGTGTATTTCGTCCCTCCAGAGAGCTTCAACCTCACGGGGATGCTTGCCAACCCCATGATGCTGTTGATGGTTGGGGCTGCTGTAATGGTATTTGCAATGCCCTATCTTATGGTGGCTATCCCACGCCTTGGCATCTTGTTCAACTGCTGATGAATCGCTCAGAAAAATCTAGACCCAGAGGCCCTCGAAGAGTTCAAGGAGCAACAAAGCAAGGTGAATGGCATCCAAAGTGCATTCCAAACCGGCGACTTCAAATCTGGGTATGAATATGTGGTGCCACTCCCTAAGTACAACTGATATCACGTTGTGTAGGTTTTCTGCTCTTATGACAGGCGGTGAAGGTCCCGCCCCGCAGGCGCCAACGAAAGCACCTCAACCTGCAGGTACTGCCAAGGGACGATCATCCAAGAAAGCAAGACGATAGTCATCCCACGCCCGTGTTAATATTCAATAGAGAGACCGTTTGGTTCAGCGGGCTATCAAGCTGTTGCAGAAAGAGGTTGAGCAGAAGTACCAGGAGACGTCAGGTTGTCTTCGATGTTGGCCGGATATTCAAGAGCGCGTCGGAGGATGGCGTTTCTGCTTGATGTATGATCAAGCACTGGTCTACCACATAAAATGGCCTTCTTACCGATGCTTGAACTGAGACAGTATTGCTTGCGCAGACTTGCGATCTCCTTGAGAGGCACATATAGCACTAGGACAATGAGAAGGAAAGTGTCAAAGACAATAGATCTGGCTTACTTGTCGTTACCCGTCGTTTCGATGATGAACATGGTGTCATTCCGAGGTACGCTGGTCTCGTCTGCCGCAGCACCTGGTGCCTCTTCTAATCTGAGGCCAGTGACAACCACATTATCCGAGATACTTTGAACGGTGGGTGGTGCTGACTGGGGGTCATAATTCAGAACTAAGACATGCTCGTCGGGTTGGTTCGGCAAGAGCGATAGCGGCGCATCGTCAGCGTAGTGATACTGGATAATGGGGTGTCCTAGAGTGTTTGACGGGGCTCCAGCAGGCAGATTGGAGAGCGTCGAATGGGCGAGGAGCACATAGAATGGTGGCTTGTGATCAGCCATGGTGCACTGACTTGGCGTCATGATCAGCTCAACTTGGCACATCCATGGGGCACACTACAACCTACCTGAAATGTTCCTGTCCATCGTCATCACAAGCCCAGGCAAGACGCATCTCCATCTCCTTCACAGAGCGCGCAGTCGAGGTCTGGTCGCGTTGAGGTCCACAAAGGCGTAAGCTGATAATATAGGTTCCTGACAGGAAGTATCATGCTAGCCCTCGACGACGTCGTGTGCCCTTGGATGGTCTCGTAGCAACCGTGTCCACTGCGAGGAAGTCCGGTGCCGCATATCAATTCCGTTCATAACATAAACGCTAACAATTGCTTGTGAGTATTCTACATCTTACCTTTCTCCTTCACTAGCGCTCTTACTCATTTCCCTTTCTTTTCCCAACCACATTCTTTTTTCACTTCATTCCTTCTCTATGGCACGTCTTACGGTCCTCCTTTCCTTAAGCCTCGCTCTATCTTCCCTTCCGAGCGGGCTCGCAGGACCGGCGTGCGCCAGGAAAAATTATCAGGTCGCAGATTGCGTGCAGCGATGTAAATCCAGGTGGGGTTGGACAGGCAGCCTCATGGGCTCTGATCCTTGGGGACCAGTCGTCAAGAAGATGGACGCTTCGAAGGACTTGAACGCGATCGTGGCTCAAGCCTGCGGCAGCGAGGTGTACGTCAAGCATTTTTGCGTCATTCTGCCATCTTGCTGACGGATTAGCGATCAGTCCATCCACCACAACCTCCTCCACGAGCGCGCATGCGACCAGCACGACTTCGTCGACAGAAGCCGTCAGAACTACGTCGACCTCCTCTACCTTCACGCGTTCGATCACGACTGCAGTTTCTTCGTCCACCTCTTTATCGTCTTCGACTTCATCCTCGGTGTTGTCGACCTCATCATCTTCTGCCCCGTCTACGACTACTTCTACCTCTGTAGCTGCCCAAGGCTTTGCCGCGTCTTTCAGGCAGCCACAGCCAACGACGTCATCCCCACCGCCTCCCCCAACCACGACTCGCAGAACTACCTCGACCCCAGCACCTCCTAGAACTACCCCGACTCCAACCCCGACTCCCGCAGCAGTTGTGCCTCCCGCTAACACTGGAAGCGGCGGAACCTCCGCTGCTGACATTCAAGCTTACCTCGCGGGACACAACACCGTCCGTGCTCAACACGGTGCTGCTCCTCTCACTTGGAACGACAATTTGGCTAGTAAGGCTCAAGAATGGGCAAATGGATGCCAATTTAAGCACTCTGGCGGAGCTCTTGGTGCTTTTGGAGGTTTGTCTTGTTATTCTCTTTCTCCCTCTGAAATTTAACTCGTCCGATGTGTCCAGAAAACTTGGCAGCTGGAACTGGTTCCAGCTACAGCATCGCCCAGGCTATTAAATCCTGGACGGACGAAGTTGGTAAGTTATCCCGAATTTCTCTGTCCCAAGGCAACGCCACAGTACGGAGCTTCATGCTAATCATATTGTAGTGGATTACAACCCGAACAACCCGAGCCCATCTCACTTCACGCAAGTGGTCTGGAAAGGAACCACCCAGGTTGGATGTGCGGTCCAAAGTTGCTCTGGAATCTTTGAGGCCCGCTTCGGGGTGAGTCTGCTCTGGTTGTTTAGGGATTCTTGTGATGTTAATTGTGGATGCAGCCTGCCAAGTATTTCGTTTGCGAATACTCTCCTCAAGGCAACATCATTGGCCGTTTTGGGTGCGTTCTCCCTGTTCTAGTCCCCTTCCTGGCCAATGCTCACGTCCTTCCGTTTGCAGTGAAAACGTCCAAGTCTAAATCGCATCTGGCCGATCGATACCTTCCTGGTTTTTCATCTCTCTTTAATTCTCAAGCTTCTCGCAGTGCAGGTCTTGTGCTTTGAACATCCGGCGGATGTCCGCTTTTAAGCCGCTTATACCTTCTCTTTTTCTTCTTCTCATTACCATCGTCTTGTCATTTCCCCTTTCTAATACCCGCTCACTCTCACTTAAAGCAATGTATTTGCGCTCTGCTGTCTGTTATTAAAGCAGAAGCTGGAAGTGCTCGCAATAAAGTCAGTTTTGTATGGAGTTTGAAGCTTGCATTCGTCCGACTTGAAAGTTGAGAGCAAGTTGAGATGCTGTTTGTGGACGAGACTGACGTCACCGAGCCAAACAAACACGGAAATAATTGCCCGAAACAGGAAACACGCTTCATGTCCTTTCAGCTTTCATGCTCTCTTCTCGAGTGCTGAGGACAACCTCTGAAACCGCGTATGGCTCCCTCGTCCTCATCACCGTAATCGCAGCTGCACTATCATGCGCGGCACTCGTCTCCCAGGCCGTGCGCACCTCACCCAACAGGTCTTGGTCGAAGAACATCAACGCGGTCATTGTCGGGGCGGCGTACTTCTTCCTTGTGAGTCTCGTCGTGCTTGTGCAAGCTTACGTTCGCTCATATGCCTGTAGTTCTCAGTGTCAGTGCTGTTCTGCGTGAAGCGCCGCGTCGCTGTGCGGCTCAAGCTCCAGAGGATCTCGAAGACGTATAGGACCGTCGGGCGGGACGACCTTCCAGGTGTACGTCCCTTCTTATACTGCACGACCCACACCCAACGCCGCGGCTGATACTTATGGTTTGCTTGCCTGCCTAAAGTCCGTGGACAAGTACGTGATGGAAGAGTACGTCCGCGCGTGTCTGGTTTCATTCGAGTCGCTGCCGACGGACGTGCACCACGAGGGATGGGGCAGGCCGGGTACGTCGTTCGTTCGTTCGTTGCTAGCAGTGCGCGTGTTTTCCATGCTTGTTTCAACGTTAAACGCACATCTCCCGTCTCGTCTTGCTATAATCACATTTAGGGACACAGTACAGCGGCATCCGATTCCGGCGTGCCCTCCTCGATACCATCCCGCGAATAGGTGCGTCCCACGCGCTTTTCATACCGGTATCCTAATAAGTTGTTCTGCCTGCCTTTTCGTTTCGTCTTCACTTTCAAACTCGTCAAACCCTGGTTACTCGATACGCGCAGACGAGCTCGCCCACCTGGTGATACCCCTTCATCCCAAGCTGAAACCGCACGCGCGGATGCTGCACCACTTCCGGTTCATCGCGCCGCTGCTGCCCAAGGACGACGCGGGCCTCTCGCCGCTTCATTATTATGATTCGGCGATCCAGCTTGTGCGAAACTCGAAGAGGGAGCTCACGGAAGAAGAGTTTGAGGTCGGCCTGGCGGCTGCAGAGCAGATCATGAAAAGGTGGGTCGTGTTACTCTGACATTTTATTTCTGGCAGCGTACTGAGAGTTTGCTGGACCGCAGTTTGAATGATTGTCGTTTGGAAATGCTCGAGTCCGACTCGACCACTCAGCTGTCCGATCCGTCAATAAAGTGATGTGATACACATCTGGTTCTCTCATGTAAATCTATCGTTTTGTAGGCACGCACGCGAATCTTACGATCTCATGTGAATAGGAAAGCACCATTAATTATTCTATGACTTGATGATTACATTAAAGGCAACACCATTGCCCCGTAAATCGACCAATTATAGCTCAGAACACGAAGACCTGATGCAAAGGATGAGACCAGAGTACTGTGCAGAGACACGAATAAAATACCTTGTCATGGAGCTTGCTGATGGTGTTGGGTACAGGGAACGTCAGATCTTCAAGATTTTTCCTACAGACCGAGGTTAGAAGTTGTACGTTTAGGAAACGCGTGAAAAGACGCACTTCATGGCAGCAACCATGGGAGGAGGCCCACAGATGAGAAGCTTGCTGTGAGACGTAGCAGGGTTGGGGAAATGCTCCTTGATGTGGTCCTTGGTGACGAAGCCAACACCACCCTTCCAGCCGGGGGGAGGGTTGTTGAGGACGTAGAAAATCTTGAAGCGCTTCTCATGGACGTCAGCGAGTTCCTCGAGGTCTTGCTTGAGGAGGATGTCCTCATTGTTAACGTTGGCGTAAATTAGGGTGATGGTCGTGCGGTCGAAGGGGTTCTTGAGGGCAGCACGGATGACCTGAATCATGGGAGCAATGCCGGTTCCGCCAGCGATCATGCTGAGGTGGCCAACAATATTGGGGGCATAGAGAAAGTTGCCCTTGGGCCCCTTGACGCGGATGGTGTCACCAGGGTTCAAGGCTGCGACGTGGCGAGAAATGTTGCCCTTCTCGTAGGTCTGTGGGAGATGGAATTGAGTGAGCGGAGACGGGCCGGAGGAATGGAGCGGCGGGAGCGGGTGTTACCTTAATGATGAGGTCAAAGCGACCACGGTCATCGTCGTTGCTGATGGGTGTGTAGCTGCGGGTGATGAGTTTACCATTTATCTCTGCGGAGAGAGCGATGTGCTGGCCTATGGGGAGGCCCAGAACGTCCTGGACGTGGGGGAGCTTGAAGCGGTAACTGGTGTGATGTAAGCGGAGGAAAAGTTTGGGGAGGGTTGGGAAGAGGGAGCGTACATTGCGGTGTTGGGTGAAACCTTGATCTTTTTCTCGAGAGGAAACTGCTTCCACGCGTTGGGGTCCAGGGGTTTGGTGCGACCTAAAGAAAAGGTGAGATGAAGTGCAGCGGAGAGATGTGGGGCGGACGTGCCGGTGTGGAGGACCTTGGCCAGGAAGGCGGTGGCGAGGACGGCTACGGTGGTAACTATGAACGTCGGAGAGGTTGCTACTGCCACGAGGTCGACGGTTCCGAGGACGGGGAGCTGGACGGCATTGAGCTTGAGGGCGTCGGCAACAGCGGAGACCTGATCCTTGAGGGACATGGATGGAGACGCGGGCTGGTCTTTGCTTGGGAGGCCGATGAGAATGAGATCTGCGACGTGGAAGCCTGCGTCGTCGAGTTTTCTGTTGATGAAGCGGGACACAAGAACAAGGGCGGCGAAGGTAGCAGCGAAGGACACGAGGAAGGCGAGCTGGTACCTGTTTGGCATTTTATACTAATAGGAAGGACGGGGGCTACTCTGGGCCATTTGAATTGAGTAAAAAGTCGCACGCCTCTTGCCTCTTACCCTCATTTTCTTCAGTTCACGCTGGTCGTGGGATGGATCCGGCGGTGCAGACAGCAGGGCTCAGCGGGCAGAGGCGACGGGGAGTGCCCGCCAACCTCCGCATCCAGCCCCCCGCTCATGTCCAACAAATAGCCATCGCTCTCGCCGACTCGGACCCCTCCACCCTTTCTTCGGCAGATTCAGACTATCCCCCCTTCAAACCCTCAGATCGCTCCGCCCGCAAAAACATGAAAAAACTCTCCCTCGACCTCCCCTCGGCTCAGTCGTCGTCCGCATCGCTCCTCGACCACCCCGCCGCTCCCAGTCCAGTCCCCTCCGAGCGCCCCCGCCGTCCCTCAATCGCCTCACTCCCGACAATTAATGCCACCGCTTCCCTCTTCCACCGCAAGGACGAGGACGGCGGCTCGCCAACAGCGCCCTACGCCGACGGCCCCGTACAGATCATCCCAGGCATATGGATTGGCTCAGAGGACAACGCCCGCGACTGGAAGGGCCTCATCGAGCGAGGCATCAGATCGATTCTCAACGTCGCAAAGGAGGTCGCTTCCCCATTCGACACAGCCGCAGCCGCCTCACAGTCCCTCCGTCCCGTCGTCTCTACCCCCAATTTCAGAGATCGCAAGCACCCACACTCGACCTACTACCCGGCCCATGTTCCCAGTGGTAGGCCCGCCATGCACTACCTCAAGCTCCAGTGGTCCCATGGTCAGCAGGATCTCGTCAAGGACGGTTTCAAGGCAGGCATGTCCTTTGCCGACGCAGCCTTGGAGCGAGGGGAAGGCTGTCTCATCCAGTATGTTCACATCACTCCATGTCCACACACCTATCACTCACCGCGTGATCTCCCTAGTTGTCAATGTGGCATATCTCGATCAGCCACAATGGTCATCGCTCTCGTTATGCGAGCGGCAGCGGAGCACCATACCTCTGTTCCTCCCGAGGTTTGGGAGTTGAAGGGTATGCAAGGCGCATATTCATTTGTAAAAGAAAAAAGTCCATGTGTTGGCCCCAATATGTCGTAAGGCTCCCCTTTTCCTATGTCCGTCCATCTACTAACTTGTCCAGTCTTATTTATCAACTTCTCGAGTACGAAAAACTCTTGAGAGGCGACAAGGGCTCCCCCAACGACTCTGATGGTTCATCAGGAACCGACGAGGAGGAAGAATGGGGCCGTCGTCGTAGGATGATGGAGGAGGCTTCCGATAACGAACCCGACGAACAGGAAAGCTCCCTGGTCATGCAAGAAGCTCATGCTTTGGACAAGGCCATGGAGGATCGCATCGTCGCCCGCAAATCCTCCGCCTCTTCCATGAGTTCGTTGGGATCAGGCTCCGGTCTCGGTATGGGTCATGCTTGGAGAAGTCGTTACTCGCGTAAGCGAACAGGCTCGATAGCGAGCAACAAGACCAATGGAAGCTTCCTCAGCGAGGATCTAGTGGAGGAGGATGAGGAGCAGGAGCTTCTAGGCGTTGGTGGGAACTCCGACAATGACAGCCGTCAGGAGGCGTTATCCTTGACCTCTTCACCAGACGATGAGGAGCATGACGGTACCCCCCGCAATGTCTTGGTAATGACACCAAGCCTAGCAACCGCACGTCCTCCGCCATCCGCTCCTGTTTGGAAGACCTCGTTCACTGTTTCGCCTCCACCGATGACCGCGGTGCGATCGACTTTCGACATCCCACCTCGCCCTCCTGCAATCAAGCCCCTTGCAGCCAAGCCTCCCGCAATCATCAAGCCGAAACCAATGAAACGCAAGCCAATGGGTCTCAGTATCCTGCCACCCGTCCCATCATCCCCGGTCAATCTTGTCATCGAATCCGACGAATCTGCCGAACCCGCGCCTGTCGAACCTCGGACCGGCCCCAAGGTGGCTCTACCGCTGCTCCCAGTCCGACAACGGTCCGATTCCCGAAAACTCGCCCCGCCGCCCAAGCAGCTCCGACACAGTCTCCTGCGGACAGGATCGATGAGCTCGACAGAGTCGGTTTCGGTCGTGTCGACGCCGTCGCAGACGCTCTTCGTGTTCCCGCCGTCTCCAACGCTCACCACACGCACGCCATCGACAATGACGCTCACAACGAACGGACCAGTGCCATTTCCCAGCCTGTCGACGCCGCGGGTGTCTACGTTCCGTTCGAAGGGGAGGACGCGGTCGTTCATCGGATTAGGAGCTCCGCCTACACCGACCGTTGCGTTCTCAAAGGTCGATGTTCGCGGGTATGTCGGTCTCGAATAGGGCCCTACTCTCTTGTATGCATCCTCATGATGTTGCCCTATGCATTCTTAAGTATCTATGCATCCATGTGTTACTGCTCTATCTTTTTCAGGCATTAAAGAACCATGGTTGCCTCGGTTTTTTATTCGGCTTCTCCGCCTCCATGCTGGACTATTCTCGTCGTTTTGTCATTTTTGATTTATTTTATTCTGTTTATCTCTCTTTCTTCACAAATCTTGCATCTGTGCACGGTTGGGCTTGTCATATCTCACTGTTGGTTGTTGTTGTGTTGGACTGTGCACTGCTGTAACTTCATTTGGTTGGACCCTCCCTGCATATCACAACAGCATTTTCCTCCTTCAATTCATTTATTTCAGCACACATTTTTCATTTTGTTTTTTCACAGCACTCATGTCACCTTGAGCTGTTTCCTTTCTCATTGGTCGTGTATATATCATGTACAGTAGGGTTGCTACCCACTTGTCTCCCGCCCACTGGCTGTCGTGGTTGAACAAAGAATCTCTTTTCTCGCAAAAACGCATAAATTAGATAGAAGTGCTCGTAAGTGCCTGAGTTTTAAACCATGTTGATTTAGGTCCCGAACACCTTACCAACGCTCTTCTTCACTGCGCCAGTAATAATTTGTCCGCCAATCCCACCCAGCGACCCAAGGCCCCATCCACCAACGCTGTTCGCCCACTTTTGCTTTGCGTCTCGGTCCCTACAGCTGGAGCTCTAGCACACGCAGATGAAGAGAAATCGACACTTACGCATAGGTGAATCCAATCACGTTCGTGACGTTGAAGACAAGTGCGAGAACCACGATGGGAATGAAGCTGGGTTAGAGCGTCAGAAAGGATCACAGCCAGGGCTCCGAGCCGAACTTACGCAAACCCAAGCTTCAGCAAGGAAACTATCAGAAGCGCTGCCCAGAGTGCAGGGAAGACGTAAAGGGCGATCTAAACGATAAACTAATTTAGCACCTCCCTTTCTGTAAATGAATGGTTAGACATACCCAGAACATCCTGCGAGAAGCCGCGTCAGGTAAGAGACAGAACTTTATGGACAATTACTTGACATACTTCGAATCCACGGGATTGGCTGGTCGTGAGGGCTGGTGGATCGAAGCAGAATAAGTATACGGGAGAAGAAGATGGAATGACAAGGTTTACGTCGCGACTTTCGAATACCCAGTAACTCTCGCCATCTTCGTCGACCTATTTCACGTCAATACGGTCATGACATCGATCATGACGAGTTATATACGCACTTGATTCCAAAATCTCAGGCCAACGAGTGTTCGACCAGCGACGTTCTGTTTATCAAGTATGAGATCTCCTGGGTGGAATGCATGCCAGGATACGCCTCACTCTACAGTTCCAGAAATCCATAGCCAGCAGGACAACAACAATCACGGTCTAACAGAGATAGACAGTGAGGATGTCGCGTCAGGAAATCCACCAAAAGATAACGCACCGAAAGAACGTAGTTGCTCGTAAACCATCCACATAGTATGTACACCAGAATAGCAGCTGTGCGGAAGAAGTAGAGGAAGAACAGGGCCATTGGGTGGGCAGACTATGAATAAAGCATTCGTTCAGTCTTCGGATCGGCGTGGCACTTGAAGGAGGTTTAAACGAAACGCACTTGACGGAATATCCCTGCAATACCTGCGCAAGTAGAAATATAAGTATCGCGCAAGATAATTCGATTAACAACACCCTACCTGATTCTGCGTCGCTTTCCGTGGTGGCCATTTGGTTGGATGAATGTGTCGTCGGTGTCAGCACGACCGGCGTTCTATTGCTTTTTGCTTGAGACGCATTATTGGTAGTTGGAGGGTTTGAGGGCTCGTCTGCCTCGATTGTATCGAGCAGAGGTTGAGCTACTGTGCTCATCGTGGTTGATAAATTCCGAGAGAGTACTTACAGCACTGCGGCTGCGAGTCGCGACGTGCCGATACGATCATTTCCGTCGATCACGTGCAACCATCGACAGGGGCTGAAATTTCCTGGAACGACTTTATGTAACGTATTCAGCAACTTGAAGTAAGGATTCCTGTAAATTTTTATGGGTTTGTACTTCGCTATCCTTTAACTGCTCTTGCTGTTTTATATGCATATACCTCAGGAGAGTATATTGGTAAAATTTATTTCATCCGAAGACCCATAATTTGACAGTTGACTTTCTGTAAAACAAAGTGTACTGACGGAGTGGACAAACCGGGTATAACTAGGCAGGTAGGCACTGAGAGTAGTCTGCGAAAAATTGGGTCAATATATTTTGCCTAGTTTTCACTTGGAAGACCCACATGGGTTGCTATATGTGCAGGTATATCCTGAGACGCAGGTGGTTGCCCCGGTCCAGTTCGTTCCTACAACGCGAAATAAGGAGACAATCTGTAAGAGTGCACGTTTCGCTCGTACCTCCACATTGACCGTAGGCACCAGCAGGTGCTGCGGTGCTAGTTGGTGGGGCTGTGGTTGATGCAGTAGCGGGGGCTGTGGTAGTAGGTTGAGCAGTCGTACTGGTGGCGGCAGAGGAAGCAGCTGTGGCGGTTGGTGGGGGTGCAGATCCAGAAGGATCACCAAAAAAGATTCCACGACCATTAGTGCCGATGTAGACTCTAGAGAGAAAATTAGTGTGCTTCCATTGTCCAAGATAGAACTCACCGTCCGTGGACGCGAGGGTTAGCGGTTAGGCAATTGGCACTGGCCGAGCCAAATCCGTGCGCAGCGTCGTTGATCTTAACCCAATTGACACCAGCATCATCAGACCTAAAGTAGCCAACACCCTCGATGTTCGCCGCCGCATACAGGGCAGGGTATCCTCCACTCTTGGCCGGAGCTCCGAGAGCAATAGCCCATGCTTGAGTAACACCAGAAATAGTGGTGAAAGAGGTGCCGGAGTTGGTGGAGTGGAATAATCCTTTGTCGGTAGAGATCCAAACGTCGCCGGTCACGCCTGGATTGACAATTACCTTGAAAGGAGAGGTCGAAGAGCCTAGGGATCCCTTGGCGGAGAAGGTCTTGCCTCCATCAGTGGAAAGGTAGAAGGTGGATCCTGCAGCGCCGTAGAAGATGTTGTTGGTCTTTTTGTCGGAAGCGATAGCTGCACTCGATGGCAGCGAGGATACGGCAATGAACGAGGCTTGGTTTTGGGAAACCATGACACCGTTGCTTCCAGTGCGCCAAAGGATGGTATCTCCATCAGCAGAAATGGCAACCTTTCCACCTGTAGGCAAAAATTAGTAAGTGGAAAAGTATCCAAGAAGGGTCGTCTACCTGAGACATTGTCTGCCGCACCGTAATGCTGCGACCTGTGACAGGAGAACGTCAACGGTTAGTTCTAAGCAACTTCCTATTGACTGGTTGACTGACCATGATGCACCAGCATCCGAGGAGAATGCAACTTGCTTTCCAGAAGAACTATTCGTATCTGTTTAGCCTGAAATGCAATGGAGTAACATTGTATTCATACCTGTCTCCCGTACCAATACGTACAATAGTAGCAGGTTTATTTCCAGCGAAGTCGATATCCGAAGCTGTTGCCCAAGTGGGGTTTGTGAACCCAGTTGCAGGAGGAGCAGTCAAAGAATTATGCCTGAATCCTAAAAACATCATCGGCAGGTGCTCTTGCTAAAGACAGCAATATGGATAAACACACCTCCAAGGTCTCCAACTGCAGAAAGGAGCGAGGGTCCAGACGGAGGAGAAATCAGTCCCTGGATGGACGTCTCCTCGATTCCGTCTGCGAGAGCGGCGATAGAGATGTTCCGGACGGTGTCCCACTAAAATAATGAACAGAATTGAAGAACAACTGAAAACAGGAAGCACCTTGAGCAGATCGTGTCCTCCATAAATAGTGGCACCAGTGCCGTACAACCAATGATTTGAATCGAGAGGATCAATGACGAGCGCTAGATGGAGACAATAAATATCAACGGAGCTCTTCAAGTACAATTGTCTGACCACACCTTCCATCATCCAACCAATCTGCTTGTTTTCAGTGCTAGTATCGACGTAGTTAGGTCCAAGCCATGGGGCAAGCGTGTTTGAATAGCTGTAATATTTGTTCATAGCGGGGTAGTTCTGCCATTCCCAAAGCCGTGTCCAGGTTGCACCGCTGTTAGTCGAGCGAAAGATTTGGCCATCTGGCCACCAGGAGTTGAGTGCAGCAACCATGATAATGCCAGGTTTTTGGAGATCGACGGCGACGCCTCCGAAACCAAAGTAGAGGTCACTTCCAGAGACAGGGGTGATGTTGGTCCCTACAGGAGGTTGAGCTGTAGCCAAGTTCGTCAGCAAGGGAGTAGAAAATGGACTTACAGGTGCCAGCAGTTATGTCGTACTTGTAGACTGCTCCGAGAGTACCGTCATACTAAACCTATTTCAAAATCTGAGATTCACAAAAAATAAAATTTTACTCACGGGACCAGCGCCATCAGAGTAGGAAACATAAAGGACCTTCTCTGAAGGAGAAATAACACCCTTGTGAGGGAAATAGGCGGCATTTTGTCCTGCAACGGCAGACCCTGGGGCGTTGTGAGAAAAGAGATGTGCAGGAGGGAAACAAGAGACGCATACAGGTGCTTCCAGCATCGTTAGTGACAAAGATGTTGGATGTACCGTTGCTGGCGACTCCGACGAAGATTCTGGGTGTTGCCCTACCCGACGACCCAGACGATTGGTCGAAGGTAACCCAAGCAAGACCTGTATTCGGTCAGCATGTTGAAGGAAACTATCACATCGCATTAGGCAACTCACCAACTTTGTCACTGTTGTAGCCACCGCTGTCTGAGGGGTTTGGGATGTAGGTGCCTACGGAAAAAAATAAGACAAGGAACTCATGCTATGGTCGAAGTTCGCCTACCGGTGCTAGTAAAGCTGGAGACCTTCGACCATGTAGCGCCATAATCAGTCGACTTCCAGAGGCCATTCCCGCTACGAGCACCGAAGAAAAGAATATTGTTGCTGTTGGGGTCGACGACAAGTCGCTATGAGACGATGATTAGCACTAGCTTCGAAAAGCTTTGAAGCAAATGGCAACCTCTCCCCTGTTGGACAATGTCAGAAGGATTCCAAAGTCGGAAAAGACGAAACATACATTCCTCGACCAGGCATGTTGCCTCCAACCTTGAAAGGCAGCTTCGACGCGGTGAAGGTCGCACCGGTATCCGTCGATCTCAAAATTTGACCGTTGTTCGGGTCCCAAGAGTTCGTATACATGCCCGTGGCCTGTGTAGAAGCCAGACGTCACTTCTTTGATATGCGTTCATGTGGCAGATAAAACGCGTACCAAGTATAGCCTGTTGGGCTGGACTGGGTCGGTCGCGAGCGCGTCGACGCCCCAGTAGTTCCAGCGGTCGTGGTCGACAAAGTCGAGCAGAGGTGTCCATGAGTCGTCGGCGTTCAGCTTGTACGCACCGCCGATATCTGTGCGGGCGAAGGCAAGACCCTGAGGTTATAAAGTCGGTTTCAGCCTGCACTCCTCGACTAAGGTGACATACCTTTTGAGTTGGGTTAAAAACGATACCTGGCACGAAACCACCACCGCCTCCAATCTTGACGTTCTTCCAATTGTACGCCTGCGACGCGACAGCCGCGTTAACGAGGGGCACAAGAGCAGTGGCGACCAACGTAGCCAACACGTTAAACCTGGTCATCGTGTACAAGCAGCTTGAGAGCCTGAATCCACGTATTCAGGATGAATGAATGTGCTAGAAACCACAAGACCTCCAATATTTTATAGCCAACAACTCGAAGCACGCGTACACAATTCTGCCAATGACGAATTAGAACGCTCTTGCATAAATTCAATCCGAGATTCAAGCGCGGACCGAGAAATACGCGGTACGCGTCTTGTGTCCTTAGGCCTTGCCCTTACCAATATCATAGTGGATCATAGAAAAGCGTAACCACCACCACCACAGGCTATGCCGGTAGAGGTGTCACGGAACACGGAGAAGGCGCATAGCGGAAGGAAACACCGAAGTTTAAGAGCTTGAAGAGCATATTTAGACTTTCGCTTGCATCATAGCAGATCAGAGCGTGCTCAGGCGGGCTTTTGGGCGTAACATGATCGCCCACGATCGCCTTCTTTCCCCAGTCGAAGGATGAATAGACCTGGCGGTAACCGATGGGTGAAGTAGTGCGTAGGAGAGAAAACCGCAAAGTCCGCGCTTGCGTTCGAACTTCGCAGGGCGGATCTCCCTAGAGTTCCTTCGCGAGAGGGCTGGTATAATTAACGGATCCGGTGATAAGTTCCGTCCACGGTCAGAGACGCGACTCTAAGGTACGCTTGTCGACAGGCGGGTGTTCAACGTCCAACGCTCGGAGATCAGAAAGGTGGTCCAGATTCAAAAGTCCTGGAGAGTTGGCAACTTGGTCAGACGGGTCAGTTGATTACTCCACATGAAGGTGCGCATGCGAGGTTCACCAGCGCGTGTGCCGGAAGCAAAGAGGAAGGAAGAAAAGCCTAAATCTGATGTGTGCGAGTGCTTGCTTTGCGGACCGTCGGCGTTAGAAAGTGGATCGCGGGAGACGCGCCCGGCGCGTCGATGATGGTGCTCTTCCACCAATCTTCCACATGTTCTTGTCCAATATACACAGCCAGTGCGAGCTTCAAGTGCTTACCTAGATCTCGTGTCTAGAACTCTGGAAAACCCCAACGACAGCCAGATGTATCGATGCATCCGTTAGCTCGGATTCAAATTTTCATCATGCATTCAACAATCATCTTCCTGGCGCCGAGTCTTCGAATTCCTTGAATGCCCGTAAGTACTCTTCACAAAAATTTCCAAGGTCAGATATCTTTCAACATGCTACGTATCGATAATCAAAGAATCCATTTCAGTCTTGTCTTTGGCTTCTACTCAGGACGAAAAGAAGCGTCAAGAAAATCTGGAAGTTGGTCAAGTTTCTCTCAAGTGCTGATGCAAGAAAATCTCGGCCGGGGTGAATGGTGTTAATATATTCGATACTTCGATTTCGCGGGCCGGCACGGCGTCCATCTATGTGCCTAGCTTTGAGCACCGTACGCCGTACGGATGAAGGTCAACACCGTAGTTGTTGAGGCTGGGTTGTAACAATTTACTCTCAAGCTCAGATAGGTGCCAGACGATTGCCAGGGAAAATCTTTCTTCTTCGATGAACTGCTCTTGCTACATGTTTCGTTACCTCGAGGAGTCCCAAAGGCCGGCGCCTGGTCTCTGATGGTCCCCATGCTATCCACTGTATTACGGTACTATTACAGTGCATTATACGAAATACACAGCATCAACTTTCCAGAAAGCAACGCATCTAGTTTCTACTGAACAAAATAAGAGCAAGTTTCACGCTGAAATAAATAAGTATGAGGAAGTGGATGAAGCAAAATGAGATGGTTCGAAGGAGCGGGTATCATCATTCCAATGCGAAGGTTTTTAGCTTCTCTAAAGCCTCCCATTTGGGAAGGTCAAACATGGCAGGCAGCTCGTTCCACAGCGTCTGGCTGGTTGAATTGCACATATCCTCGAAGGCACTACGGCAGACCGAACAAAAGTCCGGGGCGTAGACGTTCGCATTGTCCTCGAAATAGTCGAGGAGGCCGGCCATGTCCCATCCGTTCAGAATTTCGGCGCACCTAAGCCTTGTTGTTATGCACGACTCGCCCGTGCAGCCCTCGACGGGGACAGACGACACCTTCGTCATCCCCAGCGCCGTTCGGCTCTGGTACATGAGAATTTTCTGGCGTCCGACAATGGACAGACGCTTGTCTGGCCATGGTAATTCTATCTGCCCATCCCGCCACGGGGAATGGTCGAGAGTCTTCTCGAATGGATGGCTGCTCATGCAATAGAGAATGGATGGCAATAGGAAATCGAGGTCGAATTCTCGGGCCGCACGGAAGGCGGCGAAGGGGGTATTGTCGACAGGGGGTATCGTACGCTTGTTATCGCGTAGCTTCCAGTCTTGGAGGGTGGTTGGGAAGGTGGACAGGAGGTGCTGGAGTGCGCGACGTCGGAGATAGTTGACGTCGTATTTGAGGCTGAGGCGGAGGATTCCTTCGACTATGTGTAGCTCCGTCGGAGTCGGGGGTGGCTCGAAAAAGCTGCGTTGACGTGGTCAGAATGGAAGAAGGCGAGCGCACGGGTCGCACCTTGAGTCAAAGACGGCCTTCAGGAAGAGTGCCATATCAGTTGCAGAGTCGTATACTGTGACTATGTGGCACCCGTCCAACCGTGGGTTCCCCTCAGCTGGCGGAGGGAAAGCGAGCATATCCCGAAAGACAGAGGAGCGGGCAGCGAGGAAACCGCCATATATCTTGAACAAGGAGTTCTCTGCTTTGAGGATAAGAGTTCCGTCGTCAAACCATAGTTCCTGAACAGGCGCCCATTCTTGGTCTATGGCACCGCTTTCTGGCGCGTGGCTGTGGATCGTCATGTCGTTTGTGGTTCGAGGCCTGATTTGGCTATATGACAGACGGTGGGGTATGGGGTATTGTGTGTGCCTTGAAGGAGTGAGGGGGTATGAGAGCACAGGGAGGGGAATTTACACGCGCCCAGCACGCTTCGAACGGACCTTTGCGTCGAGAGGAAGCTATTTTCCGGGACAAAGAATCGGCCCATATTTGGCGCCCCGCTCCGGCAAACGCCGAGAAAAGGACCCGTGGCGCCTGTGCTAAAAATAGGCCGCGGGGTAAGTTTTTGACCTCTCGACGGCGCACAATTTCGCATCGGCCGATGGCTGGGGCGTATCTGGTAAGTATCGACAGCGGGCGATACGAGAGATAGCAGATGTGCTCCCGGGCTCGAGAGACGCTCCAGCCTGGACTGTGCATGCGGGAACTGGCGCTGTTCGGGCGTCGAGAAGCACCTCGCATATTCTTATCGCAGAAGACACTCTCAGCACGATCAACCGCATGCTGGTCGGATCACCGATAGCTCTGCACCGGCACCCCACCTCCATTTTCGCCCGGCCTTTAATACCCTCACGACCTCATGCCCTTCCTTCCCACCTCTTCGCGTCTTCTTCTTCCTCTGCTCCCAACATGGCCAGCGAGAAGGACCAGGTCTCAAAGACCATCAACTCGGACACAGAGTCCCTCAGTGGCCCCGAGAATGACCCTATCACAGGAGAGAACAAGCTCGTGCGCCAACTTAAGAATCGGCACATTGCAATGATAAGGTCCTTCTTTCTCTCGTGCCCTTGTGAAGAGTCGCGCTAACTTCTTTCTGAAGTATCGGAGGCGTCATTGGCACAGGTCTGTGGCCTCCCCGATATCACCTTACCAGGCGCTCATGTCTTCCTTGAGGTCTCTTTCTGGGTACTGCAACTTCACTCCAAAATGGCGGCCCCGTTGGTACTGTTGCTTTTCCTCAGCTCCTGCAGTTCATCCCTGATATCACCCCAGGTCTCCTCCTCGGCTACATAACGATGGGCACCATTTGCTATAGCGTCATGGTCCGTCCATCCGGCTTATTACCCCTTCTCCACCGCTTACCACTTCCTTAGATCTCGTTGGGCGAGATGATCGCATACCTTCCTATACCCGGTGGCCATATCAAGTTGGCAGAACGTTTCGTGGATCCTGCTCTTTCTTTCACCATGGGATGGAACTATTGGTATGTCATACCGATAACACCTTCTATTTATACATCTTGACCCCACCCTATCTCCCGTAGGTACAACTGGACGATCATCTTGCCTGCCGAACTCAGTGCTGCAGCAGTTCTCATTGGATACTGGGACCAAGACACGAATCCGGCCGTTTGGATTACAGTCTGCTTGGTTGTCGTAGTGTTTATTAACATGCTGGGAGCTGGTAAATTTTTAGCGCCCCCCATGCCGGAGCTTGGCTAACCCGTCCCGCTAGGTGCTTACGGAGAGGCCGAGTTCATCTTTGCGTAGGTCGTGTGATTACCCTAGCACCCCCTTCGCTGACTGTACCTCGTCTAGCTCCATCAAAGTAATTACAATTGTAGGCCTCATCATCCTGGGTATCGTTCTCGACCTCGGAGGTAAGCACATAGCAATTACGCTAGGATTTCTATCACCACCTGACATATGTCCCAGGTGGTCCCAACAAGGACCGGCTCGGTTTCCGCTACTGGAAGAACCCAGGACCTTTCGTTCAATATGCCGGCATCGCAGGCGCCAAAGGCCGCTTCCTCGGTTGGTGGGCTGTCCTAACACAGGCCGCCTTCTCGTTTATTGGAACGGAGATTGTGGCTGTGAGTCGCTAAACTATTTCGAAGGACACCGGAGATATAAACGACCTCCCATCTAGATTGCTGCCGGAGAAGCGAAGAACCCGAGACGGAATCTTCCACGAGCTATTCGCAGGGTCTACATTCGTATGTTTTCCTCGATGGTCCACAGCATTGGCCAGGCTGAATCGTTCGCTATGCAGGTATCCTCCTCTTCTATGTCGGTGGAACGGCCGTCATTGGTCTCCTCGTCCCCTCAAACGACTCCCGCCTAGGTCTCACAGAGGGCAAGGGTACCGCTGCTGCGTCTCCCTTCGTCATTGCTATCGAACGTGCCGGCATTAAGGCCCTCCCTTCGGTGAGTTTACATGTTCACCTCCCTTACAACCTGCTCTGATATCCAATCCACCAGATCACCAACGCTTGCTTCCTCACCTCAGCTTGGTCAGCAGCATCAAGCGATCTGTACACCAGCTCTCGCGCACTCTGTAAGCCAAGCCCCGCGCGCCTCACTCTTTGCTTTCCTCTTTCGGCAACTCACCTGCCCTTTCAGACGGCCTTGCCGCATCTGGCAACGCGCCAAGAATCTTCCTCCGCGCGTCCAAGAACGGCCTGCCCTACGTCTCCGTCATCTTCAACTCGCTGTTCGCCTTCCTTGGGTACATGGGCATCAAGTCGGGCTCGGGCCGTGTGTTTGGGTGGTTCGCAAACATGACTGCCATCGCGGGTCTGATGACCTGGGTCGGGATCAGCATCACATACATTCGGTTCTATGCTGGCATGAAGGCGCAAGGGTATGATAGGACGAGCCTGCCATTCGCCTCGAAGCTGCAGCCATACGCTGCTTGGTATGCTCTGTTCGCATGCTCACTCATCTCATTCGTGCGTTGCTTTTTCTTTTGTTACGCTCCCCATGTTCATTCTCCTCCAACATCCCTTTAACAGCTGAGTGGATGGTCCGTCTTCCTTAAGGGCCGATGGGCAACCGATACCTTCGTCACAAACTATTTGCCCCTCGCTCTTTTCCCGGTCATGTACATCGGGGCCAAGTTCGTTTACAAGGAGCCATACAAGAGGCCTCACGAGATGGACTTCATCACAAATATCAAGGAGATTGAGGCTGAGACGTATGCGTCATTTCTCCCTTTCGCAATCGTCTAGAGCCTAATTGTAACTTACAGATACGACGAGCCTCCCCCGAGAAATAAGATCGAGGCATTCTGGCAATGGCTGGTAAGCATGCTCCCCGGTTCCTCCCGGCAAAGCTAACAAATGTTCTGCAGATGTAAACGTAATTATCTTGCTTGATGTGGCGCTGTGTACACGAAATGTTTTGATGCTTAATAGCCGGTCTGTGCATGTAATCCTAATGATTGTAACAATGCCCAAAACGAGCAGGCCTGCGGAAAATAATCAATCTCCTACTTGCTTTCTGCTTTGATTTCAACGAGTGTCTATGGTATGGGTGATGATAATGATGAGGGTCTAAGGTGTTTCAAGTTACACATATACTATTTGGCACGATAATAATGAACGAATGGACGGAGCACTGGATGCTAGAAACACAAACGAAGGGAGAGGAGGAAGGAAACAAATTGCACATATGATAATTAAATGAATGAACTCTAGAGAAATTGAGAGTACAAGCCAGCCCGAGAGACACAGATAAATATAAAATGCATCCAGTCAGTATCCTTTAAGCCTTTGAGGCGGGGATGTGCAAATTAATCGCTGTGGCGAAGGCTGCGTTGAGACCACATGTCGCACTAAGATGAGAAGAACACCGACCTCGATACCAATTCAAGGCGTCGGACGGTGATGGGGCATCGAAATATAATATAGCCTTATTATCCACTAGGCGCAGAGCTGAAAAGGCGAAATTAATGATTGAGACGGACTCGGGTTTCAAGGGAAAACATACCATTTCCATGAACGATGCTTGCCGGTTGAGGCAGAGTCTGCATCCTCAGCACGGCCCACAAATCCACGAACGATGCTGGATCCTGTCCATCGGAAGGATCGCGACATAGAACCAAGAGATCGTTGCAAAGAATCCCAATAAGTGGTCGAGGTGTCAACTCAGGCGCCAGGCAGTCCACTTGAACAGTAGACGCATCGCCCTGTGCATTGATTGCCTCGAATGAAACAACCGCCTTTCGGACGACGCGTGTTAGCATGAGAGGACCGTCCATGATGAGGCGTCTACGGTCGAGGCTCATTAATTATCGAACGGAAGCGATCGCGACGAGAATAACGTACCGATGAGGTTGTACGAGCGGACTCGGGAACTTGCCACGTATCCTCGTTTGCCATTGTACGAGCTTCCTCCGCGACTCCGACTCGCGTTTGCCCTCGTTCATGTTGGTTGCCAGAGATGAGATCTCAGCTAATGCCCGGTCCAATGGATCATCAACATAGTCATAAGTAGGAGGAGTACTCCTCAAAAGCTCTTCCAGCTGCACAATCCTTGGTTATTCGGGTACCAACATAAGAATGGAGAACGGACGTACAAGAAGCTTATATCGGGGTACCCGTTGAACAGGAAGCAAGAGGTATCCTTCAAGATTGAGCTGTGTGTGCCTAGGGTTCAGCCGACACCGTTTGAGGTAGGTCTTTATCCTCTTCCGCTGACTTGTGGTCAAATTGGGGATACCCGTCGCGGAAGCCATACTATCTGAAATGCCATTTGGCGCGCTCGCCATCGCCATGCTGATGCCTAGACCCGCGAGCTGCGTGGTACTCGAGGACGGAGACAGGGCATTACCTGGGCTCGAAGTACCAGGGGCATTCTTGTCCGACGTCCAATACTTCACTCGCTGCACCGAACTGTCAAAGTTGCTACACAAGAAAAATAAAATTAGTATTCAGAGTCGACGAGTAAAGTTACTGAGAGATAGAGAATATAAAGGGAGATAGCACTTACTTGATATAGCTCGAATACATCTTCATGAAGGCAGCATGCTTCACGAAGATATTTCCTACCGCCTTGGCAACGCTCGAGGAAAGTTGACCGTCGCTATCGAGCTCCGGAGTCGGTTTCATCAAAGGCGCCGCTGCAACTTCGAGTGCGGGGAGGAAGCTGTCATGATGGAAGGAGAACAATGCATCGATGCCACCAAAAACAACCTTCCGCTCAGACGCTGGAACAACTGTGTCCTTGGTTGACCCAACGCCACTGAGTAGGTTAACCGGAGTAGCCGCAGGCTTGATATAAATGTCCACAAGCTCTTGCAACCCCTTGACATAAGTCCGCTCGGTCCTGCACACAAGAACAGCCTCGTCAGCTCGACTGCGACCCACAAGCACCAAGCGACGGGCGCAAGCCAGTTTAAAAACCACTTACACGACAATCTCGCGGATAACGCCTGCTCGCTTCCCTTTATCGTCCTTATACTTGCGCTCTTCTCCCGAGCCAGTACTATCCGTCGTTGCCACACTCAGCGTCTGACTCGATGTCCCACTCCGCAGACCAGCAATGGAGTCAGACGACCGCAGTTGCACAGAACTATCCGAGGCCAGGCTGGTCGAACCAGTCGACGCCATGGACACCTCCCGCTCGACAATGGTGGGTCGCCGTGACCGAGCGCCATGCTCTTCCTGTGCCGATGAACCATACATGCTTAGTGGATTACTCTGCTGGAGCGTGCCAAGGTCGTTCATATCCTTCAAGTAGGCCATGACCGAACGCAAAGCACGCATATATGCGTCTCGTGCACGATCTTCCTCACGCCGGATGTACTGTTCGTTGCTGAGTACTGGGCTCGGAGTAGTGGCCCTTGTCGGATCTGGACCTTGTGAGTTTTCTTCGCCATCGTGTGCCACGACCACGCCGGTCACGAATGCTGAATTCTCCGGTATGCTCAGTGACATGGAACCTGGTGCATCGATGGGTAGGAAGCTCCGGCGCTTCGCTCTTGGTGTTGTTGTAGGCGGAGATAAGAGGCCATTGGAGGTGGGAGGAGGTGCCAAGGTGTTGGAAGGGGGTGGTTTCGGAGGATTTGGAGCGTTTGGAGGGGCGATCGTCGCAGAGGGTATAGACGGCAATGCATCTAGCATGCCGCTGGTGGATAGGCGAAGGTCGATCTGGGGCAAGGCACTTGAGCTTGGCCCGTCCGGGCCGGGCCTGTTGGAACCGGACCCATGCTGGGGTGGAAAAGAACCTGCGGATGTCTGTGGTCTACTGATACGAGGAGGATTTGGTGAACCAGACGGTGAGGGAGACGGTGTATCCGGTTTCATCTTGCCCATTGACATTTTCTTCAAAAAACCCCACCGGCTACCCTTCTCACGAGATGACCGCTGCCGGGCCGCCTTACCTGCGTCTCCATGTTTCGGAAGCTGCGGAACTGGCATAGATGCTGAGGGGCCGTAAGACGAAGACCGTGCCATAGCGCCAATCTCGTGGGACGCATTCGGCCCCGGAGAACCATCCCACATAGACTTGCTCAACTGTGGTCTAGCTGCGTTTGGCGAAGGACGCGACGACGATCCAAATTGTGAACTGGGGCCCAAGCTCGCGAATCGCTTGTTGTACATCTGGTCGGAAGACGAACCATTCACAGGTGCGTTGTTGCCCATGTTCAGAAGGTTAGAACTCGAAAGGGATCCGGAATAATTGACTAGAGGCGGTTGTGGGGGCACACCGTTTGCAGCGACGGACGCGTTCGCTGACCTACCTCGTCGAAGGTCGCCTGCGCTCTTCATTTTGCGGATCTCATGTTCGCCGCCAGGGTCGTCGTTTCTTCCCAAAGGTGCCTGCCGCGTGCCCCGCGAATCGGGGGGAGCGGTACCTGTTGCTGCTGCTCGTGTCTGGTCAAAATAAGCACGATTTGGGGTTGTTCGTGTCCGAGTGAGAGGCTTAGCTTGTAGCAGAGGAGGGTGATTGGTCGTCTGGGGAAGTGGTGAGGTTGTTGCTCGACCAAGCGCTGCGCGTTCAGGGGTGATCGTGTGGTCTTCTTCGGGAGGAGAGGCAAAGCCGGTACGACCCGGGCTGGAGCCTTCGTGGTCTGAAAGGTCTTCTGTATCAGTCCCGTCGGTTTCCGTGCCGTTGCAACTCTGTGCACCAGCCGATAGGGGCATCATGGGGGTTGAAGGGGGGTAAACGGGGGTGGTGGGAACCTTGGCGAGTAGAGGATCTACAAGTGCTTTCCACGGACCCTGGAAGGGATTGCCGTCGACACATAGGGTCTGCAAAGCTGGGAGGAGACAGAGCCAACTGGGAAGAGCATGGAGCTTGTTTCTCCGAATGCTGATTGTATGGAGCTTGTCTAGATCAACAAGTGCGTCGGGCAGTGTGTTGATGCCAGTGGAATCAGCAATCAAAACGCGGAGATTTGTCAAGTCAGCCAGAAATACTGGGAGGACACGGAGTGGATTTGATGCGACGTTGAGCTCTTCGAGACATTCGCAGACGGCAAGGACAGGAGGTAGGGCGCCGAGGAAGTTGGCGGAGATGTCCAAAGCCAGGAGGGAATGGCCGATTTGGGGAAGCACGGAGGTCAAAAACGAAGGTACTGCATTGGGAGTTGAAGATGATCCAATCAAGAGATGGGTTGTGCCTAAGGAGAGGAGGGAAAAGCTGAGGACCTGGTGTCCGAGGATCGGGAAAAGGAAGACGCACCTGGCTGGACCTGAAGCTGAACGATGGGCACGTTATCCCCCTGTACTATGAGACCTCGGCCTTCATCTGCAACAACGGCGGCGGCAGTGCGTTCCTCGTGGCTGTCGTCTAACTCGTTGGGAATAGGGTCGATGGCGTGCTCGTCGTCCGTCTCGTCCTCGGTCTCGTCCTTCTCGTCGACGGTCTGCCAGCTGATGTCGTAGCTGGGCTTCTGGGAGAGGGGAGGAGGGGGAGAGATCTCGTGACTCTGGGCACCATTGCCAAGCGACGAGGATCGTGAGCGAACGCTGCCCGAGTACGACTCGGACCACCTGGTGCGTTCCGGCGTGCGTTGGGTGGGCCCGCGAGCAGAGGACGATTGCGCGGGATCGTTTGCAAGCATCTGGACGACAGCGTCGGTGGTGATGCCCACACCAACGTGTTCGTCGTCGGGCGAGGCTACATGGACGTTGGAGTAGTCCGCATATGCGAGAGCACTTCCTGAGCTTGTATAGGCGGACGAGCGGGTGGATGCGGAGGAGGAAGCGCCTGAGGAGAGGGGCGGGAGGTTAGCGAGATGGTGATGGGGAAGCCTGAAGGGGTAGGGGTCTGGGTAGAGGGCGGGGTCTGGGAGGGGCATTGGGGGGCTGCCGTTGTCCTGGTCGTGTGTGTCGTCGTGGTGCCTTGAGTGGCGGGCATAGGTCAGTCGCGCGCTTTCATCTGCCATCGAATTGCAAGACAGAGACTAGAGTCTAAGTAAAACTATTCCCTCCAGCACAAACAAGCATCAACACAGCTCTGATCGTCGCACTGATCAGAAGTCATAGTCAAACGCAACCCTCTTCTTCCCCTTCTTCGCCCGAACCCCTACCCCGCCCTCCACTTGCGCCACCTTCTCCCCAGCTTCAGGCGCTCCGCCTCCGTCCACCATCAGCCCGCTGGGCCTAGTGCGCCGCTCGCTCGTGCCCCCTTCCACATCCAGATGCAGCGTCTCAAATATCAGCCGCTTCCGTGTGCACTTGAATGCCAAATTATTCTCGCCACTCGACGACAAGCCCCGCAGCGTTGACAGTCGGTCGCTCGGCGCACTCAGCGTGTGTGGCGACGGGAGCGTGTGGATCTGGAGCAGCCCATGCTGCGCTGGGAACATGCTCGATAGCGCAGGGTTTGCTACATCAAAATTAGTTTGCTTAATTACCCCTCCATGTGTCCATATCACGACATACCTGTAAACGCCGATAGCGTCAGGGCACCGTCACTCACCCACCCCACCTTGTCTATCCAGCCGGCTCCGCCCCAGCTCGCTGCCGATACCTCAGGCGCTAAACTCGTTGACGCGCACGCGTGTGGATGTTTTCGCAAGGTCGCCCTTAGCGAATGTAGGAAATACACTATGTTCTGCTTCAGTTCGTAAAAATGTTCTATCTGTCCACAAAGTCCCCTTTACCTGAGACGTAAGATCGCCCCATACAGGGGAGCCCAGCGAAGTTATGCAGATGCGCACAGGCGCCGACGAATCCGATTCCATATATCTTGTAATTTCGCTCAGAACAGCGCTCGGTGACAGAGCGTCCAACCCAACGTCGACAAAACGGAGTCGATCCGCTTTCCGTGCCTTGTTGATAACGTCTTCTGGCACGCGACTTGCGAGCTCAAACGTTTGGCAATACGATTCCGCCTCTCTGCCCAAAACCCATGAGAGACTAGATACGAAATAGTCCAGATGAAACACCACGCACGAGCTCGAGTTCCCAACGGTCGTCTTAAATTGCTTCATATTCTCATACCTCCAGGCAATCTTCACTTTCTGGGACTCGTCGCCCTTCTCTTCGTCCTTCTCTTCGTCCTCTGAATCTCCCGCACTGGGTGTCGCTGAATGCGACTTCGGGTACCACATTACATCCTTCACGAAGCCTTCCGGATCCTTTCCCACAAGGCATATTCTATGCCCATTCGCAAGTCCTTGTGCAAAGAAGTATTTCTGCACGAGATCGCCGTAGGAAGAGTGGATATCAGGTGCCGCGAAGACCAAAGAACATGAGAGCGGAAGACCGCCACCCAGGATGTCATCAAGAGAAGAGATGCCAGTAGAAGTGATCAGACATTGATTAGAGGCTGGTGAGATACGCGTTCCTGGGTAAACAGGTAACGCCTGCTTTCCAATAGCTTTGCGTTTGAAGGAAGACATTTTTCTTCTGCCCATCCCCTCGCTTACGATGAAGGCAAGCACTTAGCAGATAAGATCGAGAAATTAACTTTTTTTATCGACTTATCCTCTCCCACAATTACCCGAAATACCATCGCCAAATCTTCTCTCTGCTACACGACCTGGGAACGGTCGAAACGTCTTTCTCATCACCTCTTCCCCACATTTTTATGCATCACTGGCACTGACACGGCTTTGTATGAGGATGCTGTCACGGAGGTCGCTGGCAGCCCTCCACAACAACGTTATCAGAAGGTCGTTGCTGACGCGACAATACACCTCTGGAGCTCCAAAGACGTCTTCCGGGATTTCGTTATGGGAAGCTAGCAAGATGGGCTTGGTATTAACACTTAAGGTGTCGTATACACTTCTCATCTTCCCCATCCCTCGCAAAATTGACTGTTCGTAGGTAGCTAATTTTGCCATCGCAGTCCACCTCTTCGCGACATACGTCGGGCGTCCATCACATGTGAGCATCAGCGCAACTCACTTGCAATCTTTCGCGTTTCCTATTCTCATACGTGTCGCAGATGAGCGGCCCGTCGATGCTCCCTACCCTCGCTGACAGCGGAGAAATGGTCATCGAGGAGTTCCTCACGTATCGATTCTTCCCAGAGAAGCTCCAGCGTGGCGACCTCATCACCGTAGAGTCTCCTATCGAACGCGGGCGCGTCATCTGTAAACGTCTCATTGGGCTGCCTGGTGACATCGTCTGCGTGGACCCGACAGGCCAGATGGCCCCTTCCACCGAGCACGTCATCATTCCGAAAGGCCACATATGGATAAGCGGCGACAACGCAGCGGCCTCGCGCGATTCTCGAATGTATGGGCCTGTTCCTATGGGTCTCATCCGAGGACGGCTGTATGCGAGGGTGAGCAACCTTTACTGATAACCGCATGAGCGTAGTTTGGTTGATAGAACATGTCTAGATCTGGCCTCCGACGGCCTTCACGATTTTCCGCAATCCAACAACTTTTCTAGAATAGGCATAGGTGGCGACCGGTAGCCATCTGTCGTCCTCATGAGAGATGTTCGGTCATACATCGTGTTCTATCGCTGGAAGTTCATGGAATATCCTCCTTGCCCGTTGGGTTCGAACTTGAAATTATCCGTGGATAGGCCGAAATTACCTGTGTCGGATGAGCTTCGAGTACGGTAGGCACAATCTAATGACGCACCCAATATACTGTTACCCAAACCCTTTAATTTGCTAAGCATCTCGTCTGTCTCCTTTTTCTGAGCAGCTTCTACGCGTGGTTTGAAGTGCTGAAGCTTTCTCCTGATATCCGTAGCTTGAGATGGAGAAACCAGCTTCAGAAGAGTGTTATAGTCTGCTAGTGGGTGAGTCCCAGATTGCAACGCAGAGACAAGTTCCTCCATACCTTCCTGTGCGGACGTCAGGCTGGACCAGGTATTAAGAATTTCGTTGGCGCTCGCGCGTCGTTCCAGAGCCTTGACATAAGTTGGATCATCCAGTAGTGCTGAAGGAATACGTTAGGAGATATCAATCAGACGAAAAACGCTCGCACCTTGTGAGCATGCCTCGACAACTTCTTTGTGATCCCCCTAGGGCCCGGTGAGCCTTCAGTCCGGCCACGATGAACAGCAAAAGTGCTGCGCACCAATTTCACGAAACATGCACCAATGTTAGCATTTAAGACAGCCCGCAGCTGGGCATGCTCTTTATCAGCTTCGCTGACTGCGGGAGAAGATACATCTGCGACTTCCGCATCCTTGTCTTCTTTGGGACGGGGAGGCGATTCTTCGTCAAGGTCGTCATGAAGGCCCTTCCGTTGCCCTTCCTCCTGCGGTTTCGGCGGCCGTTTGGGTAGACAGTTGAGAGCTGCTCGGTAAGCAACCAAAGCATCGTTCCACTTCCCAGCACGGAAATGGTCGTTCCCTTCTAGCTTCCGCTCTTTCGCGGTCTCTAGGTCTACGAGAGGCTGGAGATTGGTAGGTCGATGATGGGCTTCAACGTACTTGTCCTTCTGGACGAGTATGAGCTGATCAACATACCTCAACCTCGATTCGTTCCTCTACTATTTGCTCGGACTCGGACATTAGATTTGGTGGAATTGGTTGAGCAAGGCTATCATGGTTGGAGACAGTCCATCGCGGGCATTGATTAGATTACTCACCCTAATTGCTTAATGATCTGATTAGATTAAGTAACCACTAGAAGTGGAGTCCGCAAGTTCCTGTCAAATTATAATTGTTGCGCTGCAGTAATTGTCTTATATTTTTTGGCCTGAGCCTAAGTAACAAGATGAGGGCTGTCGAAGAAACCCCGGTCTTCATGATGGCATGAGAGGACGTGCCTCAGGTTGCCAGAACACCGATACAAGGTCCCCAAAGGTAAAATTTCTTGGAGAATCTTATTCTATGGCACATGAATAGTCTACATGCAACTTTACAGAGGAGGATACGTCCTCCATCCCACGGAATACGACTCACCAACATCGACCCAGAGGGCCAGTTTCTGCAGCAAGAGTTTGGCCTTGTTTGTCCGGGCCCTCCAGCCCTTTAGTGGATGATTAGATGTATCCAATCTTTATTAAGTCTTGGTTTTGAGACTTGCCACCTGGACGGGCAAACACCTCATTCTACGCTGGTAGCTGATACATCATTGAGGCAGCTATCGCATCCGGCATATCACCACAAATAAAGAGAGAGCACATTCCTCTGTTAGGCCCTCAACACAACTGCGATTACCATAACGAACTTTATTACAACAACAAGCTTACAACGCATTACTATGCCTTCTATCGACGACGCTAAATGCATTCTCCCAACGGATAAAACTATTTGGAAACCCCCCTTTCCAACGGAAACCCAGGGTTTCCGGTCATTGATGTGGAAACCCCCCACATTCATCTTTTCGTCGAATGCTTGTTCATGCTTTGTCTCCGGAGGCACGGCCGGCGATGGCAGGAAGCGCTCGAGCGCCACTTGACGCCGGCGCCCATTAAGCAAGGGCTTGAGCCCACGGAGCACTAGAACCCTCGTCTCAATGGCTAAGAAAACAGTCATCAACCAAATGAGTGCACATGAATGGGTTCTCTGAGATTTGAGCCATTGGACGCTACAGCTCGACTGCAGGCGGCAGGAGTGACTTGGATGCCTTGCAGCCTTGATAACGGTGTCCGGTGCTGGCAAGTTTGCACTCCCAGGGAACGAGTGTAGGCGGAGAAAACTTCACTATGGCACTCTAAAATAAATTCTTAAATACCACTTTGTCATGGATGTGTGAGCGTTGCAATACAGGGCTAATGTTTCGTCTCATTGCAGCCTCGGGACAGGAGGACTTGTAAAGGGACGGTGAACAGCATTGTCGTATATTGCTTACTTTGATGTACTATTTATTTGTGAAAAGAATCAGTATCCCTGTAGATATCTGAAAGCTCAAAGAGTCAAGTTCATGAGTTGTCTCTCAAGCCACGAAGGACTTGAAGTTGAGTCCGCTGCCTGCCTCGCCTCGCTGACACAGCAGCGCCCCGTGTCTCATACTTTCTCAGAATATTAAATAAGATGCCTTTATGAAAGCTGAATATGCGATGAATTTATCAAAAGGTATAAAAGCTGGTCGGAAGGGCAGTAACAGCTCCTACAGGACCGACTTGGACAAAGCTGACAATACCATGGACGGCGGGCGTTGCCATATTCGGTCGCCATCACCGGACAGGCACGACCATTCATCCTGGGTTTCCGTTGGAAAGGGGGTTTCCAAATAGTTTTATCCTCTCCCAACGGGTGCAACTTCCGGCATTGGTCGCGCTCTGGCCCTGGAGATCACGAAGCTCCCCAGGACGCCCAAAGTGATCGCTGCCGGTCGTCGAAAGGACCGCCTCGAGGAGCTTGGCCAAGCTGGACTTGAAACAGTAGTATCGCTCGACCTCGGGGCCGACCTCCCTACGCTCAAGAAATCGGTGGGCGATTTCGTCGAACGCTATCACGATGAGCGTTGCCTTCTATCTCCTATCATGCGGTGTCACACGGACCTGGCCGTATGCTTCCCTCTACCCCATCACCTTGCGTCTTGCATACAGCTCGACGCTGTCATCCTGAACGCGGGCGTGCAGCATCAACTCGATTTTAGGAAGGAGCTCGATGTCGAAAGTACATTTTTGCTGCTCGGTGTGGCCTAGTCAACTGACGCGTTTACCCTCTTTTAAGAGTTCGTGGAAGGGTTCACATAGATTATGCTTCCGTTGTCGGCTTCGCATCATTCGTCTTACCTCATTTCCTCGAGCTCTCGGTATGCTCCCTCCGCTCCCTCTTCCCGAAATATCAGCATGAAACGCTCACAGATGTATGCAGAAGCAAGCACTGCTGGCAGGGCTAGATGTTATCGTCGGGAAAATGCAATCTTCTGATTTTAAATATTGGGGTCTCTAAAATGTATTCCTTTTGGAGTACCAGCGGTACTCCATTTAGGCTCACGGTACTCCATATAGTAATTCATTTTCAACACTCTAAAACTTAAAAACAGAAGATTACATTTTCCAACAGGGAATATCTGGCCCTGCCAGCAGTGAAGGCCATCCTTCATTCAAGTTATCACGGTAACTTCAGGGTTGGCTATTGTTGCCGGCCCATGGGTTCCCAATTACTTGGCGAACAAGGCTGCTGTCCATACTTTGACGCATTCACTCCGCGCTCAATTGCATGACACGAATGTACGCGTCCAGGAAATAGTTCCTCCGAAGTAAACGGGTCTTTATTCTATGTAATCTGTGGGTCTCATCTTGAATAGTCTTGCCGAATCTGAACCGCATGATCGTGAATGGAATTTTCGGTAATTCTGAGCGCTCCCATCTGACACGAGACAGCCTATGGAACCAGCAAGAAGCTGTCAAGCTTCTGGATGCCTCTCAAGCTTCTGGATGCCTCTCAGTGAATACATCAAGGTCACCTTGTGGGCTTACAACTGGGTAAAGAGCACGTTTGCGCGGGTCTATCTCAGCATCTGGTGGGATAAGTATGAGGAGGGGAAAATTGAGATGGTTTCGCACATTCAGAAGAACGTTTCGCGTGACTATATGGTTGTGCTGTCGAATACATAGCGTAGAAGCTTTCGCATACATATCTCAATTTGTCTGTAAGCGATTGGATTGGTTCCCGCAGCCTCCGAGTTGGGATGATCGCCGACGGTGGCAGTGTTGATGTTTGGCTTCTGTCTGTAAAGACGCAAACCTTGATCTTATCGGCCGAGTCATTGTTCGTTTAGAATCATCAGGTCAACATCAACTTCAAAGTTTTCAACCAACTGAAATCCTCTCGTTCACAATGCCCAAGCCCGTCCTTTGGCTCCGCTGCGAAAAGAAAGAGTTTGAGCGCCGTGCCGCTCTCACTCCCACCACCTCCAAGGCTCTCATTGATGCTGGTTTCGACATCTTCGTCGAACGTGACCAACAGCGCATCTTCGATGACTCGGAATACGAGGCGTCAGTTTCAACACTTGGATGCGATAGATGCGATAGTTGACAGCTCTACAGCGTCGGATGCAAGCTCGTGGACAACAACAGCTGGCCCTCCGCTCCTACTTCAGTTCCTATCATCGGATTGAAGGAGCTCCCGGAGTCGACCGATCCTTTACCCCACACTCACATCCAATTCGCCCACTGCTACAAGAAGCAGGGCGGCTGGTCAAAGGTTCTCTCGCGATTCCATCGCGGAGGTGGAACCTTGTACGACCTCGAATTCCTCAACGACGCGAATGGTCGTCGAGTCGCTGCCTTTGGGTTCCATGCAGGATTCGCGGGCGCTGCTGCGGGCGCTCTAGCTCTCGCGGCTCAACGCAAGGGAGAGACCCTTGGGTTGCTGACTCCCTACGAAAATGAGAGCGCCATGGTGAACCATGTCAAGGAATTGTTGGGCGGCAGTGGCAAAGGAGTAAAGGCCCTTGTTATCGGCGCGCTCGGCCGTTGTGGACGCGGTGCCGTTGATCTTTTCAGGAAGATTGGACTTGATGAGTAGGTGTTGTGTCTTACTCTGACACGTCTTTTTGCTAATCACGCCGTTTATCAGAGATAACATCCTCAAGTGGGATCTACCCGAAACTGAGAAAGGGGGACCTTTTCAGGAGATCCTTGACGTTGATATTTTCGTCAACTGCATCTATCTTACTTCTAAAATCCCTTCTTTCATAAACCATGAAAGCATCGCTGCTGCGGGAAAGCAACGGAGATTGTCTGTGGTCGTTGATGTCAGCTGTGATACGACGAACCCTTTCAACCCGATCCCCATCTACAACATCAATACGACATTTGATAAGCCTACGGTTCCTGTCGACGTTGGGTAAGTTCCGTAACTGTTCGAGAAGACAAGCGTTGAAGGATTTGTCTTTAGGGAGGCGAAACCGCCTCTTTCTGTAGTCTCGATTGATCACCTGCCCACGTTGCTGCCTCGGGAAGCGTCTGAGCAATTCAGCAGCGACCTGTTGCCCTCGCTGCTCGAGTTCCCGACGCGTGCGACGGCGCGGGTTTGGACAGAGGCGGAACAGCTGTTCAGGGAAAAGCTGACTGAGGCCGCAGCTGTGGAAGGCCTGTAGATCGAGACGGTTCTGAGCGTTCTCGATAAGGGCCAGGCTAAATAGATGGGAGGAGGGGTGTTGTAAATAGAACTGTGGAATCTGATCAGTGCGTGGTTGTCACAAGGTTGTCATGCTGCGAAGGGCGGATCGCTGCAACGCGGGTGCGTGATCGCTAACGCCAAGGGGGCAGGAGTGTGCATGGTAACGGCAAGCGGCTGAATCAGAGGGTATATGAGAAAGTGTTCGCCCACCGCCGCCGCTGCGCTTGCGTTTAATTCTTCTTATTTTCGGTGTCCCCACTGCTCGCAGTCTTTGCCTGGTGCCGGTCGCCCTTTCTTTCTCTTCCTCTTTCTTTCTACAATGCAGTTCCTGTCCCCAATCCCCCAAATCGAAATATCCCTCGCCCCGCCCCAGGTCCCCGCCTTCGAGCCCTACTCCCCCTTCAACCAGCTCGCCTTTCCTTCGGACTCGCAAGAAGACGATGGCTTCCGCCCGGTTCACTTGACGCCCCCACCGACCGTGACCAACTTCAAGCGTCCCCGCTCGCCCCTCCGCCAGGTCAGCGATTCGCTCGGAAAGGGTCTCGAGGGCGATCGCTTCCAGGCTTTGTTGAAGGCAACCAAGGACCGCAACTCCAATGCCGCCCTTGGGATAAGGAAGACAGATCTCCGCAAGGAGATCGCAGTGAAGGTCCACAAGAACAAGCAAGGTGCGCTCCTTGTGATTTACAAGGGCCTTGCTGACTCCTGTCTCAGCCGAACGCCGCGCTCTTTTCCTCTCCAAGGTTCACGCTCCCCCCTCGCCCACCGCCACGATGACCCCCAAGACACCTCCCGAATCTCCTGCCATTTTTCATTACAGTCTTCCGTCTCCCGGTCTTGTCTCGCCCCTCGCCCTCTTCGAATCGCTCAACGGGAACCGCGATGCTGCTCAAGATGGTTGGGTTGAGCAGGTCGATTTCAGGCTCTCAGCCGAGCGTGCTAGGACGATGAATGCCAAGTCCAAGCCATCTGCGTTACCCTCGCTCGACCAGATTTCCGCGCGCATGATGTCTCGCACGGCACGGCAGAGCGATTACGACCCAGATTCCATGACTCCCGTTTACACCGCTCGTCCGCGACCTTCGTTCGGCGTTGGAAGGTTGAAGATGCCCCTACGAACTGCACCGGTCCCAATAGTCAGCACCCAGCCCCAGCACGCGCTTCCACCTCGGTCGCCCTTGCTGAACCCGTCGAACGACCTCAGTGTCACGACTTTGGTTGTTCCGCGTTCCAACTCCTCTTCTCCGACCAAGCTTACCGAGACCAACTTGAACGCCCTCAACTCCCGTGGTCAGCGTGCTTCTAACATGCTTACTGCCCTCAGGAAACGGACCCTTTCCCAGGAGAAGATCTCTACTCCGACGATGGAGGCAAATTCCGAGTTCAAGACCAGACGCCGTAGTGCTCCTGCTGATTTGATGCCCTGCCGTGCTCGAGTTGGATTCGAACACCCGGTGCTCGCGCTCCCTGGAGCGTTCTAACACTTACGATCTCTCTCCTCTATCTATTCCTTGTAAGATACTGGGATTCGCGAGCATGCTTCGAATCACTCTTCTCGTTGGGGCGGCACTTTAAGTTAATTAGCAGGCAACTGCTATCACGTTCGTTAATTTCGCATTCGGGGCGGGACTGGATCCCTTTTTGTAGGAGATACATGCATTTGTAGAAGTAGCCGGATTTCACTATTTACACATCCAGATTGTCGTTCCTTTACATAAATCCAGTAGAGAAATAAATTGCAGAGCAGAGAAAGATAAGTGTCAGATACTGAGGTCTATATTTTGTGAGATTCATAGTGGTGAGGGTGGTCGTCTAAAGATTCTTGAGATAACATTTAACCGGCGAGCTTGTGGGAGAATGTAAGATGTGTTCATCTTCACAAGACAAATCTTACCATAGTCGAGTCGAGCGTGTTCGTCAGTAATTTCATCATCATCGGAGTCGACGAGTGGATCAGAGGTTTTGGCAACGTGCCAGGCCTCTGCAGAAATAAATCAGGGGTTATTTTGGGGAAGATACAAGCAAGAATTTACGCTGAAACATCGTGCGCTCTTGCCCTTCCGAAGCCGTTGCCCTATGCCCATGGTACGCTGGTATGTTTTTAATAACGGCGTATCCACTGTTCTAAGAGTAGACGACCCACGTTTTGGCTCTTGGTGGTGGGAGGTTGAAGCAGGGGCTTCTCGACTTGGTACATAGAATAGGAATGACCTTTCATCTTTCGGAGCTTCTTGGAGTTGGCGTTGAGATCGTGGAAGGTTGTTACCTGTTTCTGGGAGAGTGTCTTATGAACTTCAGTCTATGGAGCCCAGGAAGATGGAGAGAAGAACCTGTGACAAAGTGGGGTGCACTGGCTTTGGCTTTCCTGTCACCCTCCATGGACGAGACAAGCTTCTGCAGGAATATATTCCGCTGGTTTGACATCCTGCTTCCCCATTCGATCTCCTCTGGTGTGTCTACGTTCTCCTTTCTGGATTCCGATTGGCTGAGTCGGCGCAGAGAAGGGATCTTTCCTGGGTACTTTCTTGAATAATGGTCATCGAACGGGTTGGGCCCTGTATTGGCTTCCAGATAGTGGTATAAAAGCCATAGGAATGCTCTTGCTCGATCGTTAGAAGCAAGGTATTTATTCGGTAGGAACAAATCCAGGAAATTCAGAGATCCATCGAAGTGGATGCTGGCTAGTGGCTACAGAGAAGCACGGCAATAAGTTGTGCCCACCTGGATGTCGAAATGAAAAACCCACCGCTGCATGGTTGGCGAGGACAAAAATAAGATTCACAACGCTGGTAGGAGGTCGTACGCCCGCTTTCTGTGGTGGTGGCAGGTAAAAATAACCCGACATACACCGAGATAGAACCTTACAAGTTTTCCGAGGACCTCATCGGGTGTGGAGGGAGGTGCGGCTTTGAGCTCCGACGGAAGTAGAGCAGCCTTTAGGCAGTTCTTAATCCGCGGCGCGTCCTGGGCATTTCCATCGGTCTTCTGCAACGAAGGCACCGGGTGATATGTCCTTAGAGCCGTCTTCATTTCCGGAAAGACTGTGATGTCATCCACATCAGTTATAGTCGCGCGAAAGAGATATCACAATGTGTGTGCTCTTACAAGCCATAGTGGTGTTGATACGGCCAACGTTCGTTAGCAGCGCTATCTTCGCGAACTCGAGACTGAACGCAGGCGTTTCAACCATTTTTTCCTTCAATACTTTGGAGCATTTACTGGAGCTATATAAAGCGGATACATATAGGTCGCCAAACGTGACTTTATCGCGTTTCCCCGGCGTTGCGTTGGTGAACACTGCGTTGACGTCGCTGAACAGATAGTGGAGGAGATCGTATTGCACGTCCTCGCGCGTCAGGGGTTCGGCATCGTTCCTTTTGATAGGCAAGGCTTTGCGGCTGAGATATCCCACACTGCCCAAAACGTGAATGCTTGTCAGATTATAGAACAACAGGCCGAGAAGTGGAGTGACTGACGGAGGAGCTGCCTCAGGCAGCCAGCCTGGGGCCATCATATGCGAGTTGGACGGTGGGTGCATGAAGGCCATGAAGAGAGATGCAGACGGGCACGAGGTAGCCGCCTAATCCAGGAAATAAGCCCTGGAACGGCTCGAGTCACCGTTTAAGAGGGTGTACAAAGTCTGCCCAAGAAGGCACCCCACGTGTAGATGCGCTCGTAAGTACCAGGTGCAGTTGGGAAAGTGGACGTGTGCCGTAAACAACAGTCAGACGGATGATGAACAGAAGATCTGGACCACAAAAATGGGATTGCAGGAGGGAAACTAGGTGACATACGAGGATGTATTTGCACAGGCCCGGCTTTCCCCAATGAACACAGCACAAAGCGGGGCAAGAGCGCGGCCCACAGCCCAAAAAAAGCTAAAAGACGCGTCGAGTGACAGTTCTGAACTCGAAACGGAAATATGGCTCGATGAGACTTTTCAAGGTCGATGCATGCTGCCTGGTTTGAAAAGTGTAGATTTCAGAACGCGATGGTGTAGGATCCAGTGACAGAGGTTATGAGAGATTGAGCGCCGAGGCCCGAACAAGTCGATCCTTTGAGGATGGTTTCGACAAACTTCGGTCAACTTCGGCGCACCGTCCGACTGCAGATGATCTGTGCATTACGTCAGCACCTTCCAAATGCGTTAAGCGTGTCTTCACTCGCGCGCTGTCATGTCGGGCGCGTCACTCACTCGTCACTCACCTTTTGCTCTTGACCACAACACTGCCATGGAGAATCTGAAATTCGACGAGGCAACCCAGGTGCATTGCATTCGAAGAGTGCCTCACATGTTCTAATTCCTCTTCAGAAAGAGCTGGCATCATTCCTTGAGGTGCAACAGGCTCAAGTGAGTGGTCTCTCCTCCAGTGTCTTTTCGCATCTTACCTTTTCGAAGGCGAGAATAAATGCTCAAATCCAACAATTCACCGTGACGTGTTGGGACAAGTATGCCTTCTTTGAAGCTACTTGGTACCTTGTCGTTCACACTCTCGTTCTTAGGTGCATAACGGGGACACCGTCAACCCGCTTCTCACGTAGCGAAGAAAGCTGCCTTGCAAACTGCGTGGAAAGATTCCTAGACACCAGCCTCTTCATGGTCAAGCAAATCGAACAAAAACGACTAGAATCTGGTAGATAAAAAGACCCCACTCAGGTTTGAATACTGGTGTACATATTCTGTCCATGTGTACGTATACTCTTACCCTCGTATTCTACTCCACAAATTTCGAAGACCCTCTAGCCAGAAAAAGCAGAATGCATCCAGAATCTCTCGTTTCCGCCGCAACTTTAGGGGAATCTCGACGGTTGGGCTGTCCTCCGAACCTAGAGTACCTGTCTCGTAATAGTGATCCATGGATTCGTCTTTCTCTTGCCAAAGTTTTCGAAGCCAGACGTCGAACACATCCTTCTCCTCGCTCGGTATGTCAACTTCAACAATCCGTCTAGCGTTCAGGTCCGGAGATCTGGCACCAGATGCATCTGCTAAGTCACCAATGGGCACGTCTTTAGTTACGTCGAACATTCTCAGATGTATGTGGACGGCTGGGGGAGAAACGCCGTCGAAAAGGATTGATCTCAGGGTGTAATAGTCTTGCCCATATCCCAGCGGCGGAATTCCTGGACTGCGGTCAGTGCTTTGGGTTGCGTATAGGCTGCCAGCTTACCTGGGTATGCGACGGTCATGTCGAATAACCGCAAATCTGGTATCCTCGGCGCTAGGGAACGTAAACTGTAGTGCAAGCCTGTCGATCTGGGCAGCAGCATGTTCTTCATGTCCGTCTTTCACCGCGTCGTGAGAAACAGAGCTACAGTGTATCCGAAAGCACTCACAATTCCCATTTTGTCCGCGTATTTCTTACTTCTTGGCCGCGTATCTTTGCTAACGAGTGTGCCCTCAGGGTATAGCAAAAAGCACAAGGGTTTGCCCTCCCGTTCCGCCTCCCTGCCTAGTGAGGCAAGGTCAATCGCCAGTTGTTGTCTGTCAGATGCCCAAGAACGAGCCAAAAATATGAATTTGAAGAATTGCATGCCCTATTTCTCCAGTGAGAACGTAACATAGGAAATTTGGAGCATTTGCCTTACCCAACCAACTATGGGCACCCAGCGGAGACTATTCTTCAGTGTAATAAAGACGTAACGGTGCACATCGTGACGGCTCGTGAAATAAGTGAAACACCATGCATACCACCAGTCAGAGTAGATCTGCAACACGCGAATTAGAAGCCATTACGGCAACAAAAAAAGTATATGGACCCGCACCTGGTGGTTGGCTATCAACACGAACTTGGTGGGCAAGTCCAGAGCTACGGGATGGCCCTCGCTGTCTCTAATAACATATTGGTCGATCTGCTCTTGCGTGAAGCGACCCATGCCTTCTGTTTCAAAGGTTACCAAAAGCGTGGTGGGTGCGAACCATTGGCTCATGAGGACTGTCGGGGCGCAGAACATAAGCTGCGAACACGAGATAAGGGACCGAGGGCATACTCTGGAGGGCACCGAATGCACCTTTGGTGTACCGGATGCCAGCGTAGTAGAGTTTCCTTGACCATCTGAAGGGTAGTATGCGGAGAGGTAGCATAAAGACGAATTGGGTGACGTTTATCATAAGGCATGCCCAGCTAAAGAGGATGCCAAACAAGGCAGCCTTGAGTATCGTGCCCCATGTCCTCGGTGGGCGCTTATTGATTGGGATGGCAAATAAGGGAGTGGCGGTCATAGCGCCGCAGCGGAGGGGGGGATGGAGGTCAGAGGCAAGTCGGAGTTGCTGCGTGCATCTATGAAGGAATCTGATATTCACACCGGCACGCACATTGATGTGACATCACAACATTTACTCTCAACCACCATCGCACACACGCCCATGCCGCGTTGTGAGTTCATCAACGACCTAATTCCTCTCATCCTCGACGCCGACGACCATTGGTGGCCCAGACATCTTGCAAAATTGGCTACGGTGTCGCCAGCATGGCAGTACTATGTGAACAAGTGGTTATACCCCTATCCCGACATTCATTCGTTCGCGTCAGCACGCCTGCTAGCCGACACGCTCACAGAGAATCCTTCTCTGGTCTCACTAGTCTCCGGAATATCACTTCGACCGGTAGCGAAGGATTCGAGCAGCCGGCGGCCCAAACCCGCAGAACTGAAGGCAGTTCGATATCTTCTGAGCCTCGAGGGATTGAAGCGCATAGCGCTCGGAGGCGGATTAGCAGTAAAGGCGGAGAGGTTCTTGAGACTGATAGCAGATCCAGATAGCCTAACCGACTTGCACGTCGATGGGAGCGCGTTGGTGGACTGTTTGTCCACCCGCCCTTCCCTGGAATGGGACGAGTCTCTGACGTTCTCGTTCCCTGCCCTGCAGAAGCTCCGGCTTACGCATCTTGAACTCGACATTATACCACCTTCCATCCCCCATCCATCCCCCCTCTCGACCCTCGTTCTTGAGAGCATTCACATCTTTAGCGGACATCTTACCTACCTTCTGAACGGTGCGGCCTCATTGGACCGCTTGCACCTCACGACCGTTGACCCCGTCGGATCAGACGAGCAGCTCAAAGTCATGCTCGCCTCATGCACGGTCGGCTGTCTTCATTATGAGACACAGAAACCTACCCATTCAAACGGATTTGTCTTCGACCTCGACGCGAACTGTGCAGAAAGCCTACGGTGCTTACACCTCGACGGACACTTTGTGGATTTGGGGATGTTGAATACTGTTGGTAGGTTGTGCCGTAACTTGGTGGAGTTGGTGGTTTCCGGGCGGGCGGTTCGCGTCTCTTCGCAGGAGTGGGCACGTTTTATCAGGTCTGGGACCCTCTCTTCCCTTCGGCGATTAGGCCTGCCGTCCGGAACCAATATTCCACCGTTTGGGTTGTGGCTATCGAAGGAGTTGGAGGAGATTCGGGATGCCTGTGCGTCGAGGCAGGTGCCTATCGTTTTATTCTAGGGTTTATGGGTTGTATGCGTCGAATAGTTGGCTGGTGATTGTATACCCGTATGTCGAGTGTCACTATAGTCTATGTCAGTGCCTTGCTTTCCATAAATAAACGCATTTGCGAGCCAAAAGGGGCGAGGGCCTTTCCTGGATTGGGAAGTTTCCTGATTTTTGTCGAAAATTGAAGGGACGACCTCTCGCTGTAGCCAAAGCAGCAGACCCTCGTATCCGTCGTCGGCTCCCTGTCTCTCCTTAGGCACAGCACTCAGCGTGCAGCCCCGTCTCTCCTTTTCTCTTCCCGTAGTCGACCTCGATTCCCCCAGTTTCCCAAGGTGCGCTCGTATGTCGCCCGTATTTTGCCACATTTACAATCCCACTTTACATCCGTGTCCAGAGCCCCATGCAGTCCATCTTGTCCCGCCACAACTCGACGTCGCAACGCACGCCTCGGAAGAGCTCTTCCTTCCTGTCCTTACGTCGCGAGAAAGACAAGGCAGCTCCCAGTTCCCCCACGACGTCGCCGTATGATTCTCCTGGTCCTTCAAACACCTCGCCGTCCAGCTACTTCGATGTCTATCCTCCTCCGAAGACCGCATCTACCACTCGTTCCGTAAAGTCGTGGAACAAACGGTCTTCTCCCATGAGAGGCAGCCCGGTCCACGATTCCTCCCCGACTTCCTACCACGACCCCATCTCCACACACGCTGATACCGCTGAGAGCCCTTCTTACACCTTCCCTTCCTTCGATCCTTCCGACACCTATTCATCGACATATCGCAACCCTCCTTTGGGAAACGCCCACTATTCGCGAACCCGTTCCAGAACTGGCCCCTCAGGAAAATCTAAATGGGAACCGCCCTCATCTGCTGTTCCCCCATTACGGTTCTCCAACTCATCATCAACTCAGCATACAGAAACACCGCCGCGGACGCCTGACGACTACATGGCCTCTACCGACTCCCTTGACAATTTCCCGGTTGTCGTGGCGGCCCCAGTCGCCGGCGTGGAGTTTATGGATGCTTTGGTGGACGGAATGAATGGTGGCGACCTTGTCAGTGTCCCAAGATCGTCTAACCGGTCGCGGTTCGGAATTCCAAACCATCACCCTCTTTATCAACCACCTTTACCTACCCCTCCTCCAGGCGTTGTTCTTGGTGGAGGAGTGTCGCGGAAAGTGTTGCAGAAAGCGACCCCTCCTCCTGCTGATTCGAGTGACGATGACGAATTTATCCCGACGCCAACGTCGCGCACAAGGCGGAGGCGACCACGCCCAAATGCGGCTAGGTCTACGTCAAGCTCGACCATAACGCCTCCTACCAAATCGTACGTTTCCGCTGATGAAGCGATCCTGCCCGCCAGTTTCGAACGTCGCAAGGAGCCTTTTGCTCGTCCAAGTACGTCTGCCAGTGCTAACGTCGAAAATCGCAAGAGCATGGTCCCTTCGATATCGGAGATCATTCGCAACCACACCCCACCTGAAAGTCAAGTTCGCTCGCGACCCCCAACGGTTCGTTCTTCGTCGTTGTATACCCCAAGTATACAGGGCCATACTACTGTGCAAGAAGAAGAAATAGAATCAGAACCAGAACCTTTGACACGTGAAGAAGAAGCTGAACTCTTATCACGGTCCTCCATCGACAGCGTCGCGGATGAGGTACAACGCACTATCCGCAACCAGGGCGTTCTCAGGCCGCGTCCCCCTGTGCCCCCAAGCTCTGCCTCGGCGTTCATTAATCGCTACTCAACCGTATCAGACAACACCAGCCTCTATTCTCCAAGATCAGATCCAGGAGCTGCACCTTCTATTTATTCTTTCTCTGCACCTTCCAGCTACCTCCCAGGATCGCCTCTGGATAATAATTTCCTAACCATGGCCAAACCGAACCCTTCGCAAGCCGTGGCGCAATACCTTCGTTCTGCGAGGTTAACTACCCTTCTCAGACTTACTCGATCTCCTCATGCTTCTCAAGACAATCCCCTGACAGTCAGTCTTTCCGATCTGGGAAGTCCGACTGGATTCCCGGTCGTCGTTTTCCTGGGCCTTGGCTGCGTACGCCACATTATGGGCCTGTACGACGAGATGGCGGAATGCATGAACTTAAGGCTCATCACTATTGATCGGTACGTGGTGTTCTTGCATCTCTTGCTCCTTGCTGACTGACGGTTATCACCCAGGTGGGGTCTGGGACGGACGGAACCACGTTCGAAATCCGCCAAAGGTATTATGCAATGGGCATCGGTGGTCGAAGAAGTCCTAGACTTGTTGCACATCAAGGAGTGCAGTATCATGGCACATTCTGCTGGCGCACCTTATGCACTCTCTTTCGCCAATAAACTGCCGGCACGGATTCGAGGGGATATCTGCCTGCTTGCTCCTTGGGTCGGCGGCAGTGAAAACAGTGAGTCTTAGATTTGATGATGCACTAGTTCTCACTGATGATCTATAGGTGGCTACAAGTGGCTAAAATACGTGCCCAACAGTATTTTGAAGACGGCACAAGCTGCAGAGTGGAAGATTCAAGCGTGGATGATTGGCAAGCCCCCCACTATCGCCTACGAGGGAATTGGATACACTGCACCTACCGTATCGAAAACTGTCAACCTCAATGGATCGTCACCTCGGACTAGCGGAAACTTAAATGCTTCTACCAATTCGAATGGGGACACGAGGTCTCGACCAAGCATAGGATCCAGCACTTTTAGCGAGTACGATGATTTGGGTGACTTCGATGGTCGGTTCGAAAGCCGAAGTACATTAGGCCTAGGTTCGCGGCCTGCATCGCATCATGGCCACAACGACAGCATAGTGTTTACAGCGAAGCGGAAGACATCACGAGGCATCTTTGAAAGGTTGAAGGGATCGAGCACACCTCCCTCGCAATCCCAGGAGAAGCTGTCTTCGACCGGCAAGAAGCTCAAGGCGCTCAAGTCTATGGGTTCTCTCAAAGGCAAGAGCCAATCCACTCGCAAATCCGAACCCTCGAGCCCGCAACTTCCGCCTGCATTGCGGATCGACGTTGGTTTGGGTTTGGAAGACCTGGCATGGACGAAGGCAGTAGACTCAAACGGCGTTAATCTTGCAACAGCTACTCCGCGGAACGTCTCAGGCAGCAGTAGCACTACGCCACGTCCCAGAAGTTCTGGTCGGCGGTCAATCTCGTTTACGTCGTCGCAAACCACCCCTACGTCCATGCCGGCCTCCCCCTCTCCGACTGCGGCTGCCTCTTCCTTCGTTCAGAACGTGCAGCAGGAACAAGCTAATCACCAAGTAGCTCTTGGAAATGCCCTTATTGCGGCTTCTCATGCAGAGTCGGCGAAGGGAACCACGAATGATCTTCTGCAGATCCTTAATCACGAAAATCATTCGTGGGGTTTCTCATATTCGTCGTATCCACACAAAGTCAGGGTGTGGTATGGTGATAAGGACGAGAAAATCGCAGAGAATGCGGTGAGATGGATGGAACGCACCATGGGGACGGACAGGTGTTCTGTGAAGGTGGTCAAAGGTGCAGACCACGGGCTGATGTACAGGAGCAGCGCGGTGGTAGACGTCTTAGAATGGATCCTCAGTGCGTGGAAGACAGAAGGCCGGTTCCCTCAGCCGTATTCTGGCTTGCGTTGAGGCTTTCTCTTTTTCTCATGTTCCTTCATTTGTTGCATCTTGTTACATTACTATTACTTCCTCTCAATGGTTTACAGTATACTCATTCGTCAGAATTTCACCTATATACCATTCACATTCGCAACGATATCCTATCTCCCATCATTGAATTATTCTTTTCGTTGTACTCATATTACCGTTATGGTATCCGTAGTTGTAAGTAAGTAATCTGACAGTGCCGCAATGCGTAATGCGGAGTCGCGTCCAGAATCGCCATCATGTGATCTGCTTTATGACAAGTCTGGCTCTCAGCAACGACAGCACCTATTCATATTCCCCTCCACCACAACCCATGTGAGTCCGCACCCACTTCACACCCACTTCCTCCCCCTCCCTCACAGATCCCTTCCCAGCATATCCGAGCCCCATCCATGGCCGCCGCCTCCCGCCGGGTCAGTCCCGCGCCTCGGAGGGTAGTCGCCATCAAACATTCCGACGGAGAGCCTCTGACTCGGGCAGACATACAGTACGACTTCCTCAACGCCGTGTTCAGCGACACGCATGAGGTCTTCTCCAACCCCTACCTACCTGTGACCGCTGAGCAGGGGAAGAAGATATCCTTCCGAGACCTGTATATCAAAGCTATTCTCAATTCGCCGAAGGCCACCAAGGCCCTCAAAGACAAGATGGCGGAGCCGTCCACTTTTGCGCTTGACTTTGCGATGCTTTCATTGTTGGTTAACGTAGGACGCGTGAACACTACCATGAGTTGTGAGTGCGATACCGTATCTATCCATTGCCATTGCTGCGACTGAAGAACGGCAAATAGTCTTTCCCGAAATGAAGACCGCAATCCGCACATATCACCCTATCCCCTCGCTCCAACGAACCAATGGAAACATGCAGGATGCCCCACGAATCAAGCATATACTCAAGATGAGTTTGCTATCTGATGAGGCGAAGAATCCTCCCTCCAGTCTAGCTGATCTCCTCGCTCGATGCGTGCGTTGAAATTCATTCCTTACGACAGCGTGGCATACTAAAATAAAGCATTATCCTTAGAAAGCTGGGACAACTCCTTCCACAAGCATCACGAACTTGATCTTCGTTCTTGCCCATCACACAGGAGCATGTCTTGTCTCCATCGTGCTTTACGTTTGCGCTGACGTGCCACATTTCACAGGCTGTTGGACAAGCCCACCTACAAAGTCATGTTGACTTCCTCGACCTTTTTCTTCGTTCGGACATCTCATCGGCGTCCCGTGCACGCGCATTTCTTTGGCTATGTTACAACTACCTAGAGTCTCCGTCGTTGGAGGACGACTACGACGATGAGCCTGTTCCCAACCCGTTCTCAGACCCTACAAAGAACTCTGCTCCAACACTCTCCTTCCTGACAGCGGATGAGAGGAAGCAAGAGAACCAAGAGTCGGCGGAAGACCTTGTCCTCACTGAAAGACTTGTTATCCAAAGAACTCGGATTGTCCAAAGCTATAACACCAAAGGGAGCCTTAAAGGACTGCAAACCAAGGCTCCCGCCAGCGATATCATTGCCGGAGACGACGAGGAGCTTTCGGTGGCCGTTTCTGACGGCCCCACGACGAAAGGCAAGCGTCCCGCGTTTACGATATCGATCAAGGGCAGGGGCAAACGTGCCGCCAATGCTGCTAAAGAGAAGCGGCCCACGCCTTTGAAGGAAAAGCCTAAGGAAAGAGAGCCGATGACGCTCGTTCCGGATTTTGACGACGATGATAATGTTATTGAAGCCTTCGTCAAACGTAGGCGCCCTTCATCTTTTCCTCTAAGGCAACGCTGACCTAGAAACAGAGCGCACCCTGTCGCTTAAGGCACTCAGTGGCCATGACCAGCTGGATCATCCTTTAGGTCGGTTTTCGTCCCATTCTGGAGTAAATGGCCACGCGGACCATGCACATCGTCATCGTTACTCGCCGTACGGGGCCACCTCCCCTCAACGCTCTCGCTTTGGGCACTCTCATCTCTCGCACCCTCGTACCATGCTCCAGCGTAAGTGTCCATGCTGACTGCGCTATATCGACTTTCGGGAGTAATCATTCTGTTTCAGAGGCATGGCATGTCATCACATCGACGGATTCACTGGCGGACTCGGATGATGAAGGATGTGATGCTTACGCCCGAGAAGATTACAGTGAGTGGCTGTCCACACCAACAATGCCGATTCTCAAACCAGGTGTAGTCCAACGGTTGAGAGTAGTCAGCCGTCTATCTCAGCAGCAGTGGCTGGATTACCCTACCGACATGGATATCGATTCTTTTTGAAGGACTGGAGCCCCGTTTCTGAATTTCTGATCATAGTTATTACCATAGCTTCTACTAGTCGTTCGCCAAGGTGTATAGGTAACCTTTATTGCTATCATTATCGCATTATCCCCGTCAATACATTCGATAGTTGTTACAGTTTTTGATATATTTAACAGCCATTCCAAAGCACCTGGGTTCCAGTTGACGGGGTAGTAACAAGCAAGTGATTGCGGCATTTGCGATCTCTATTATCCTACACGTAATGAACACAATATCCCGGAGTATGTAGAGTCAAAAAGACGATGAGCAGGAGGCAAAATAGGGCATAATGAGATTAGAAAGGAAGGAAGATGAGTGTGACGAAGATAATGGGAAGATGCAGAAATGCGCGAAGTGCCAAAGGGCTAAAACCTTAGAACAGACTTCGAGACCTACACAGTGCATGTCCTACTCAACGCGAAGAAAGAATGGCCCAACTACTCCAACAACAGCTTTTCGCATTGCTTGACATACTTGTCGATTAATTGTGAAAGGTCCCGAATGACGAAACTGAGAACGACCGTGGCGAAGAATTCTGAGAACCTCTTCAGTTTCTGCTCTACAGAGGCGCGAATATCCACAGGGAATGCAGCATATGCAGGAGCAACAGGTTGGGATAGGAATGCGCGTGTATGTTCGTCTAGCAGCTGCACGTGCGAAAACAATTTCCTGAGGCCTTGCACGTACACCGTCGGCGAATCAAGGCTATAAAAAGGCACAGCGTCAGTATCAACCACATCAAAACAATAGACATTACTGACTTCTTTCCGTTGGTGAATTTATCGAGTCGGCGGGTTATCTTATCACCCAGCGTCGTTTTCCTTGAAACGAAGCCCTCCCCCACGCCCAATTTCTTGCCGAAACTCGTTACAACGCCAACACATACGTTGGAGAAGTCCTCGAGTTTTGATAGCCACGCTTCAGCTTCTTTCCTCCCAATGCTCCCAATTCCAAGAGCGAGCCCACTTGATATGCTACCAGCACCAAAGTACTCAGCGCTACTCGATTGGAGGTCTTCCAAAGCGTCGCACAAAATCGTGACGACTCTGATCTTCTCATCCAGGTTCGACAACTTTGCTCCTCCTTGAGACCATACCTCACAGGGCACATGCAATCGACGAGTCACGTAGCCACCTGTTGGTGAGACCATGGTGGTTCTTAGAAGGTGCATCATATGATATGGTTTGAGAAGAGGGTCGGAAGGTGGTGCTGGGGGAAGAGGAGAGGTGGGAGTTGTTGGAAGATTGGCCGGAAAGCCGATAGAATTGCTTTGGAGCGCAGAAGGGTCGAGTTGTAGAGTCGACAACGCCGGGTTAAACTTGGATGGTACAGACACCTTCCGTCCTGCGCCATTGACAGCATTCGTGGCGGGTAAAGGAGGCCGTTGATCAGGAGACACGCGTCCACCAACTATTGACGGCCTACGGCCTGGCTGAGACGATGATCGGTGTCTGCCTGCGATGATCCCGTTGCTGTAGGTGGACGCTATGGGTGGAGGAGGCACTGCCGGTGGTGGAATCGAACCTGCGGAAGTGACTGATTCAGAAGGTGAAGCAGAGCGCACGCTGGGAGGTGCCGATGTTTTTCTCCGCTGGAAGATGGCCCCCTGACTTGTGGCATTAATTTGTGGGACATTGGCCAGTTCGTTACGGGTCGTCAATTGTGAGGAGCCTCTTTGGCGCGGTACAATGACATTGACCAATCTCGGTGATGGAGGCGGTCTCGTAAGCGGCTTAGTGCGAGGAGTTCCAGTGGCGTCTGGTGTCGTTGGTAACGGAGGTAAGGGCGGAGATTCTCGTTTTGCGTTGCGTGGGGTCTCAGCAATGAACTTCTGGGCATCTGAACCATCATCTTTAGACCGAATTTCCAAGCGCTGTGTGTCTTCACTCTCTTCTTCCAACGCCCCGAGTCCAGATGGTGTTCGTCTGTGCCCTGTGGGCTCAGAAGCACGCGCTTGCGGTTCTTGTCGCCAAGACGTTTGGGCAGGAGGCTCTGAGGGAGGCTCCTGAACAGTCGGTGCAGGAGGTAATGAACTCGCGGGGGGAGGTGGCTTTGGTGGGAGATTTGAAGATACTCGTAACCTTCGTGCGGAAATGGAAGAGCGAGATGCGGCTTGGGATTGAGGGGGAGGATCATATTGTCCAGAATATGGGTGTTGCGTAGAAGGAAGACCTGAGATAGTGGAGCCTCTAAGTACTGATTCGTCAAGATAGACAGCATCTGAAGGATCAGTCTCCTGGAAGTAGTCTGTAGTACTGTTCGAATGTGATTCGGATTCTTCTGGCATGTGCGGGGTATAGGTCTGTTGTGGTATGTGTGGCGAATTATCTGAGGAAGGAGAAGCTGAAGTCGTTGGCGAATTTGATGTCGTCGAGTCGGAGACTGCATTAGAATACAATGATGATGCTGGATAGGGCACGGCAGGTATGCTGTAGATGATGCTGAGAATATTCATCCGATCTGCGTATGTATCGTGCTAGAAAGGCTCGAAAGTTAGGCAGAAGTTGCACACGGAAAAAAAATCGACCCACAATATTCTGCAATCGTCTTACTTCCTCTTCCTGAGCGGCGACACTTCTACGTCGTCGTCTCCTATGTGAGTCTGAAGTACTATCTTCGCCATTCCGCACCCGTTCCATTACTTCACTGAGCAATGCGACACTCTGCGCATACGCATTTACAGCTGCTTCTGGATTGTCATTGGTAGAATCGAGCTGAACCGCCTCGCGGGCAAGTTCGAGGGCCCGCGTCAGCGCACGTCGGGAGGACGGTCTGTGCTCGGAACGGTGTGAATGCTCTGTTGGAGGGACGAGGAGAGATCTGTCCGGTGGTGCATGAGGTTCTTGAGTCCGATCAGAATGGCGAGAGGATGATGAGGGTAGATACGACTGAGGGGGTGGGTCGGAGAGATCATCAATTGAGGAGGTCATAGACGGAGGCGAATTGTGAGAAGTTGATGACGACGCCTGGCGGGCCTGTGAAAAAGCTGCCACGGCTGAGAGATTTGGGGATGCGGCGGGTCTAGCGAAGGAGCTAGAACGGCTACCCCTTGAAATCGAGGATGGGCTGGATGAATATACGGGTACGTCGTGTACTTCTGCGTTGAATGATGGCGGCTGGGAGACGGGCGAGGAGACTGGGAGACTTGGAATGGGGAGATTTGGAGGCGGGTTTGCAGGGCGTGGATTGGCGGCGGAGGAACGGCGGCGTTGGGAGACAAGGGAGGCGGGGGACGTCTGGGGGGAGAAGGAGACAGGAGGGGGCGGGTGGTCCTGCCAGTGAGCTCGCTGGTTGACACGGTGCTGAGCCGGCCTGGAGTCCCATTCGAACTCCATGCTGCGGGCAATGCTCGTCGGCGCTGACGGTGATGAAGAGGTAATGGACAGGCGAATGGCGACCAACTCCTTGTTTGGCCATCAACAACATCTCATATCGCAATCCGTATTAGGAACGTCTCCATTCGCACAAACTATTAGATATCGAAACAAAATGAAAATGAATCCTACTGAAAACGAGGGTACTGATTATCCGAGAGGTATCAAGCTACGCAGGTAACGAGCGAACAGGCAAGGGGGCTATCAAGTAAACATGGGTATATGCATGGCCTGCCAGCCAGCACCAGAATATTGTTGGCGGCTTTTCTCATCCAAATCCGGGCTCCAATCAGTCACGGAACTCTGCTTGTGATCCCTGAGCAGCAAGGCGGCTCTCCAGGTTACTGATCACCAGTTTATTAGCAAATCACGTCAGGCCACAACGGAAAAACATACCGAAGAGATTCTTCCTTAGCGAGAAGCTCCTGCCTCTTCTCGTTGATCTCGCGTTGCACCTTGAGTTCAATTTCGCGCAGCTGGCAACCCGGCATCATCAGAAAAGATGTCGAAACAGATAATCGGATACTAACCTTCTCTTCCTCCCGACGCAATTGCTCTTCTTTGAGCCGCACACTCTGAGAAGCAAGTTCCTCGGGAAGGATGGAAGAGTCGCTGATAAAAAAAAAAATCAGAAAACATTCTGGATATTCGACGAGAAACATACTGGGTATCGGTGTGCACCGTCCTAGAAAGCTTCTCGGTACGGTAAGTTTCGTATAAGACATCATGGGTCAGTGACTTCAAATCAGCAAGATGGGAGCTAGGGCGATCTAATGAGTTTCCCAATAAATGGCTAGAATATAGTAAGCAATTACTTGAGAAGCGCGCTCCTTAGCCTGCTGAAATCCGAGTGCTTAGGGTTGTCAACTTCAGCAATACCCCAAGGATAGATGCGAGCGCGAACGGGCTCTCCGTTAATCTCGATCTCTTCCTCGGAGCCGATTATTGCGAAAGGAAGCAGGGACTGGAAGAAAATTAACCAAAATAAACATTCAGGAAGGGCGGTTCTACCCACACGCAGCTCGCTGTTGTCCTGAATGGTTTCCTCGTCATCTTCTTCCACGTCATAGGGGAAATTGTAGACGGGGATATCATAGTACTCAATGTCCTCCATGATCTATTTACCGGTCAATGCAAGACAAACGGGGATCAAGAACAAGGCACTTACCCTCTTCTTGAAGCCCTTAAGCTCACTGGGGGTCAAAGAGTCCGCCTTTCCAACGACAGGAATGACATTGACACGAGGAGAAAGGCGGCGCATAAGCTCAATGTCCATTTCCCTCAAGCTATACGAGGACAGGCTCAGCCGGAGAAGCCGGGAAAGGGGGGAGAACCTACGCATGTCCGGTAGGAGGGATGAAGTACAGGAGAGCGTGCACCCTGTTGTCCCTGAAGCGCGGGTTACGTTTGATGCGAGACTCTTCAGCGAGAATGTCGTCGTATTGGCGCTCGAGGTAGCCAACAATCTCCTGGAAGCTGGAGGGGAATGAGGGAAGCTGACAAGTTGGCTCGCTGGAACCACGTACGCAAACTCGTTGTCGATGTTGTCACCGAAGCCAGGGGTGTCAACAATGGTGAGTGCAATACGAACACCGTCCTCCTCGAGCTCTGAACAGAAAGTCAGGCCACGGGGTTGACGCGTCCAAACTCCTGAATCCACTCACCAACAGTGACTGGCTTGATTCTGATACCCTCCTCAACGTGCGCAGTCTCGGGGGAGTCAGAAACCTTGTGCGCCAGCACTTCAGACTCGCAGAGGGTGTTGACGAAGGTAGTGCGTCCAGTGCCAGAAGCACCTGGTAAAATGTTGTTAATGACGCGAATGTCGAAAAAAGGTGAAAACAAGAAGAAATGCAACGTACCGACTACCATGAGGGTGAACTGAACACCCTTCTTGGCCTTGTTTCCTCTGCGTCTTCCAGCAAACGACATTTTGAGAGTTGAGCGCGAATGTGAGTGCTCTGGGTTGGATCAGAATTGGGCGAATGTCCTCCTCGCTGCCCCGTCACGAATTCTCCTTCAAACTCCGCCTGTGGCGTGACCTCGTTTTTGATGGCAGAACCGAACGTGACACTGACCGGACCTGACGCGACCGTGTCGTACTTGATTTTGCCAACAAGTGAGTTTCCACTATCCATCCCTCCCGGGTTTCCACTCCCTTTTCGTTTTAGCGCTATGAAAATATAAAAATTCAAGACGTCGACTGAAAAGTTGCTCTATTTCTACACCTTAATTATCATCCAGCGATATCTGGGCACAAACCCGTATGGTTTTGAGGCGTATGTGTGGACGCTTCGCTCGTATACATGGATGGCGACAGCCGTGTTCCTCTGCGCCCAATCATTTCAAGTGCTTTGCATCTTCTCTTGCTCGCGAAAACACCGAAGAGTCCACCAAGAAGAAACGAAAGCGAGTCAAGTTCTCTGAACTACCACAGGTATACCTCAACCCTGCTGGACAACCAGCTGCGCCGCTGCCAGAGTGGGCAGCGGGTTGTGATAGTCTCCGTGTACCTATTCCAGGTATGCCAATGTGGACATGCTGCCGTCTCTATGTTTATGACCTTTATATGCCAGCGGTGATTCAGCCGGTGAACGATGAAGTTGCTAAGCCTGTAAAGAGGACGCGGAGGAAGAAGCAAATTCAAGGTGAACATTGACTTTTTTTTCACATGCATATTAAAATTAACTGGTTTTTTCAAGATGCTGCCGCTGTCGTTGCACAAGAAACCAGTGTCGAGGAGACGCCTAGTAGCAAGTTCTCTAGTATCCAGAAAGAATCACTACTGAGCTTTGGATCTAGCCCCAAAGACCACAAAGGCCTCAACACTTCTATCTCGCGAAATATCATCAAATCTTAAACGCTTTCCGCATTGTCTATTGCTCACCAGAGTTGGCCAGTTCTACGAGGTGTGACCTTTTCTCCGCGCATGTTCATGCCACTAACCCGATCACTCAGTCCTACTTCGACCAAGCTGTAGAAATTGCCCATCTTCTCAACATCAAGTTGACAAGTCGAAAATGGAATGGAGAACGCGTTGCAATGTGTGGTTTTCCTATTTCTCATCTCGACCGACATCTCAAGACTCTGGTACAACAAGAAAAACGCTTTGTTGCTATGTGCGAGGAATTTCGCCTCTCCACCAACGACACAACCGTCAAGGAGTTTGAAAGGCGGATTACCCGTATCATCACACCTGGCACCTTGATCGACGAGTCATTCCTCAACCCATTGGCCAATAATTATTTGCTCGCCATCAACCCGTCTAGCTCTACTTTGACTGATCCCGTGGGTCTGGCCTGGATAGACGTGTCAGCGGGCGAATTTTTCTCCAAACACTGCACGCTCGAAAGTATTTCGGACGAACTTGCTCGCATCGCGCCTCGGGAGGTCATCCTTGAAGCATCCTTCCGACAACAACCAGACCATCCTATTTTTTCAGCACTGGTCGACAGCGACTGTTTGATATCCTACACCTCCATCGAAAATACGAATACCTCCGTTCCCCTGTCAGGAAACCAGGAGCCATTCTATTCCGAATCTTATGCAAGCACGTCTCAGCCTCATCTTTTAAAAGGCCTTCAGCAGGCATCCACGAAGGCGGAAAGACAAGAAATTTCTGCAATTGGCCTCCTAACGAAGTTCTTGAAAGAGAACTTACTGGAACACATGCCTCTTCTTGATGCACCCCTTCATGAAGACGTGAAGGATCGGATGCAAATAGACTCGCATACCATTCAGGGTCTCGAAATCCGCGAAACTGGTTACGAAGGCAGTACAAAAGGGAGTTTGCTTAGTGTGATTAAGCGAACAACCACGAGCGGTGGTTCCCGTCTCCTAGCCAGATGGTTGCGTAAGATTCATTTTTTGATTCGCCTCACAAATACACTCAGTTATGGGTAACAGGTTCTCCGAGCACCTCGGTACCAGAAATTAATTTTCGACAGTCTCTTGTATCTTTCTTCCATGGTCGACCCCATTTCCGTACGGACATCTGCGAAATCTTAAAGGAAGTCGACGACGTCGGTCGATTGTGCCAGAGATTTCTTCTTGGGCGTGCTGATTTTGGAGACCTTGTCGCAATTCATACGAGCATTGACATATGGGACACACTCAAGAAAGTCTGTGACACTGAAAGGACCATGGAGAGCGCTGAAAGGTCTTCTCAGATGGATTTCAACCAATGGAACTACATCGAAACGTTGTTCTCTCGCATGACAGACCTTCGCCATGTCTCAGAGAAAATAGCCAATGCCATCATCATTAACACTGACGCCGCTGAAGATTCTCTGGACGACGACACGTCCGCAGAAAATGTTGAGGAAACTCTCGATACCCCGGCTCCTGCCTCAGAGAAGTCCAGCAAGGAATGGGTTATTGACCCGAAGTAGATATTTTCACCGTCTGCCGTTCGGAGGACTAATATGGTCTTCGCAGTGCCTCCGAGAAGCTTGCGAACTTGCATTCCACCCTTCAAGATCTATTGCTAGAGAAGGAGAAGTTAGAGCGGACTTTTCAGCAGACATACAGTTCGCTTTTTCCTTGATTTCATTCGATTGCACTGACTCCAAATGGCTCGTAGACGCACCCTCTCTGACCCTCCGTTCTTCTCCCGGACAAGGTCCGTTTATCCACGTAGCTCGAGCCAGACGCGACAAACGAAAACTTGATCACGACCTCGACTTTTATAGCATCGGAGAGACCATGACTACAAAAAGTTATTTCCACCGAGTAAGTCGCCCGTGGTTTGCAAGTGGACTTTTCCACTGATCATGATACTAGGACTGGTCTCAAGTGGGGAAGAAGATTTTGGAGACAGAGAGCTCCCTCCGAGCTGCAGAGAAAGAAGTCTTCGACATGCTTCGCCTTGAGGTCGTCGAACACTCGGCCCAACTAAGGAAAAACGCACAAGTCATCGACGAACTTGATGTATTAGTCTCATTTTCCCTGCTCGCTGCTGAAATGAACTTTGTGCGCCCAACAATCACTGAGGAGTAAGGATTTTTCCTTGCATGATGACCTCAACCAACATCTTCCAACAGCGGCTCTTTCCACGTTGTTAACGGCCGACACCCTTCCGTAGAGATGGGACTCCTCTGTTCAGGGCGGCAATACACCCCGAATTCGGTTGAAATGACTTCATCCTCGAATCTGCATATCATCACTGGGCCTAATATGGCCGGAAAATCCACCTTCCTTCGCCAAACTGCTCTGATTGCTATCCTGGCGCAGGTTGGGTCCTTCGTTCCTGCAGACAGCGCGCATATAAGCGTCGTGGACAAACTCTTCTCGCGTATTGGTGCCAAAGATGACCTTTTCCGCGACCGCAGTACGTTCATGGTTGAGATGTTAGAAACGGCTGACATTCTTCGCCGTGCTACTGACCGAAGCCTGGTAAGTCTGGTTGTCATATATTCTGGAATCATACGCGAACTCCAACAATAGGTTATCATGGACGAAGTTGGCCGCGGCACAACGGTCAAAGACGGACTTGCGATCGCTTTTGCGGCTTTGTACCACCTGGTCATTGTGAATAAAAGCCGCTGCCTCTTCGCAACACATTTCCACGAATTATCCGAGATGTTAGGCACGAGCGACAACCTTCGAGGAAGTGGGGCATTCCACAATGTCCGTTTTTATTGCAGCGATGTCGTCGATGTTGGAGTAAGTGAAATAGTTTTCATTCGCTGCCAGATATTTACAGGCTCTTACATCTTTAGGATGGTCATTTCACTTATGCTTACCGACTCCGGCCTGGGATTAACCGCGATAGCCATGGGCTCAAAGTTGCCCGTCTGGCGGGTGTCCCTCCAGCCGCAATGGCGGTTGCTACGGATACTCTGGACTGGTTGAGAAAGCACGGCACGAATAGAATACAACAGGAACATGGCCATTTCCTTTCTTCCACTCTAGGGTCTATGAATTAGTGTAGCTATATTGTCACAGGGCACCGTATAGAGTAGACGAAGTCCACTATATTTTGGTTGAACGGATGTGATTAAGAGCGGATCCCGCCCGTAACCACTTCAGTTGGTCAACCGACATCGTGTGTCTGGTCGGGATCTCAAATGTTACCCCATCGAGTTTCGTAACCTTGACCTTGATTGATGCATTGGGTTTGCCTTCAAAGGCGTCAGCCAAACCAATGGTCTCAAGCACGTCGCCAGATCCAATTTTGGAGTAATCCGCCTTGTCGACAAACCATAGGGGCAAAACCCCTTGTTTCTAGAAAATATTCAGTAAACGAAATCGAATCTAATCATGGTGTGAGGTAAAACCCACCTTCAGATTAGTTTCATGAATCCGAGCAAAAGATCTTGCCAAAATCATAGCGCAACCTGAAGGTTCATCATACAATCACCTTCCAGAAATCCACGGACGAATAATTTACGGACCGTAGAAACGAGGTTGAAGGGCTGCGTGCTCCCTGGCGCTACCTTCGCCATAGTTGTCGTCCACGATCAAGGCCCACGGCTGTTCTCTGGCCTTAAACTGCTTTGCAATCTCAGGGATTGTGCCAGTGGTGTTATTATCTCTATCGAAGGCGACATTCATCTCCCCTCCTTCGTCGTTTATAGCCTGACCCACAAACTGTAAGCCTAGTAAAGGAGGCGACAGACATTCCAGCTTACAGTGATTACTGCACAGAGGGGGTTCAGAATCGCGTTCCAAGAGGCGCAGAGGTCATCACTCACACAAGTTCTCAGATATGTTTGTCAGATGTCCTTTGTATTTCAACCAGGGGCCCTGTCTTATGATGAGTTTACGGTTTTAGCAGAAGATATAGGTGTTGAACCCACGGCAGCAGAGATGTGATCAGTTGTGCATTTGCCGCGAACGCGTAGGAGCACCTTCAAAGAAGGCAATTCAAGGCCCCTTGAGTTCGAGGGTCCAAAGTGACTTGAGAAAGGCTCGAGGAGTTCCAGTCGCTGAGAGTCGCTCTTGATCACGATCTCCATCTCTGGTTCAGGTTTGGGACTTGGTTCAGGATAGTATGTGCGATCTCCTTGTGTGAATCCCGCAGACGGTAGATCTTGACCAGAAGGAGGGGCAAATTTAAAGGGCTTGCCGGACGGCAGATTCAAGCTGTCTGTTTGAGGATTGAATGAGAGCTTTCCAGAGAACGCCATAGCAGTTACGATGGTTGGTGAGGCCAAAAAATTCATTGTTTGACTGTTGCCGTCATTCCGTGACTTGAAGTTACGGTTGAAACTCGTCAAAATTGCTGCCAGAAGGATGAGACACAGGACAAAGATAAAGACAGCCTTTCGTACCATTCTCTTTACCCTTCTTATCGGTTCGCCTCCACTAAGATTGGGTTAAATGCCGTGCAACCTAGACAACGAAGCTCTCACTTGTCCTATGCAAGGGCCACAAGCGTTGGCGAGGACAACGGCTCCAACACTTTCTAACGTAGACGTGACGTTATCCCGTTCGATAGTGGCACGTATTTGCTCAGACCCTGGCGTGCACAAGAAGGGAACCTAGAGCGGCGTAAGTTGGCTCGCAAAAAAGAAGCAGATTATTGGCACCTTGGTGGTCAGTCCAGCTTCTTTCGCCTGGCGTGCCAAATCCGCCACTTTTGTCTATAGTTAAGTATGAGAAAGAGTCTACACACTGAATATTTTTGACCCACCATGTCCTCATAAGAACTATTTGTACACGATCCAATGAGCGCTGCAGAGAATTCGTCCTTCCACCCTTGCTGTTGAACAAACTTGCCGAATTGCGAGATTGGAGTGGCGAGGTCAGGAGTAAACGGGCCGTTGACAGTTGGCTCCAGCTCCGATAAGTTCTACATTCAAAAAAAAGATTAGCGACCAAGAAAAAGACAGATTTTAAGAGAACGTACAATTTCAATCACATCGTCATATTCTGCTCCTTTATCTGCACTCAAGAATCCTTTTGCCGCTGCGACGTCCGCCGCCGCCGCTACTGGAGAGCGTCCAGTAGCTTGCAGGTACGCATGCATGTTGGATGAGTATGGGAAGGTTGAAGTGGTGGCCCCAACTTCAGCTCCCATGTTCGCGATAGTTGCCAAACCGGTGCATGATTGTTCTTCGACTCCCGTTCCGAAATATTCGAGAATGCTTCCAGTTCCTCCCTAACGCAATAATGGAACAATGAGAAAAATAAATACGGTAAGATGGTAAATGAAATACTTACTCTCACAGTCAATTTCCCAGCAAGATAGAGGATGAGATCCTTGGTCGTTGCCCAACCATTCAGTTTTCCGGTCAGGTGAATTCCTGCAAACCAGTTCAAGAATAGTTCCCCAAGTCGAAGACAGACAAATCTCACCTATGACATTTGGGGCCTTGAGTTCCCAGGGCGTTCCAGTCATAGCATCAACCGCGTCCGCACCACCAACTCCGATTGCAAACATTCCGAGCCCACCAGCATTTGGAGTGTGCGAGTCTATGGCATTAGGATGAGGGCCGCTGAGATATGTCAATTAATCTAATTCCTGTACCTGTTCCAAGCCTGGTATCAAGTCAAGTCAGACCGGAGTGGAATCACCATACAATTAGCACGCACATGAGCATCCCCGGAGCGGCGTAGTTCTCGAGCACAATTTGGTGGATAATTCCCGAACCCGGCCGCCAGAATTCAATTCCATATTTCCGAGCAGCACTCTCCAGGAAGTCAAAGACCTCTTGGTTGGTCACAATAGAGCGCTGTGACACGTCTGTATCTTAGTGATACACTAGTCTAAGTGAAGACGAACCTTGAGATCAGATTCTGCACCTTCTGCCGCTTGAATAAGATGATCACAATGGATGCTGGAGGGAACGGCAGTCTGCGCAAGTCCTGCACTCATGAATTGTAATCTGTGGACATTCAGTGTGGTTGCGTCTTGAAGGATTCGACAAGGGCTCACAAAGCCATTCTACAGCAGATTCAATCAGCCTGTTCAGAGGATTAGTACCGGGTCCGTACTGGGCAGAGGCATCTTGCATCGCGACGCGTTCTGGTTGTAGCTGCAGGTAGGCCTCTCCCCGTATTCTCCCGCCGCCTGAAAGCGACGCTTCTGGGTCAATTATATGGCTATAGAGGATCTTCTCGGCCAGAGTCAATGGTCTGTCAAGGACCTTTCGGACATGGTCAAGCTTCTGCAGAAGAGCGGCATAGGGAGGCGTTATCGAGCTGCAGTCTTTGACCACTTGCGAGATTTGGGTCGCAAAGGAGCGTCGTAGGAACGGTGCACCTCTGCTTATTCGCGGCAACATCGTCGTAGCAGAAAACACGGAGAGTACGACATATGTAATCTTTTTGCGAACAGGGGATATTTCTCTATCTCCTTTAGGAAGCTGATTGAGCCAATCGGAAACAGGTCATTGTCGGTCGGTCGGGATTCCCGAACATGTCGAGTCGGCCGAAATATTATCATTGTGATCTCTGGTGACTTGTTTTCTACGTACTTACTGAGTCGATCCGTCAGTTTGTAACCGACCCGGTCAACCTGATATCACGACTGCTAGCACCAACCAAGATGCCCGTTTGCCCGGTCGGTACTTGCCACCGTTGAGCAGCAACATTCCAGATCGACAAATCGAATCGAGAGAGCTCCAGAGTGACAGTCTTCGATTGACCAGGTGTCAAATAGACGCTGTCGAAACCTTTCAAGCTCTTGGGTGGCGAATTGGTTGAGGCTGGGAGGGCGATATAGAGCTGGGGTATCTGTCGAGACGAGGCTTAGTGGACGTATGATTTTCTGGACCATAGAAAGCACTGACCTCATGGCCCGCCACAGTGCCGTTGTTCGCTAGGGTGAAGGTTACGGTAACGACTTTCTCGTGCAACCTAGTCATCAACGGTGAATATCGAATTTTCCCCAACAGATCTCCACTGACCATGGATCTAGTGAGGAGCCAGGACCCGAAGGAGCCGTACCGCCGTCAGCCGAACCAGCGACACTGAGGCCCGAATACTGGAAGGTTGTATAAGACAGTCCGAACCCGTACTCGAACCTGGGGGCGATGTTGTTTTTGTCAAAGTATCTATAATCGATAAACAGGCCCTCGGTGTACGGCATTTGAACAATTTGGGGCCCGCTGGTGTACAGGACTCTGGCACCGTAGTCATTTTCAGTTTTTCCAATGGTGTAGGGTAGGCGACCACTGACGGTCGGAGTTAGTGACGCGGAATCAGACACAGAGCGAAAGCTGAGGGGTATTGTTACCTGGGATTGTATACGCCATAAAGAATGTCGGTAAGCGAGTTTCCTTCATCGCAGTGTCAGCACCAGAACTATCGTAAAGAATGAGGTCAAGCTCATACCTGCTTCCTGACCTGGGAGTCCACTCCATACCTGAGGTTGGTGAATTTCAATGAGCATGGTTAAAGACTGCATAACTTACAACGGCAGTAACTAGAGGAGTTCGTTAGCGGATAAGGCACGAAGAGCGAAGAACAAATGCGTACTCACCGTTGGGGTGATTAATCCAGGGTTCCATGATGATAGGTCCGACGCTGTTCACGACAACTACTGTGCGTGAGTTAGTGGCAGCGACTCGAGCTACCAGAGCATCCTATCAGGCGGCGGTCGGGTAAAAAGAAATATAAGGAAGAGAAATAAGAAAAGCAATAAAGTACATACCCCTCCATGCCAAGCCAACAAGTTATTGCGATCACCAGCATGTCCTATCTCAGTGTAAGCTGGGTTGTCTTGAGCAAAGAAGCCGAATCAATGACCTTCGACGGTGATGTATCCTTCCCCAGAGTTGGCTAGTAAGCAGCTCCATCAGCCAAATGAACGCCGCAGGGCGCAATCGCTTACATGTAATAAAAACAAAAGCTACATCCTTTCCAGCAGCGACCGTAGCAGCAGCGTTGAGGTCTGTGTCGCTGAGGGTCGAGGACACTATCGTTCCGTCGGCCCTGGCCCTGGTGGTGATGGCTTCCAAGGGCTGCACAAAGATTTGTCAATATCGACGCGAGAAAGAAGATGAAAGTATATCCTACTGTGATGAGATATGGGAAATCTGCAGTGCCACTTCCCCAGCCTGACATAAGGGTAAGGCATGGAACGGAATATACAACGGAATGCCATACCCATCGCGAGGACACCATCGGTCCCTCCCCTATCGGAATAGCTATTCACACAATTAATTGGGAAAAGTCGTACACTTATTCACAGGTGTTGCTTACCCATTCGGCCCCCTTGAGCTAGGTCCAGCACCGTTGCCTATAATGCCGATGGATCGAGGAGCCTTGAGAGGGAGAGTTCCACCAACGTTCTTCAAGAGTACCGTGGACGCAGCACCAATCTCGCGGATGATACTTTCAGCAAGTCAGCCCACAGTTATGTCTAGAGAACTAAGGCGGACTTCTTGTGGTCTCCTTGAACGTTGACGTGTTTGTTAAATGGGTCATTGAGGTTCCAGGCATGGAAATTGACAGGTGGAAACCCGCTGTCCTGCTTCGTGAGATACCTTTTAAAGGATTAGCATTTACAACTAGATTTTTTGGAAATAATCATACCATGCAGCGAGAATACGGATAGCCAGATCCTACGAAACAACTCAGTCTTCGGACCGAAGCAATGTCGTATGGAGCACTCACATCTATGCGAGCCTGCGAGACAGATCCGGATTGAACAGCAGAGACGAGAGAATTCCCGAAGTAAGTGGTACCTATGTCCCAAACGGGCCCTCAGGTTCGATGATACAGCAATTCTGGACCCAACACTTACCCGATCCAAAGGTGATATCACCTAGAAGAAAACGTTTCAATGATAATCTAGTTTTATCAAGATTCATTACCTGGCATTGTCATCTTTTCCAACGCCGTTAGTCACGTCGGCAAGGGTAAGAAAACAGGGACACACATCAAGACCTTTGTTGACAGAGAGTGTGGAGTGCTAGTATGGTAACAACGATGGTTAAGGATGACACTAGCGTCAATTCAGGCGCAACTCACAGTGGCAGCCCAATCTAATAGAGAATTCTATTTTCAGATGGTGCTGTGATACTTCGGAGCTTTCAGACGCACCAGACATTACATCTGGCATCGGTGATGAGCATGATTTATGACGCTGCGACTCAAAAACAAATCGCTTACATCCAGGGAAACCAAATTCTCCTTTGAGAATACCATTGAGCATTTTATCGTTTTCACAGGCAAAGCTTCCGTTGACTGCGATGCGTGTTAGCAGGTAACTGAGACAGGCGGGCCTCAGGCAACAAACGCACTCTGATCTATAAATTCATGATTAACAACAAGAACACAGAAAGGAAGATCAACTCAACTGTAACTGCACATGACAGAGGCTACATTGGCCTGAACACTGCGCAAGAACTGACATGATCAACTTAGAATCGACTGGGTAACTAGTTTTTTGACTTACTGGAAGCGCGTAGAGCTCATGTTGCTTGGATAGAAAGATTACTGCCATGTCTAACATCCACGAAAGAGAAGCAAGAGCGTACAGTTCTAGCGTTGAAGAATGAAGTCAGAAACACGGCAGGATAGACTTGATATGATAACAGACCTGTCATCAACATTGGAAGAGCTTGTCTCCCGCGAATGTTCTTGCTCGTTATTGATATAGTGTTTTGCGTTGGCTAACAGGATGGGGTAGTGAATAAAAAGTCGAGATGAAAATCATCCAGATGTCTACCTTGAACTCCGTGGGATTGGATGCCGATGATAGTCTCGTATGCGCCTTCGCCAGACAGGTAGGGATCAGAGCCAAACCTGTGCTCGAAGACTCAGACGAAGTTTATGGTCGCAAGTGCCGCTGGAAACTCGCCCTTCCCAGTTTCTTCCACCAGCAGGTACACGAGCCAAATTCCTGTCAAATACGTCAGAATGGCATCTTCATGCGTGAAAACCTGACAAACATCATGGGCCCTAAAGCAACATGAATTCCCTTTCCGCGGAACTCGTCGCCCATTGCTTCTCCGCGTTGCCTCATCAAAGTTCGATTAAATGTAGCTGCGACATTAATTGCACTGTCGTCACGCATTAGTTGAACGTTGGAAAGATGGGACTGAAATCGACCACCACTCACGCGGGGAAAGCGGAGACAAGATCTGCGAATCGGACCCCCAGCGGACTGTCTGTTTCGTAATGGGCGCCGTGAACCGAATTGCTCGACCAGAGACAAAGTGAACCCACCCTGCAGGCAGAGGCCAGGGAACGAAATTGGAGAAATCGCGGGGGTGTTTCCAACGCAGTGCCCTGGAAATTCGGGGAAATGAATTCCGCACCTGTCGTGAAAGGCAAATGCTGCTCACCATTCTGCCAACCGACACCTATCAAAATCGGTCTCTTGAGTTTCCATAGTCAAACTGAATACGTAATTAATGCACAAACCCGTTGCTAAATTGACCTTGTCTTGCAAAGAAAGCCTTGCAACTGCGACTCGAGCCTTTGAGACGATTAATACACGTTCACGTAGCATATTAGAAGATCACTTTTTCGTATGCGGCTTGCCACTCCGGAGACATATTGGCTGTTGACACTAGAATGAGCACCTATGCACCTGGTTATGCTAGGGGTATTTACGTGGAGTTGCAACGGGAGGAAGACTGGTAGGGGTGGTTGAAGGGCCTGAGTTTGTCGGGACTGGGGTCGTGGTCGAGACGGGTGGCGCGTTTCCAGGAAGACATTGAAGATACCCTATGAATAAGAATTAAGCTGCCTGCACACTTTGCGTCACGCAACACAATCACAATCATTCAACTTGGTGCAAACTGCGCCTGAAACACAGGTTGTAGCGCCAGTCCTTCAACTAACATCAGGACCCACGTAGAAGTTCTTAGAAAAAAACTGACCATCCATTCCCTCCGCATTGCGCGTAGAGGGGCTGTTGGGATACAGCGGAACCCGCAAGTGACAAGATGGCACCAAAGGTCAAGAAAGGCACCATGGCGTACAAGGTGTATCGGGGTGGCTGGCATTTCGTCCACTCTTATTTATGTAGGATTTTGACCGATTAAACCTCGGGTGCTCACTGCCGAGAAGTGAAAGAAGCAACGACGACAAGCAATTGAGTTGACGTGTCCATTGCTGTCCATTGCTGTCCATATGACCCAGGCCAGTAAAACGCACGCGGAGAAATGGCGGAAGCAGAGACCAAAGGGAAATAGGTGCCTCGATGTTAATGCCAGCACTCTTCTAGAGCATCAAACGGAAGCGCCGGGAACCTTATGTGGGGCAGTCAAGCTCCGGCCCAGGAAAAAAAAACATGCTCTTGGGCAGTATACAAGGCAACAAGAAGACCACGGCGAGCCCGGAAACCCTAGTTTGAAACAATGGGGATGACTTCCGGTCCTTCGTTTACATCTTCTAAGACGTAAGCCACATATAATCGAGTTGCACAGATGTGAGGTTTACTGTGGTCGTGCACGAGGTTGAAAATGCCAAGTAAGTTCAGGATCAACGTGGTGGTTGTTCGAAGTGGGAGGTGACTCCGGTGTGACTAACAACGGTGACAAGACATATACCTCGAGATTCTAAGTAATTAGATGAGAGACCCATAAAGTATTTACGTTGGGCTATAGTATGCTGTAGGTACCAAGGATGGCTGCTACCAAAGGGGTCGGATATTCTCTCCTTTCCATCTGCAAGCCCGCGCTTCCCAGTAACCGCCTTTGTATTGCCACTCTGACTCTCCAACTTGCTTAAACCATCTCGGTTGGCATTCTTCGCCCCTGTTTCTTCTATCGCGCTGCAGTTGTTCAACCCGTAGCTTCTCTTCTTCCGCCAGATCAAGTTCGCCGTTCTCGAGTGCCCTGACATCTGGACGGTACCGAGAATCGGTCGAAGGAAGGTAGCCAGTGAGATCGCTCGTCAATTCGTTGAGAGTAATGCTGTAGGCCGTAAATCCGTAGCATTCGGGAGCATTCTTCGGGAACTGCGCTATCTTCCAGAGGACGTGGAAAGTCGACGCATCGAGCATTTGAGACACTTGGTCGTCCCACTTGCCTTCCAGTTGAGCAGCAACGTCGCCCTCGGCGGAGTGTATTGTTCCCGACACAACGTTGGTGGGTCCCCAGTATCCATTCTGCTTGAAATCCACAACGCAACGTAGGTCAGTTGCGGTATTTTCGATGGTCATTTTGCCACAATGTTCCAGGTATTTCGTCCCGACCATGAGATTCCGCACGAAAGAAGATGGCTTCTTCCTGAGAGCAGAAGCATGAACGGATGATCGGTGGCAAAGGACGTAGTTGCACTCACCAAACATAGACATCTGTTCCTATTTTGAGGCGATTCGTTCCGAGCGGAATGATCTCCAAGCTCTTTCCTGGGGCAAGTTGAAGCGGGAATTCTCCGAAGGCAAATGGATTACATACCCCAGAACTTGGTCTTGCCAAAGGTTGTTGCGCTTAGCTCCCAGTTTTGTCCTTCCGCATGATACGCAATTTCAAGGGGGTTATGACGGACTTTCTCTGCTATGAACTTCATTCGGACGTCTTCGAAGGTCTCAGCCAACATCGGATTACTTGTTAAGCAGGAGGTCATTCTCAGGAACGGGGAGATGATCAGGCGGACTTACAATCCTTTACGACCGGTCCGATGCCTGGTATGCGCATAACTAGATACTGCGAATGCAGCCACGTATGACATCCTGGCGATTGGATCTGTCGCACGGGCAGCCTCATCCAAAAGGTGGTAATATTCGACCTCTTCAGCAGCCCTTTGAAGCATTGTTAATGGCTCATTGAAGGTCACCGGGAACGCGATGGTTGAGAGGTCCTAAAGCTCATTGAAATCATTATAATGTCGAGATGAACAGACGTAACACATACTTTCCCGACATTCTTTTTGAGTATAGCAAATAAGCTTCCTTCGTCACTCGGCGCCAGGCATGGTAATTGAGTTCTACGGACGACGTGCACTTGACTTGGCAGAGCAGGCAAGCTCTCCATCATGGGTGAAGTGACGGCGGTTGGCTCTTCAAGATCGGTGTCGACGCTGGAGGTATCAGTAGTTGCCTCGCTGTCGACGGAGAGTATTCGGCTAGGCGGCTCAGAAGGCACGTCCAGGACGAACTCTTGGGGGCCTTCATCGACAGCGTCGAACCATTCAACGAAGCTGTCACTGGCTGTGGTGGCAACAGAGTCGCGGTATGATTTGCGTGTTGTAGGCGAAGTCGTTCGTGGGATATGGACATGGTGTTCCTCTTCAACCGTAGACGGACGTGTAGGAGTTGTCTGGCCGGCGTCGTTCAAAGACGACTGTATCACCTTCACCAACGCCGTGTACTGGGCTTTTAGGGCCTCAAATTTGTTTCTGACCTCCTGAAGAGACTCAGGGAGCAAATGCTGGCCACTGTCCTGCTGACCAGGACTGCTGCTCTCAGGGGGTTGCTGGTGCGCTAGGTGTCCTAGTCTCAACTGGTGTTTTACGACGCATTGAAAAAAAAAAACTCACGTCTTTTGAACAAGCCAAACATGGATTCTTTGCTATGCTTGTCAGATTTCTTGTTCAAACTCAGGTTTCTGGGAGGGTTGAACTGGAGGCAGAGGGCGAGAATGGAGGCTTCAAGCTCTTGGAATGTCTAGCGAATATGATCAGAAAGGAATAGACATGGCGTAGGGTGTAACGGCGTACAGTACCCATCTCATCGAGTAGAAGACTGCGACGGGTCTGGTTCAGCTGGATGCTGGTCTGTCTAGACGATGTGTGTCGGTAAGTGGCCGATCGTTTCGCCTCTATACCGAGGGATATAAACTTCCTGAGATAAGCTTAGTCGACCATCCAAGAATCTCGCAATGGAATAACCTGAAAGCAGCCATCCAGCTATTGAAGTCATCGGTACTTAGACATTTGATGTGGAAGGTAGCAGTGTTTGAGTCTATGTGAATGTCCTTGCGACCCGGGGAGGTAGAGATTGCTGCATTGTGCAGATAAACCTGATCTCTGATGGGCTGTCCAGGTTCGAACGCATAGGATAGCAGCCCGGATTGGTAGAGGGTGAAGTAGCGACGCGCAAAGCCTGGGAAAGGGCGTCATTTATGAGGATACGTCAGCCAAGCGAGGTAATACTCTGCCTTGCATTTTCTTTCTGCGTTTCTTGAGTACCCACCCTTCATGTATGACGGGTGGCCCAGCCATGTGGACAACAGAGCTGGATATAGATGCGGCAGAAAGCCCAAGGTTGAGGGACGCCGGGCCTGGATTGGCTGGCGGCATCATGGGCCGACAAACGTTCACGCGCACTGTGGTGAAGGCAGGAGAAAAGCAGGGGGAAGTCCGGATATGACTGCGCTAGATAGAGGGCGGTGCTGCACCCGAGATACGGTTGGGGGCGAATGTCATCGGCTTTGGGTCGGAGCGGCGATGCGTGGGGGAGAAAGAACCAGACCAAGGTGAGCACGCTCTGACGAATCAGCACACTCAACGACAATTTGCACAAATCGATGTTCAGATGTGTAAGCTGATTTTGTCCCCAGAAATAGTATTTAGGTGATCACCCCAATCATATCTCTCGCCCTCTTTCTGTACCTACCACTACCATCTCATCCCCGCCCACCTCAAATTATGGCAACGTGAGTTTCCCGCCTTGGGTCAAACCCGCCTAATGACCCTCTCCTACAGTGGCGATATCGGTCTCATTGGCCTGGCCGTCATGGTATGTCCTCGGTGCCTTGTTGAAAACATCGCGCTAACCTCGCCTCCAGGGTCAAAATCTTATTTTGAACATGAACGACAAAGGCTTCAATGTCGTCGCCTACAATCGCACAACCAGCAAAGTTGATCACTTCCTCGCCAACGAGGCCAAGGGCGAGCATCATCAGCTGCAATCTCTATGATGCAATCGCTGATCAGGATATCCTCCAATCAATAGGCACAAACATCCAGGGAGCTCACTCAATCCAGGAGCTGGTTTCGAAACTTAAGCGCCCTCGCAAGATTATCCTCCTCGTCAAGGCTGGTTCTGCCGTGGACGATTTTATTCGCCAGCTCGAGCCGTACCTTGAGAAGGGCGATATCGTTATTGACGGTGGCAACTCCCATTACCCAGACTCCATCCGTCGCACCAACGAATTGGAAGCCAAGGGCCTCCTCTTCGTTGGGTCTGGTGTCTCTGGTGGTGAGGAAGGTGCTCGCTATGGTCCCTCTCTTATGCCAGGCGGTTCCACGGCTGCCTGGCCAGCTATCAAAGAAATTTTCCAGAAGACCGCAGCTCAAGTTAACGGCGAGCCTTGCTGCGACTGGGTTGGTGAGACGGGGTCGGGTCATTACGTGAAGATGGTTCACAACGGTAGGATCATTTTACTCGGGTTCGCAATCATTCTGCAGAAGCTGACTCACGCCTCTCAAGGTATCGAGTATGGAGACATGCAGCTGATCGCCGAAGCATATGACATCCTCAAGCGTGGTCTAGCTCTCCCAGACGATGAGATCGCGGATATCTTCTTGAAGTGGAACAAGGGCGTCCTGGACTCTTTCTTGATTGAAATCACCGCGAACATTCTCAAGTTCAAGGATGACGATGGTGAAGCAGTTGTTACCAAGATTCTTGATAAAGCTGGACAGAAGGGAACGGGAAAATGGACTGCTATTGCTGCTCTGGACGCAGGAACAGCAGGTGAGTCCTTTTATCTCAGTTATACGACTCGCTGACACCTGAGGCCAGTCACCCTCATTGGCGAGGCCGTATTTGCCCGTTGCCTGTCTGCCATCAAGGAGGAGCGTGTTCGTGCCAGCAAAGTGATCGCTGGTCCTCCCAGAGAGGCATTCCGAGGCGACAAGCAACTCTTCATTGACGACCTGGAGCAAGCACTGTACGCCTCAAAGATCATTTCTTACACCCAAGGCTTCATGTTGATGAGGGAAACCGCAAAAGAGGTCCGTTTAGTCGCTCAGTATGCTTTCCGTTCCCTAACAAATATTTCAATAGGTGGGCTGGAATCTGAATTATGCTGGTATCGCAAAGATGTGGCGAGGAGGATGCATCATTAAGGTTGGAATTTCGTTTGGCCCATTTCGACTGAATCTCACCTTTCGCTTAGAGTGTCTTCCTGGGTGACATCACTGCCGCATACCAGAAGAACCCTCAGCTGGAATCTCTTCTTTTCGATGATTTCTTCAACAAGGGTCCGTGATATCGTCTCCTTCACGCTCCCTATTTTCCTCATCAATTTCCTTCAGCCGTTCACAAGGCACAGCCTGGCTGGAGGCGTGTGATTGCACAAGCCGTCCTTTGGGGCATTCCCACTCCAGCTTTCAGTACTGCGCTCGCTTTCTTCGATGGCTACAGGAGTGAAATCCTGCCTGCTAACCTTCTCCAGGCCCAACGCGATTACTTCGGGGCCCACACCTTCCGAGTCCTTCCAGGCAAGGAGAATTCCAAGTTCAAGACTGGCGAGGACATCCGTGAGTGCCATCTGAATGTCCCACTTCGGTGCTCTAACGTTTGAAATTCTCAGATGTCAACTGGACTGGACGCGGTGGCAACGTCTCAGCCAGCACCTACAACACATAAATGCATTCCAGAAATCAATCGATAGAGCAATGTACTCGATTCTGTATCCAATCTAGCTTCAAAACAAATTCTATATACGCTTCACCATTTCCATTGTGATACCAAACTCCGGAGTACCTACTTAGCGGTACAGAAAGGCTGATGCTGAGCCTTACATAATACGAGCGAGATTAGATAACAGACGGCTGTCCGAGATCATTGAACGAGAAATTTCTTTTCAGGCTTTACCACATACATCCTTCCTCGTAATGTGCGGAATTTTCGTGTCCGCGAGGGTTGTCCCTTCAGTAGATGTAAAAGAAGAAGAAATTTTCAGTACTTTATCTCGGGAGCTACGACATGTAAATGCTGCCCGAGGTGTGTCATTTTCTCTCTCCGTCCCTTGCCTAACTTTCACTGATTCCTTTCAACAGGACCTGATGCCCAACGAAACCACGTTCTATCCTTTGTGTGTCCAGGATCTAATCCTCCTGGCTCAAAACCCGACCAATCGGATGCAGCCACATTGAAAGCCGATTTTTATGCATCGGAATTGCGACTGAGAGGAGACTCACCCATTGTGCAACCCCATGTCAAGGGTGAAAACGCCCTATGCTGGAATGGAGAGGTACTTCTTGCACAATGGTATTGCACCTGTCTTCAACTGAAGCACAAAGAGTAGATTTTCGATGGTCTAGACGTGAGTCTTTTTTTCGTCCATTTGCGAATTGTTTCCATGAACTCCTCCTATTTAGATTTCACCTCATGAGAACGATGGAGTAAAGCTGTTTGATCTTCTGTGTCCTCTTGAAACTGCGGAACAGATTAGAGATCTGATGAGTGGCATTGAGGGACCGTAAGCATCGGTCTTGATCTCAAATCTGTCCCCCTTGGAATATTTTCTCTAGCTACGCGTTCGCGTTCTTCCACGTTCGTTCACTACTCGGTAAACCAAAGCACAAACACCAATGACTTTATACAGGAGCGTACTCAGCGGCTTTACTTCGCTCGTGATCCTCTTGGCCGTAGATCCCTCCTCATCCACCAACCCACCCATGAGCTGCCTTACCTGCTGCTCTCTTCTGCCTCCGCTGGTGCAAATCCCGCTTATGAATTTGTGGAGCTATCCACTGAGTTCTTCTATAGCCTCGATTTGAGGTCGATGATCACTCCATCCGGGGTGAGTACCTTGTCAAATTAATTGCCTTTGTTAACTTTGTACTTTGGTCCACAGATCGCAGAAGGCTTCGGCCAATCCTTGACCCAAATTCCTCGGGCATCAACCTCTCCAGATAAACTCCTTGCCTACGTATGTTCGTCTATGTTCTCGAATCTCTCTCGAAATACCTAAGATCGCATAAAGGGTGCGCCAAGGAAGGTTAATACAACCATACCCTCGACCCCCGAGCTTTCTGTTCAAACACTAGATTCGATTCCTGTTCATCTCATGGAAACCGTTGATCAATTTATCTATCACCTGGACAGCAGCGTTATGCTTCGAGTTAGAGATATCCCTTATTCTTCGTGCGCTTCTTTTCATTAGTCGTGACTGTTTTGACTTGACATTGACGAGGCTTCAAGGGTGACCAAGGGAAAGGCCAGAGTCGCAGTACTTTTCAGTGGAGGAATCGATTCGTCCATCATCGCATTTTTGGCACATAGGCAAGTCATCTCCTCATTCTGATTTCACCGCGAGTTCACATGTACTACCAGGCACATACCACTAGATGAACCTATCGATTTACTAAATGTTGCATTTGAGAACCCCCGCAAAATTAGGATTCAAAAGGAGGGCAACGTCCGAGGGACACCTAAGCGACGGACGAAGACGAGTCATCATAGTGATACAGGTCAAACCGAACATAACCCATATTCTGTCCCGGACAGAGTCACCGGGATGAAGGAAGTAGAAGAATTGTGCCGAATCTGTCCTGGCAGGACATGGAATTTCGTAAGTTAAATTTCTATTGCGTTGTTCTAGGCTTATGCCTTGCTGGAGGTTGAAGTCAATGTCTCTTACACGGTACGTCGAACAATCTGCAACCTAGTTCTGAGCTTGAGATGTACAAGGAATGCCAAAGCGCTCGGGCGAAAGTAGAATCCCTTATGTCGCCTGGCCGGACTGTTATGGACTTGGTGGGTCTGCAGCTCCCTCAAGAGTTCATCACGCTGACTATGCACTGTAGAGTCTTGCATTGGCGTTGTACTTTGCCTCACGAGGGCAGGGGCAAATTCAAAGGGATGCAGAATCAGAACCGGAGCCATATGTCAGCGAATCTAGAGTGCTCCTCAACGGACTGGGAGCGGACGAACTTCTTGGAGGTTATTACCGACATCGCTCGGTCTATAACACTGGAGGTTGGAAGGCTGTAGTTTCAGAGGTCAGCTATCACTCACTCGAACAGACACCATCTGACGCAGAGATTTCGAGCAGCTGCAAGAGGAGATCGATCGCATACCGAACAGAAATCTCGGGCGAGATGACCGTGTTATCTCATCGCATGGCAAAGAGACTCGACATCCTTTCCTGTCGCTCACTCTGGTCTCATTCCTTGCAGACTTGCCTGTAAACCTCAAGTTGGATCCCCGCTTGGACGCTGGGCTAGGTGATAAGATGCTGTTACGTTTGGCTGCGCAGAAACTTGGACTTGTTGAAGCAAGCAGCAGGAAGAAGCGAGCCATGCAATTCGGCAGTCGTTCAGCCCGGATGGATGGGGAGAGACGAGGAGATGCTGAGCTCGAGTAGAATGTTAGCTGACGGAAGGCAATATGTCATATACAGAGGTTAAAGCAAGTGCATTTTCTGAACGATTTATTTATTTAATGCACGAATGGCGCAGTGGCTTGGCAGGATTTGTCGTTTGTGCAAGTCGGCATTGACTCTGAGATCCGAGGGTCGTGGGAAGAGCACGAGCCACGAGAGCGCGTCGGGAGTGACTACATGACGTTGACTTCATCTCCCTCCGGTTTCCCTCTATTTTCCAAAAGCAATGGCCCTCGCTCAGACTGCAAGCAGACTCATGGGTAGGCCGTGCTCTTTGAGCATTGACAGTGAACAAAGACTAATTACGGCAATTGCCCAGTCCCATTGGCCGTGGGTGTTGCTGTTCTACAAGCCAGCCTCTACGATGTTCCCGGTGGTTATCGCGCCGTTATGTTCGACAGGTTTTCAGGAGTCAAGGAGAAGGTCCGTGTCCCTCATTTTTGGCCAGAAGTGCTCTTAAAATCGAGTTAGGCCACCGGTGAAGGCACACATTTCCTCGTTCCCTGGCTGCAGCGCGCCATTCTTTACGACTGCCGCATTAAGCCTCGAGTATGGCATTGATCCTGTGCTCATGCAAAGCCCGTCTCACACAACCGTTGCTAGAATATCTCAACCACGACTGGCTCGAAGGATATGCAAATGGTCACTCTCACCCTCCGCGTCCTCTCCCGACCAGACGTTGAACACCTCTCAAAAATCTACCAATCACTTGGGCTGGACTACGATGAAAGGGTCTTGCCGTCGATTGGAAACGAAGTTCTGAAGAGTATCGTCGCTCAGTTCGATGCTGCTGAACTCATTACTCAGCGAGAGCTGGTGAGCATTGTTAGAAGCCTTTATTACAATAACGGATGTTGAATGCGCATACTGGATATAGGTCTCGGCTCGCATTCGCGCTGATCTCCTGCAACGAGCAGGGGAGTTCAACATCAAGTTGGAGGATGTCTCAATCACGCATCTGACATTCGGAAAGGTCTGGCCAATAATCCTCGTTGGTACTCCAAGATCCATTAACATATCGATAGGAATTCACGCAAGCCGTTGAAGCCAAGCAGATTGCCCAACAAGGTGCGTAATGTGACGAAGGAAGTTTGTAATTTGTGCTGAACGCCGACCAGACGCTGAGCGTGCCAAGTTTATTGTGGAGAAGGTAGTTTTGACTGGCAGGCTTCCTCCCAGCTATTTTTGACATCATCCATTAGGCCGAACAAGAACGCCAGGCTGCTATTATCCGGGCAGAAGGAGAGGCAGAGGCTGCGGCGACGATCTCGAAGGCGCTCGAGAAGGCTGGAGATGCGTTCGTCGCGCTTCGCAAGATCGAAGCCAGCAAGGCGATTGTGCAGTCGTTGTCGGGCAGCCCGAACGTGACGTATATCCCGAGCAGTAGTGGGAATGTACTTTTGAATGTGTCGGCGCAGCAGTGACCGTAGTCTAGTCAATCGAATTTGTGCTTAAGTGATGGAAACTCCCACGAAGCCAGTTGGACCTTGCTCTTGACTGCCATCTAGTCTCTCTCTCTATCTCGTCTTTTTCTCTTTTCCTCTCGTCTCTCGTCTCTTTCCTCTCTTGTGACGGACTGTCTCTCCTACTGTCTCAATTTTCCTGTCGTTTGTGCGCGCCGCCCACCAAGCCTTCGTTTTCGAGCCTCCGTCGCTGACCCTTCGCTTGTTTCAGGTCTCATTTTTCTTCATCTCTTTAAATCATGAATCCAATGGGCATGGGCAGTATTGCTGAGGCTCCGGTGCGTGCAGTCTCTCTTATCCTATGATATCCCGTCCTGATCTCTGCTATCGCTTCTGTCGCCTCACTTTTTGTCTCCGTCACGATTTTGCCGTCCCTGCATTCCGGTCATCCTCATCTAGAGGCGTGCTCACCTTTACGTCGGAAACTTGAGTCCTCGCGTGACCGAGTATATGTTGACGGAGATCTTCGCTGTCGCCGGACCTGTTCAGCACGTTAAAATCATTCCAGACCGGAACTACCAGCATGGCGGCCTCAATTACGGTTTCGTGGAATACATGGACATGCGCGCCGCCGAGACTGCTCTTCAAACCCTCAATGGTCGCAAAATATTCGACACAGAGATTCGAGTTAATTGGGCTTATCAAGGCCAACAAAATAAGGAGGACACGACCGGCCATTATCACGTCTTCGTCGGAGATCTCAGCCCCGAAGTCAACGATGAAGTTCTCGCAAAAGCCTTCAGCGCTTTTGGCACCATGTCGGATGCTCGTGTTATGTGGGACATGAACTCGGGCAAGTCTCGCGGCTACGGTTTCCTTGCGTTCCGGGACAAGACCGACGCCGAACAAGCCATTGCTACCATGAACGGGGAATGGCTGGGCTCTCGTGCTATTCGTGTCAATTGGGCCAACCAGAAGACACAGGGTGCTCCTGCGGTGGGTTCTTCTCCTCAACCAGCGCGCGGCCCAGTTGGCGGTGCAGGAAGTGCTCCAGCTCCGATCAACTTCCAAGGGGGTCCCCTCTCGTACGAGGCAGTTGTTCAGCAAACTCCGTCCTTCAACACGACGGTATACGTTGGCAACCTGGTCCCATACTGCACTCAAGCGGATCTTATCCCTCTATTCCAGTCCATCGGCTATCTCTCCGAAATCCGCATGCAGGCCGATCGTGGCTTTGCTTTCGTCAAGTTGGACACTCACGAACATGCTGCGATGGCGATTGTTCAGTTGCAAGGACAGATGGTTCATGGACGGCCTATCAAGTGCAGCTGGGGCAAAGACCGTGCTGATGGTGGAGCTGCTCCGGCCAATCCAGTAAGCCCGACTGCCGCTGCTACTCCATACGGCAACATGGTACGTGATGTCGTTTCTCAGAGGACCTCACTGATACATTCGTTCAGCCAATGTATGGTATGCCCCAGCCAACGACGTACGGACAATATGGTTTCGGTGGTTACGCCGGATTTCCTGGTCAAGCTGGCGCAGCGCCTGGTGCTGCTGCCGCTGGTTCTCCTGGCATGCCACAGGCTGCCAATGCAGCAGGAGCTGGTCTCGGTCTCAACGTCGGGGCACAGCAGCCTGGTGCAGACATGAGCGCTGCCAACACCGCCCAACCCGGGCAACCTCAGTGGGGTGCAACAGACCCTAACTACTACTCAAACTATTGGGGAGGTTAGTCGGACATTGTACCACCGTTTGATATTTTCTAACGTAACCGAACCCAGGTTATTACGGTCAACAACCTGCAGCTGGACAGCAACAAACTGGAGCGGACGCGCAAATGCAAGGGCCGGCTTGAGAAACAGAAGACTGACGGCCATGCCAACCTTTTCATAAGTCTGCTCCCTTCTGGAGAACTTTCTCAAGTGTTGTCATCGTCATTTATTTCTCTGTCAATTATCCTTTTATTCGCGAAGTTTTCTCTGTTTTTTCATCCCTCCAACCTTCGTCATTTCTTGTTATCACTCGTATTCCTTGTTCGACTGAAATATATGTTTATCAACCTGTGATGCCAACCAAGTGTAACCGCAAGTAATCAGCGAGAGAGAGAGAATTCGGAGATAAATATAAATTGAAGGGTATATCGGTGCAAAGACAAAGTACTACGAAAATTTAGACCATTGAAGAAAATGAATGTCAATCTACTAGTTCATCAACTATTAGCCATTCGGTGTCAGATCCAGGCCCCTTTGCGCTGGAGATAGATGTCCATTCTTCTTCATCGCTGCTTGTGCCTCCGAAGTCCCCAATTCTTTTCCCGAGCCGGAGGTGGGACGACTAGACTCGGGCGACAGGGCAGCTCCTGGCTCATCGTTGGAACCCTCCCTCCAAGAGAGCACGTTCTGATGTCTTGAGCGCATATTCTCGTACATCTCATTCGCTTCGTTCATTCGATTAGCATCTGCCTGCTTCGCATCAAGCCAACGTTGGAGAAGTTTCGCGTTGTCTTTCGCCAGGTCTCGGTTCCGTTCTTCTACTTGACCGAGCTCTAGCAATGCTGTGCTAATTTCGTCATGGAGAATCTGTAAACCTCGATCAGACGCGTCAGGCATGTACTCGAAATTTGCCTACTTGTACAGTCCGATCTTTCTCTGCCATTAGCTCGCTATGTTGATCAACCTTGCGACGAAGAGTCGCTATCTCGTCCCTGGACTTCCTGAGGTTCTCAGAATCGATTCTTGACAACTCTTCTTTTTCTCGCAAGGTCTCGTTCATAGATAGCAGACGCTGGGCATTCTGTCCCTGAGTCTTATACAAGTTCGCAAGCTCGTCACGCAGAGAGGATATTTGGGTTTCCAGAGACGCGACATATGCAGCACGAACTGGGTTACTGTTACGATCGATGAGAACGATTGATGTGAACCGTATAGCGCATTTACTCACTCTTCGCCAGATCCCGTGATAGTGGAGGACCCTTTCACACTACCAACGGCTCTAAGGAGTGTTGCATTTCTCTCCTTGAGGAGCTTGGTTTGCTGGGCGAGCCTGCGGTCTGTACGCAAGTCAGATCTCAAAGGTTGGCGGTTTTGGAAAAAAGGAAGTGCTCACATTGCTCGATAATGGGGGCAAACGCAGATTCTCGATTGTTGCGCTCCGCAAGCCGCAGACGAAGAGTCTCTTGCCAGGAGGGTTCGGCCATTGAGAGAGGACTGGGGATGCATATGAGAGTCACTCAGGGAGTGTCACTGTTAGCGCGGAGTTTGAACAGCCTAATTGGGAGCTCTGACGGCTGCTCAGCCCTTGTACAACGACCAGCCTCACGCTCACCGCCTCTCATATCATCGTCGACGCTTGTCCACCCAAATAACAAGAAACGAGCATGGGTCGCGTATTGCTCAAGGTCGGTTGGTCGTTTCTGTCCCTGTTGCCCCGTGTTGACCTCAGAATACCCGTAGGTTATCATCCTCGGGGACAGTGGGTCTGTCGCAGGCTCTATCTCGATTTCCTAGGCTTTCGGTGCTCACTTTCGTTGGCTGCAGTGTAGGAAAGACCTCCCTAATGAACCAATATGTCAACAAACGCTTCAGCAACCAGTACAAGGCTACCATCGGTGCTGACTTGTACGCTTTCCGTCTCGAACTCCTGTGCGCCCACCTCACCGTATCACCCAGTCTGACGAAGGAAGTCATGGTGGACGACCGGCTAGTCACAATGCAAGTAAGTGACCCCCTTATGATGCAATGGAGCCCTCCCTTATCACACCGCGTCAGCTCTGGGACACTGCGGGTCAAGAGCGCTTCCAATCTCTGGGAGTGGCCTTTTATCGAGGTGCCGACTGCTGCGTCCTAGTGTACGACGTCAATAGTGCGAAATCCTTCGAGACCCTCGATAGCTGGCGCGATGAGTTCCTCATCCAAGCCAGCCCACATGACCCCGAGAACTTCCCGTTCGTGGTTCTGGGAAATAAGATTGATGTTGAGGAGGGAAAGCGACAGGTACCTTTCCGTGTTCTTTTTTCTCGTGTGTACGGCTGACTGGGGATGTTTGGTAATAGGTCACTCAGAAGCGGGCCATGACATGGTGTCAATCGAAAGGCAACATCCCCTATTTCGAGACCTCCGCCAAGGAAGCCATCAACGTCGAGCAGGCCTTCCAAACCATTGCGAAGAACGCTTTGCAACAAGAAGCGGAAGAGCAATTGTCAGTGTTGTTGAAATTTCTTCGCTTAGGGCGAGCGCTAATTGGCATCCAGATATGTCGACTATCCTGATCCCATTCAACTGGACTCGGAGAGCTCTCAAAGCTACGGGTGTAATTGTTAATTGCTTTTGTGACAGACTGTTCGGATGACGTTTCTTATCATTTTCGTCTTGTCGTAATATACTTGACTCTCGCTCTCCCTAGTCTGATCACATCCAATCTAGGACTTGACATCTCTCTCTGCCGCTCAGTCGTCTTGGAAGGCACTTTCTACGCATCACGCCCATTTTTTTTATTTCTTTCGTTTTCGAGATAGTAATGTTCGCACTACGTATACCGCTTCATGTGAATGCGATATTGTTATGACCCCTCGTGAGAGTATTCCTGAGTCTAAGCGACGCGAGCAATCGTCTAATTTAGACACTTGGATTACCTCACGCGAACTTGTTCCATTAAGACCAGTTCTTGAACCCACCACTACCTGCGGCTCGACACTTTCTTTCGCGTCAATCGACATGCCGAAGAAGGCAAAGGGAAGTACTGGGAAAAAACGTTCAAGGAAGGAACCAGAACAAGAAGTCTTCCATGTTGGTAAGGAAGTGACCGTCGACCGGCCTTTTTTTCCGGATTTCACTCTTTTTCACAGAGGTCATAAAGGAGGCGCGCGTTTTTCGAGATGAGGATGACGGACATGCGAGATGGGTGAGGAGCCAACCTTATGTTACCGCCCATTCAGAGTCTGACCGGGGTCACAAGCAATACCTTGTAAAGGTTCTCGATGCTCGTTACCTCCTCTAATCTATTCAGCAATTTGACCTCGCTATTGTTACTCTAGTGGGCCAATTATGATTCTGATTCAAACACGTATGATGATCCTTTTTCCTTCTGCCTGGTCTAATTTTTTTTTTTCAGATGGGAACCGGAGAGAAATCTTTCGGGTTGCGGACGATTATTGCAAAGCTTTTGGAACCATATTGGCATCGATGAGCAAGATTATGAAGTCGGATATGTGGCCAAAGCTACACCATCTTGGATCAGTGAAGCCTTTCATCTCTATCAATGCCTAGTCCATCCTAACATTCCTAATCAGAGCAAGAAAAGGAATTTTTCGCCAATGAATACCGCGTTGCGTTAGAAGAAAAGGAAAAGCAGAGGAGCGAAAAAGCGAAACGAGTGGTAGAGAAACAGAAGTCGCACAAAGTCTGTTTCCGGCGATGTTTTTGTTCGTTTGACTGTCGATCGTGATGTCTGATTCGATTCATGTTGCAGAGGATAAAACGAAGCGCATCACAGGATGTTACGAGTGTGCCGTCTGAGGGTCACTCTTCGGTGCGTTTTGACCTTGCGCACGTGGAAGGATTTCTGAAGACAAGATTAGAGACATGACGCAAGTTCGTCTGAAGATGAAACACCCCTACAAGAAACTCTCAAGATAAAGATACCTCCTCACGGGAAGCGAAAAGTTGTCGCCTCTGACGATTCATCCGACGATGTACTTCCTTCTTTCTTTTTGTTCTTAAGACATCGATGTTTATCCTCCATATAAAGGAACCATTGGCAAAGAACTCAGGACCAGCTTCAGCCCCAAAGCCGGACACGCCTAGCCACGATCTCACGGTGCGTCTCTTCGTGTTTGGACTTCCTCTGAAATTAGAAATTAAGATCGGTACCTTCTGCAGGGAGAGAAAACTCAAGGCTCTCCAACCTCGCTTTTCTCTGGAAATTCTTCCCCAGAAGTACACATCGAGAAAATGCCCCCCAAGCCGAAGGCTACAGCCCACTCCAAACCTCCCTTGCCACCGCCACCGCCTCTCCCGTCTTCTATCAAGATACCCCGTCGACCCAATAATCCCCACGCAAAAATTGCGGACATGCCTGTGTCAGCAATTCCTTCGGGGAGTGGAATTTCGACGAAACAACGCCTGGCTCAGGGCGCCCTTGCTCCCACTATACCCAAAGAAGTACCAAGTGCTCCTTTGAAACCACCACTGCCCAAGTCTGCTCCAAAGCCACTTCCGACAAGGACCAACACATCTTCATTTTCCGGTCTGTCCTTCAAAAAGAAGCCCATTGCAGTAACGATTCCAGAGACTACAAACCACCCACCAAGTCTTACCCCTATCTCTGCATTCAAATCACCTAGCATCCCTTTGGCAAATTCTCCTCCGTTGCACTCGCCAGAACCAGTTTCCTCCTTTTTCAACGCTGGACCTGCTGGCTCTCCTGGACTTCTATTTAATCAGCCTACCATGTTTAAGAGACCGCTTGTGCAAGATAACACTGTGTCTGTTCTCCTGCTTCAGCACCCCAGTGTACAGCTGCTGACTTAAATCCTTTCTCCAGGTCTCCTGCTCTTATTTCTCAGCCTCTCAAGGAAGCAGAAAGCTTTTTGTCAACTATCATGCCTGCCAGGTATTGCGACTTATGCCCACCTTTTCTCAATTAACCTGGGTTTATCTTAGCTTGGCTGCACCACTGTTGTAAGCCATAGAACTCAGCTGTCGATTTCTCTGATGGGATGAAATGCAGGCCCTCAACGGAAGAGCAACCTGAGCCACCTCCTCCAAAACCATTGCATAACAAGGCCCCACTACCTGGAAGGTACGGTGCTACTCTTGCAAGCATATTGGGCCATTCCTCATCTCAGTGTGTCCTAGAATCCCGAAATTGTGGAAATGGAGCGGTCCACTTCACATTCCTTCTTCAGATTCTTCCCTTTGCAATGTCATAATTGTTCCATCCTCCCATTCCCAATCAACTCGACTTTCAGTTGCATTTCAAGGCATCGAGAGCCTCCGTGTTTCCTACTTCCATGATTCTGCAGATCTTTTGTCCATTTTATCAGTTTTCCGGCCACCCACTGAGTTCGGTTCACTCGAAGCTGTCTTTCGGGATGCGGGTGCCGACCACTTCAAGATATTCGTATCTTATATGGCAAAATTCCAGAAGGTTGGTTATTAACAGAAGTTCCATCACCAACTAATATTGTTGCCCAGATTTTCATGCTTCCTCTCATCTTGGACAACAGTATCATTGGCCAAATGGTTTTCTTTCACTCTTCCTGCGAAAATGTCATGGCGCAATTCAAACCACTGACATTGCGTCCAGAAGAGCTCATTGTGGCTGTTTGCCCTTGGGCACTCTCTGCAGACCAATTGAGGCTCGAATCTGGTGCTCAACGCCAGGAAGTCAAATCTTTAAAGCCGACATTGCCGAGAAAATCATGGAACTCTTCCTTACGCAATAAGCCGAAGTACCATCGAGCGCTTCGTATGTTAGGCTTTCCGCAAACTCTGCATGACACTTACGCGGCGCGATCCCATCCTTATTTATACTATATCTGGGATGACCCCAGAAACGGCTCCAAGATCGAATCCGACTGCTTGAGGTCTATCTTGTCGCAGGTACGGATGAAAGAGGTCCCTCCAGCCAAAGAAGCCCGGGTGGTCTTCATACACGTAGGTGCCCTCAAGACGTTACACAACCTCAAGGGTCTCAACATGAGACGCGAGGCGCCACATATTCAATTCTACACTTTTGGATCCCATGAAAGTATACATCCTAGTGCATGGGCTGTTAAGGAAGTCTACCCTATAGGTGAGTTGCTGCTACTAATAGGATGCAGTGTGTTGTATTGAATTATGGCCTGCAGGAGGAATTATAACTTTCACTCCCCTGGCTCTTGACCTTGACCCGTTGGGGGTCCTTCACAGAATTGAGCAAATCAGCAAACACCCCCTGTGGGCTTGCTACATTTTATCTCCCGTTATTGGACTCCTTGCTAAACGAGAGTGCGCGCATGAAGACCCACTCATACGGCTCCAAAAGTACGTTGTGTGACAACATGGAATGAACGACACTGATCCTCTGATTCTAGAGGGACTTTGAGGCTGAAATACATTCTGGAAGCGATCAAGAAAGGCTCCGTTGCACTTCTTGAAGCTCCTCCAGAAGCTACATTCGCAAGCTCAGAGACTAGCAGCCGTGGAGGGTGGCTGAAGAAATATTTGCACTTCCGGCCTCCCACTGAATTTGAAGCCCTGCACACAGGATGCGACGCATTTTTGAAAAAACCCAAATTGATGTCGCCAAATTGGCAGTCGGAAATTGAAAACGAAATCATACAAGACATCTCAGCCATGCAACGACAACCAGTTTTCATGAAGCAATATCGCCGCTACGTCGTTATCACCAGCGAGGGTGATACCCCACGCCCTATTGGGAAGGAATACGGTGTATGTCCTCCCCTTTCTCCATGAACGACTTCTCATTGCAATCTTTCCTCTCATCACAGTTAGAATGGGTGACAGCAAAGAATTTCGACTTCAAAGATGACTTTTATCCCAAACAAACGATCGGCCAGCCAAAAGCCTAAATACTGTACATATAACCCTAATATATCCCACTGAAAGCTGTATACATGTTATAATATCCTTAGATCAATAAATAAAGACCGCCTGTTCACGAAATCACGCAAAGTATGCATCGTGGATCGCCCTCGTTATGTCATCGTTTTCTTCCCAGTCGTCAGAGGCTTTCGTCTGGGACCCACTTGTGAGCGGGTTCAGGAGACGAACAGCGGGGGTACAGCCTACCGCGTCGAGGACTTTGGCACGAGATGACTCTTGCACCTCGCCTGCCATGACGAGTTCATCCAGTATCTGGAGAAGAATTGATGTCAAAATTAGTGTAAGGAAACGGGGAGACGAACCGAATAGGCCTTCTGGAAGTTGAATATTCTGGTCCTTCGTCAGAGCCACATCAAATGCACAATACATGTAAGAATCACAGATCCATTTCACAGACCTACATGATTGCGGCTGTCATTACTAACAGCGCATGGAAAGAGGCAGAAAGAAGGCGGCGTACATTGCCAAAATACCGGTCGAGAATCTCAACGTAGCGGTGTATGAGCTCTAGCACGATGAGCTCGTTGTCGTGTTCGCCAATGTCGCACACGAAGGAGAGGGAAGCGTATCGACGGTACACGATCTTCATTCGAGTTCAACCAGTCAAAGGGGTGTTTGTGGTTTTAGAAACATAAAGTTGGGACAACGTTGAGTTCGAATAGATAGACCAGGCTGAACGATGGTAGAAGATACCTTTCGGCCTGAAATACGAGAGGTTACTGGATGAGGAGTATGGAAATGAGACAACAGACAAACCTTTGTACTCCAGGAAGTTGCACATCCGTTGCCGGCGGTTCAGCGCAAGCTGGGTGACTTCTTGAACAATCTTCGCCTTCACTTTCGATGTGAGAGTCGTGTACCATTTTGCGAGCCTGAGTTTTCCTGAAAGCCCGACGAATAGGGTGGTAAGTCAAGTTCAGTACTCGTGAAACAAGAGGGAGAACCTTGTCTGGAAATGAGGAGCACGTAGTTGATCATGGTCGCCGGGTCTCCTGTCTCGTAGAGAACAGCAACGACCTGTTGGCACTCGCGTACGTGCGCGTTTCTCGACTATCAAGGAAGAAGAAGAGTTTAGTCAGGTCATCTTGTCAAGTCCCTTCGAGTTCTTCAGGGTGACGGCATCCGGACCGTCACTAATAATTATATCTCGCTTAGATGATGCAAGTAGATGAACACAACGATTCGGTTTCAGTACAAAGCCCAAGTCCAAGTCTTGCTATCTCTTACATATCGTACATACCGAATAACAGATACGGAGCAAGGGGTGAGGGGAGGAAGGGGATGGAGAGCAGAGAATACAGATATCATAACAAACTCATTGTCTGATCGAATTTTGCTGGGATTTTCTAAACCTTGAACGGCGTTCGCGGGTAGGCGACTTTGGACGCGGCGGCCTCATCGACGAACCAATACAACTGGCCAGGGAACACAGGCTTTACTCTCGCCGCGGGGAGTCCCTCCGCCGGGCGGTCGAGCACGCTCTGGAGCGTGTCCACCTTGCCCGCGCCAGTGGCGACGAATACAACACGGGCGGCGTGGTTGATGACGGGGTATGTGAAGGTGATACGCTGCGGCGGGGGCTTCGGTGAGTCCTCGATATACGCCACCCAGCGGTCCTCCTCTGTGAGGAGCTCGTGTCCCGGGAAGAGCGATGCGGTGTGCCCGTCGGGACCCATGCCCAGCAGGATAAGGTCGAACACGGGGAACCGCGCGGCGTCCTTCTGCGCAAACTCGCGGATGAGGTCCTTCTCGTAGGCGTCGGAGAGCTCCTCGAGGTCGTTGAGGTAGGTGGTATCGATGGCGTGGATGTTTTCTTGCGGGATGGGTACTTTGGAGAAGAGCGCCTCGACGCAGGCGCGGTGGTTGGAGTCGGGATGGTCGAGGGGAACTACCCGTTCATCGACGTAGTAGACTTGCCTGGAACGCACATCAGAGGCTTACGATAAGGGTACCTGTTCGCACTGACCAATGATTCCACTTTATGTGGCGGTTTCCGATGAGCCCTTTCAGCATATCTGGGAGGGTCCCTCCAGAAAGCGCGATAGTGAACCTCCCCTTCCTATCGATTGAGTCCCTCTGTGCTTTTGCGATAAAGGTCGCGAGGTCGCGAACGAGTACATCAGTGTCAGGGAATGTGATGAGGACAGGCGCATTGGGGGGATGGTGTATAGCAGCCATGGTCGCTGACGGAGCTGAGAAGGAGAATCGTCAAAGTCCTGCTCATCACATTATGTGACGTCAGGCAATAATAGATCACAGTACACTACTTGTACAACTAAAGCTCTAAGTTTAGCCTATGCTCTGGTTATTCATGGTATCGCGCTTCTTCTGCAGGCGTCGCCCCTTGCTAGTACTCCGAGCATTGACTCGGCCGTCGTTGGACACAGAGCCTGATCTACCCCGACCACCATCTATCTCGCCGGTCTCAGAGATAGCCGAGTCCATGTACATGGAAGGGATGCGCGGAACCGGGGGCAGCTGTGGGTACGAACTGGAGGGCTGAAGCGCTGGGTTGGACGGAGAGCGTTGAGTAACCATGAATGGGGGATCGGTAGGTACGGAATGTCTTGTGATGAATGGCGACAACGAAAAAAAAGATGGCGACAAGACTTACTCATTGCGGATGGAGATACCCATCTGTCGACGATACTCCTGCGGTCGGTGGTATCGAAGCGACTAACGCGCCTCTGAGATGCGAAATCCCCGCTGGCTGACGCGGAGAGGTCGACAGCGAGAGGGGTGGGTAGGACGATCTGGACCTGGCTATGGGGACCATGGGGGACGCCCCTCATAGTATGTCGACTAGTCTTGGAGTGAAGGGTGCTGTGAGAAGAAGATACGGAAAGAGGACGCGAACGAGGGGCTGAACCTGGAGAAGAGGAGGAGGAGCGCATATGGCGCGGCGGTTCGAGGGGCGACGAACGCGGAGAGCCATGGCCGGGGTCACTGGAGCCCAGTGACGAGGACGAGCCTGGACGGGCGGGGTGGAAAGATGGGGCTGGGAGGGGGAGGGAAGGACTGTTCTGAACGGGGGAGGAGATGCTGGAATCCTCTGCGGTGTCAGCCGAGGAGAGAGTAGGACTGTTCTTGGCCAGCAGTGATGTGCGGCTCTCTCTGGGCGACGCGTAGGTGAATGGAGCTGGCGCGGCAAGGTGGTGCTGCGAGTACCAGGTGGCTGAGCGGGGGAGAGCGCCTTCTAGTTTTGCGATGTGGTGCTCGCGGTGGTGGGCGAGTGGCTGGACGGGGGGGAGGGGTGTCGCTT